CACTATTTTTCTAAATTAGGATATTTTTAAGTACAGTTTTCTGCTTCCTCACAGGAGCTTTAAGGTCAGTTTTGCTGCTGATACACTTACTTTAATTAACAAAGGTTTTAAATGGCACTTCCTGTTTTTTTAAGTAAGGGTATAACTCATTAGTTTTAATTTCCTGCATACTTTGACACTGATCTTTATTTATTGTATTATTTTAACCTTATTCAGCCAAAATGGTTGCCTGGAAACTTCGGCTACTCACACTCCAGTAGGACCAGTTTTCAGGAGTCGTCCATCCCTGATTTGACTAATGAAGCATCACATACAATGCAAATTTTCCTGGCCAGTTGTAGACGCTGAAGAATGGCATAATGTTGTATGAGAGTCCCTTTAACAGATCCAATTTAACTGCCCTTGATTTGATCAGCATTGATAATTGGATTTTCTTCATCTTCTCGGCATTTAAGTTGGACTATGGAACTAAAACAAAACCAGAAAGATAATGTTGTTGTTCTCCACACTGTTATTGAAAAGTCCCCTCTGAGCTAATAGATCACATCTATCATTTGCAACACAGTACATTGTGATTTGGTGTTATCATGCCTCTGGAGCCCTCTCAGTAAGCACGACATAAGCTGGAACTTCTCCAAACAAAGTGGACCTAAAGTAACCGCTGAGAGCAGAGTGTATCCATGGAGAGATTACAACCACAAAGAACACACAGTCAGCTTGTGACAGTGTGAGCTGCTCAAGATACACTATCTTACTACATTCAGGTCACCCCGCCTGATATTTGCCATCTCCATAGTAACTCATCATCGGTAATCACTCTGGAATTCCCCCTACAGCTCGTGCTTCGTCACACACACGTACCCGCTGATGATTCAGAAAGACAAACTGTAGCTTTGGTACAGAGAAGAATTTTAGAAGCAAAAGGGGAATGAGAGACATATTGAATTGTGGTTTCCACTGCAAGTTGTGAGTCACGAACACGAGGGAGGGCCGGAGAAAAAAAAAGAGAGACTATTCTGGGGTGGCTGCTATGGCAACATAATAAGCAAGGGGCAGGTACTTGCAGGCATGTTTCCATAGCAATGCCCTGTGTGTGTACAGATAAATAATCCGTGCCACAAAGCCGTATGTAACGTAAGGAACTCTCACAAAAGTTGTTATTGTTTTCTAGTAAAGATGATCCTCCTTCTTCCTTCCTGCCTATGTCAATGTAGTCTTTTTATGTCTGCACTGTAGACTTAGCCTCTCAACAGACTGTGGCCAGGAGCTTCTTTCACAGGTTTAGTCTTGCCACAGTCATCATATTGTGCAGCCAGAGTAATTACTGAAGACTTGCTTGAGGTGTGTAACTCAGTCCAATTGTTGCAACATATCAGCACTTTAAAAAGCCTGAGTAACCCCACTGATATGATACACTGACAAAGCGAGAGTCCTCTGTGTTTGTACGTGATTAACCCTATGTATGATCAGTGTCTTAACATCTCCTGACAATCCCTCCCTGTTAACTGTTTCATTATTGATCCAAGCCAGCGATAAGAGATTTTGCAAGCGTTTCTCCTCCCCTTGGCTCACCACCTCCCATCTGCTGTGCTTCAGATACCTTCCCGAGCTGCACATTCCAGTCATAGCTTCAAATGTACTGACACTCCAACGCTTTTCTTGGGTGAGATGTAAACCATAAACCACAAGCAAGTAGATACATGAAATGGCAGTCTATTCCATTCACATGCAAGGTTGCGTAACTTTTTTAACATAGGAAGCTCTATGAGGTAGAAACTACTGGAAGGAGTCTATTAAACGCGTTCAAAAGAACGGGAACAATGTCTTTCCTGAGCTGATATAAGATATCATACCTGCAAAGTACACCAACGTACAACAGGGGCAGTTTGAGTGTGCTTCATGAGAAGATAATGAATAGCTCAGACAATTTGGAAGATTGAAGGTTTAGCACACACCCAAACCACAAGCTTAGCCTGAGCTATTAGGATTGAGTATTATTTGTAATATTTCCAATATACAGCGCCAAGTTTTTAGCTGCTAGAAGAACATAAAAAGATAATCATTTATCTTCAATAATTTTTACTTTGAATGGCTACGAATGAGGTTTGTTTTCCCTACAACAATGATCAATATTTGCACCCTTGGTAGTCATGGTAGTGCGCATTAAAGTTTTGCTTCAGTTTGACAACATCACTCCTCTTGCCCCACCTCCAGATTCTGGTAACATGAGCCAGAAGCAACACTGGGGTTTCATGTCCATAAGAGCAGGGGCTGTCTGTTTTCCCTCCGCTGTACCTCTCCTCTCTTCCCTCATGTCATGCACTCTCTCCTCTCCTCTTTTGCACTGGCAAACTCTGTTGCAGGGCAACAGAAACTCGCAGAGAAATAACTAATTCATTGTCGCTCCTCTAAACAAAAGCTGTCCCACTCCAACATACACACACTACTCACTGATATTGTTATGTGGCTGCGCCTGCCAGACTACTATATCATATCAACGTGTCTGCCCCTGCCTTTTTCAGCTATTTCCCTTCAGCAGTTTGACCTCTGACCTCCCTCATTCCATTCCTGTACTAAATCAGCATGCTGTGTCTCAGCAGCCTACAGAGGAGAAATTTTCACCTCACACCCCTATAAGTGCACATATGGGGAGGAACACCCCTCACAGCCGAACCCAGTTTGTTTCAGCCCAAGTCCTCACTTGACTCTGTGTGGGCACATACTTGCCCTCCCTTGTGTTACAGTTGAGTTTTAACATGTCTTTGGCTGTGGCTCAAAGGCAAAAAGGGGACGCTTAAGGTGAAGTAGCCCTCAAGTGCCGACTAAGGATCCATTTTCCTGTCCTCATTCCTTATGACGAATTTAAGTGTGTGTTAGTGGGATAGCAAGACGAGCCCTAGACTACAGTTAAAGGGAAACTCCATAAAACCTGCATGTGGGTGGAACTGTATATGTGTGGTGTCTGAGTGTTGTTTCTATCTGCCTAGAGACGCCCCTACAACCAAGTGACAAGACTTACGCTCTGTTGTATCAGCCATTGAGCAAAGACTCTGCAGCAGAGCTGTAAACATGTCTAAAGTTCAAGAAAATGTCTATTTAAGGACTTTGTGGCCGCAGAGAAAACCTAAAAAAATCTACATTCTCCTGTCTAATTATGTCTGTCTTTTGAGTCGGTCTGTCATCTAGCCACCAAGTCACTGAAGGGATTGGGGATTTTTCTGTAGCTATAGCATCTGAAATGTATTGAGCTCCTTAGGAGAAACAGGCGAGTTTCTCCCTCATACTCCCCAGGGTTAGCCCTTCACCCTGCTATTCCACGCCCCCCTACAGACCGCCTCACTCTTTTCCAGATGTGTGTGTCCTGCTCTGCCAGATGCTCGGCACATGCATACCATGCCTAAAGCTTCTGCAGGGGGCCTGACAGCCACAGAGGGACCCTGTGTGGTGAAACAATACAGGCTCTCTCCCTGCCCCTCCCTCGCCAGATCTCTTCCCTACTGCTTTTAAGAAGAACCCCTCTTTCCTTCCCTCCCTCTCTTGTGAGTGGACATCGAAAAATACCCAGAGAGCGAAGACGTGGGGGGAGAGGAAGAGAAGGGAAGAAGAGAGTGTGTGGCCAAAAAATAAAGACCAGGCGGGAGCAAGGTTGGCAGGGCTGGAAATGTTGCTGTTGGCACAAGATTACGTATTGTTCTTGTGGACTGCATTACTTAAACTTTTTAACTCTCAAGTTACTAAACAACAGCAACAAACAGGGTGATATATGATATTCATAGAGCAGCCATTTCTGGGAATCACGCCCCAAGAGCTTAAAAACTGTGTGTGTTCCTTTAAGCTTAAATTTCATATTTGATGACATGATGAAAAGCCTTTTGTAACACCACTCCTTCAGCAATCGAAGGGTTAGCCTTCTTTGCAGTTGTAATTGCTGCGATGCTGTGGGTGAAGTTATTTGCTCAAGTTACAGCCCTCTTCCACCACGATCCACAGGATGGGTGAGTCATGTGTTCAAGGACTTCGCTGTTGTGGGAACATTTCCATTTTCTGATTTCCATGAGACCACAGAGCAAAACTAAAATGGCCTCCCTGCTTCAACATTAGGATGAGAGACGGTTGCGCCAAAAATGATCCGTAATGATGCTTAGTAAGTTGGAAAAAATGACACAACTGACTCACTCCTGGATCAGACTTTTTCCTCGTGCAACCTCTCATGTGTGTGTGAGAGTGTGTCAGAGAGGAAAAGAGATCCGCCCTGGGCCTTAAGTTTAGATTTCTAGATAATCACCAGTCTAAGTGTGATATTTCTGCAAAACTTGTCATTATCCAACCCTAATGTGAGGAGATGATGAGACCTCCCAGTGTAAATTTACCTGAACTGAACTCATCACGTACATGGGCTGGACCAGGTGTACTATTTTACCTGCAACTACTGTACATAGAACAAACAGAAAGGCAGGGAACAAAGAATTCGGTTACAGCAGAAGTGAAGGGATAAGCTGGGCTGCAGGTGTGGGAACAGTTCACAACAAATGATGAAACGTGTTTAATACAGCTGGGTGTGTCCGATTAAGCAAAGATTGGTTGGCCTGGTTTTTATGTTTGTTCTGCAAGGTACAGAAGATTAACATGTGATGTTTCAGACATGTTGTCTTCGACGTGTGAAAAGAGAAAGCAAGTTTTAAAAATACATTAAGAAGTCTGGTGATGTGACGAATGTGTAAAGGACTGAGGAGAATCTACGCACCAAAATAAGACAAATCAGTCTATTCCTCTTACTTACATTTCTCCTTTAGTCATGCCAACTTGCAGAAGTAGCTAGTGAAACAAGCTGTTTCTGCATTTGATTAGGGTGTGGTCGAAACAGGTTATTTAATTTGGCTTTCAGTCAAACGATTCCTTCTATAATATTATTAATGTAATATGTCCTGTTAGTATGAGCTCATATTAGTTTTAAAAAAGCAGCCAAGAGTGTATTGAATTAAGAAGCACAGAAGTACATCTTTGTGTTTTTAAATAACTTTTATGAAAATGTCACTTTTATGTAATTTCGGGCTTTTCCAAAAGATGGTTTAAAAAATACAAATGCGACACAGTTCGACTTAGAAGTTGAGGATTTTATGTGGTGAACTACATCCTCTTTATTGAAACCCAAAGATATTTTAGTTAATACGCCCCTGGCCTTAGATGACATTTTGAGGGGGCACTTGAGTTCCTTTTAAAGATTTCCTTCAGGCTGCTTTCCCTTGGGGAAGGACAAGGGACATCAAAACAAAAACCCATAGTTAAAAGCAGACAACATTCTTGACTTAGACTGAGCAAACCGCAGAGCTCAGCCTAGTTATTTCCTCACCCTGCTGGAAGAGCTCCCTCCAGCTAGACAAGCAGCCTGAAAATGACGGGTCTTTGGCTGCCCTCTGCAGGGGACGAGGGGACCCTGCAGCATCTGCAATAAGATACTGCAAATGGTGATGTGACAGCTCTGAACAGCTTCTCTCATTGCATGCATTGGATAGAAGCGTGAAATTCATGAGCACTTGGCAGCATCAACAGCGTGGGCATCTGAGGTTGCTGTGATTGAGTCCCTGTTTGAACTGCAAAAGATGCATGAGCAGGAGTCTCAAAGGTTGAAGTACACTGTTGTTACATAGTGTATTTGTAAAAATACTAATGCACCTTTTAAACTGTTTTAATTTCTTTTGGCAGTGGATCCTCTATGTAGGAATCAAGCAGGAAAGGCTTTGACAGACCCCTTCAGGGCGGAAGTTGTTATTGCATCATATTTTCAGCCACACCCAGCACCAGTATTGGGTGTGGTCGGTGTACATTGTTTTTACAAAAGATGGTTTCCAGCTGTGCTATCTTTGTTCATACAGTTTTACAGCATGCTCATTTTTAGTCTTTTGGGTTGAACCTAATGAGCTTAGGTTTAAATAGATTATAAATGTAAATGGATCCAAATAAAGGCGTAAATATACCGAAATAAACAGTCGATGTTTTTATAGCTTGCTACTGAAAACCATACAAAGCAAAACACTGGACCAGAGACATCAAATTCCATAGTTGGCATTGTGGAAAATGCTTTATTTCGCAGGTCAAACAAACAAAAAACCAGTTTGGGGCCACTGAGACAAAATCTCGTCTTCAAACACCGTCATTCTGAGTCATTGTTGCAGTATGGTAAGCACATGGTGGCTGAAAGTCCATAAGTTTAAGTGCCATTAAGCTGTAGCACAGAGTGTTCACACTGCCCCGGTGTCCTCACTTGAAGATCTTGCCCTGGTTGAAAGCTTTACCCATATGCTTGAAATCTCCCTCCCAGGCAAAGTACTCCTTCACCATGGTCTTGCACTCATCGCTCTCGGGATCCAGCTTGCGCCAGTCATATGATTCGTAGTCGATTTGCCAATCTGGAGACAGCTGGAAGCAAACAGGAAAACAGTCGAATTTGAATGCAAGTGAAACCTTAAAAGTTTGTATAACCCCATCAGTTACACATTTGAAACAGGGAGTACAAGAGCTGCTGTCTAAATTTACAGACTGTATGTCAGTTAACCAACACTCTCTTCCTGAATGTATTCTTAACTACAGCAGATGGGTTTGTGCCCATAGCATGAACCAGCCTTTAGCTCACTAATCCAGAGATGACTGGGATGAATATGGTCTCAAGTTTCTCTACCCCCGTCAGATTAAGACTGCGTGCCACGATTGGACACTGCCTTGCCCAAAGACAGGGGAACACCCATTTAGGCTATCACTGTGTAAACATCAAGAGCTTGACGGACGTGTTGTCCGGGAATACTGGCAACATACAGAAATGTGACTGCAGGCTGGCGGTCTTGTTAATTAAAATGGGGGACTGGACAGTCTACCCCCCTGTACTCACAGTAAAAGCCAGTTCCTGACCCCTGAAGATCCAGATGCCAGAGATGCCGCTGTCATTGTTGGTGCCAAACAAGATGACGCTGGCGAAGGCGTTCTTTCTGAGTTTGTCCAGGCGCTGGAACATGCCTGTGAAAAACATGAAGGTGTCAAACATACCATCTATTATATATCCACATTATCTCACTCACTGGAGCAGCGAAGTCAGCTGTACTTTTATTCTTCAGAGTATTTTATTGAACAATAACACTCAAGTATATTTGGATGATCCACAGCAACTTCAATCTTACTCTTGCAGGAATTTCAGAAAAACACATTTCACAAAAAATAAATAATCTGAGTTGTTCTCTGTCAACTGTAACCGCAGCATGAACCAGCCTTTAAACTCACTGAAACAGAGATGACTGGGATGAATGTGGTCTCAAGTGCTCTGCCCCTGTCAGATTAAGACTGCGTGCCATGATTGGACACTGCCTTGCCCAGTGACAGGGGACCACCTGCTGTTCCTTAGAGGAAACCCTGGTTTGTATGTTAAAACAGATCAGCTGACAAAAATATGCCGGTCAGGCTGAAACTTTAAGCTGGGACCTACTGTTATGTTTGACATTTAAAGCCAAAGGTTCAATTATTTAGTAAAGTAATAAAACTACACAAAGCCTTGAGAAAGAACTGGATCCCCTGAGTGCACACACATAATACTGCTTTGGAATTACAGATCTTGCCTGTAGTCTTCTTGAAGGTCATGTGAAACTTTTCGCTGAAAGCCTGATCACATACACAAATGAAGAGAGCCCTACATTGTCTTCAGTTTATCTCAGCCAAACTAATACAGACTGAAACACGGATGAACCAGCAGACTTAGATAAATGAGGGTTTAAAAGTTGTAAGCAAAGTCTCATTTAGACGTCTATCAACCTCTGGAGTTGCAGGACTTTTTGGGCAATCAAGAGAGAACACGAACATTTGTGAATTCCCACATATTAAAGACTAATTGTTCCACAAAGTCTCAGCGATTAAGTCTCACCTGTAATAAGGTTGCAGCTCTTGAAGGTAAGGGTGAGCTCCTCGGGGTACTTGTACTGGCTGTACCAGATAGAGTAGCCCTCACGGTCAAAGTGCTCCCAGAAGTGGGGGATGGCTACTGTCAGGGTGTCCTCGTTAGAATACTTTCTCTTGAACTCGTCCATGACAAATGGGCTGAGAAAGGAAACAGATCAGGTCATGTGAATCTGTGGGCTGCACATGAAGTGATGTGGAGAAGGTCTGTGCCATGAAGACATGGCCTGACACCTTCTCAATCAGTTTGTATCTGTCTGCAAAAATAAACTTACAGGAGTTCAAAAACACAAAAGGTAAATTCTACCACCGCATTTACCCCACAAATGATGTTTTTGATTTGTGTCCACAGCATGAACCAGCCTTTAGCTCACTAATACAGAGATGACTGGGATGAATATGGTCATACATTTCTCTACCCCTGTCAGATTAAGACTGCATGCCATGATTTGACACTGCCTTGCCCAAAGACAGGGGACAACCTGATTTCCAGATAAGTGTCACTGTACTTCATTCTATACAGCAAATGACAAGTCACCACTGATTCTGTCATGTGCTGAGTGTGCATGCCAGAATACCTCTTTGGCAGGTGTGCAAAGGGGTCCTTTGCTTTGGGCTCTGCGGCCAAAGCAGCGTCACAGTCATCCATCTCCTCCTCAGGGGCGGGCTTCTTCTCTTCCTTCTTCTTTTCCTTCTTCTCCTGGGGCTTGGCTGCTTCCTTTCCTCCCTTCTCTTTCTTTGCAGGGGCCTCTTTCTTGGGCTGCATCTCAGCAAACTTCTTGGCTGGACGGACAGGGGAAAAACAATGGGAAACGTGTTTTGAGTTAAATGTTCCATTATTTCACTTTGTGCTTGCACACTGGAGGACCACTGTGGCCAGGAGTCCTGAGACTGTTTACCAAACATAACAAGCAGTTTTGCTGTTGACTGGAACATTTTGTGTCCCATATATTAGGGAATTTCATTTCAACTGCTTAACACAAATACACAAATAAACCCACTGTTGCCACACAGCATCTAGTCCAATTTGTCTCATTTTCTATTTGTGCGAACCAAAACATCTTCATAGGTGCGAGTATTTTCAAATAGAAGCACCACATATTCATCATTGTATCAAAGCTGCACATTTAGCCCTTTATTCTCCTTTCCTGAAGCAAAACTGTTCAAATTTACTTTCAATCATAAGCTTGTCTCAAACTTTTAGCCAGCCATTCAATATTAGTGAAACAAGAGTGAAGTATTAAAACTGTCAGAGTCCTCAACGCTCTACCTGCTTCTCTGTCAGCCTTCACATCAAGAGACGTCTAGTGCCAAAACTTTAACTTCAGGGGCAATAATGTTTAAAAGCAAACAAAGAAACAGAGCGTCTTAATAAACCTGTTGCGCTTTTAAGAACTCAAGCGCACCAAGCTGTTGTCTAATGAGTACATGCTATTTTTTTGCAACAGAAACAGACACTTTAAAGAAAAAGCCTGAAGCAACCAGGTTTCCCTCTGACATTCAAGAAAGCAGATCTATATTTAACATACTTAGCTACATTTAAAGACTTTAAAAGCAATAGACTTTCCAAAGAGAGGGAAACCAGAGTCAGAAACAGTCTTAACTTTTAAGAAAGGGAGGAAGAGGTATGCAGGAGAAAGAGTATGTCAAATGTTAAATTACATTCAAAGTCAAAGTACGTTCGATTTTAGATCACAGCAGACAGTTTGTGCCCATAGCATGAACCAGCCTTTAGCTCACTAATACAGAGATGACTGGGATGAATATGGTCTCAAGTTTCTCTGCCCCCGTCAGATTAAGACTGCGTGCCACGATTGGACACTGCCTTGCCCAAAGACAGGGGAACACTACGCAACTGTAACATGATGAAAACTTTAGAACCAACTTTTTACCCTTCAAGATTTTCTTGGTTGAACTTTCTCTTAATACAATCTTAAACTTTTTGAGACAGTTCACCCAAACAATAAGCTCATGTATTTTTTTTATATATTTCAGGTTGTCTTAGTTCAACCAGCAGAGCACTCTATATCATGGGTTTGTTTCTCACCATCAAACTGCGCCATCTTCTCGCACAGCTTGACGTCTCCGAGGACAGTCTTGAACTGTGGCTGATTTACACAGGTGACAAACCAGCGAGTCACATTAGGATAAGGCTGACGGAAGGAGGGTTCCAGGACCTAAAGGCATGGCAAGGTGTGGAAAAACATTTCACTCAGTATCGTCACAGTGATTGCAAACTTCTCAAAGAACTGTCAAAAACTGATGATGTCATGTGGCTTAGTGCCACTACTATCAACCGTGTACTAACCTGTTTGTAAAGCCAGAGCATGGAGCAGGCCACACTGATGTCTGCAAGGCTAATTCTCTCCCCCACCAAGAAGGTGCGGGTGTTGAGGTGTTGGTTCAGCATACCAAGAACCTTCTTCACATCTTCTTTGGCCTGCTCTGTGGCCTAGAAAGATCCACACAGAAGGATGACTTTGCAGGATTCATCAGCACAACATTTCATTGACATGATTGTGTGCCAGTTCTTCACTGCAGAGTGTTTAATCTAGCCAACTAAAACTGGCTACCACCTTCCATCAGACCTGGAAAATAACCTAAAATGTTCAAAAAGAAAATATTGAGCAGCATACCTGCTTGTTGAACTGCATGATTCCCAGAGTGGGGAAAACCCATGCGCTGGCTGGAGGGATGATCTCTGAGTCAGCGAAGCTCACCCACTGCAGCACCTGGGCTGCAGCCTGGGGAGTGGCACCACGAAGGGCTTCATTGCTCACTGTAGATCAAGAATGAAGACACAAATCTCAACATCTGTTTTTTAAAATAGGATGGTTATTGATGAACATGCATAGATAAGTTTTTAACAAGTGCACACTAGACAGAGGTCTAACAGACGGCCGCACACAGTGCAAAAAACACTGAAGACATGACTGGTCATTCGAGTATATCCAATAAAGGCTGCATTCCATTTTGTTGAAACACTTTGAGTTGAGCCTACAGAGACAGCTGCTGTAACTGAAATGTCACTTGTCTTAACAAGTCAAATATCTGCTCAGAGGGAGAACTTGTGTTTTAGCACAACTGTTTTATAAATGCAATTCTATATGGCTGGTAAGAAAGTGGGTTTCAAAGTTCTTTGGAAAACACAAGTACGGAAAAACTGTAAATTTAGATGTTTAACTTCCTCTAAGGAAGTAAGTAAACTGTGTGGCACTTTTGTTTTAACACTCAAATCTAACTTGTGAAAGAAAAAGAAATGAACCATTTTATCACTTACAGTAGTGAGCAATGGCATTACTCTCAAACAGACAGAAGCCGTCATCTCCCTGGTAGGCAGGTACCTACAAACACCAGCAAAATTAAGGAATAACAGAAGTTTGACAAGGAATCAAAGAGTTGACTATATGATGATATATGTTGCACATTGGTGGGCATTGCTTTACCAGTAAAAGCTTGCATACTCAAATACACTTACTAATTGCCGTGCTTAAGGGCCATTAAGCCAGGCAAAACTGGAACAATCCCATGCAAACCATTAAACAACTTGCACTGACCTTTCCCAGGGGGAAGTTGTTGAGGAAGGCTGGGGTACGGTTCGTCTGCCCGAAGGTGAAGGCAGGGGAGCTGCTGGCCACTTTGAGGCGAGCACCACTGTACTGGGCTGCGATCTGGGCCTTGAAGGCCCTCCAGTTTTCTGGGTATGTGTACAGAGTCTGGAGAAAAGGAGAGAAAACCATTTTATTACAATCAAAAACAAATTAGATCTAATTTTAGACATCCAGTAAAATTGGAAGTTGACCAAGTTTCAGGCTGTTCTCATATGACACTCACTGGAAATTATAGCTCTGGCTCTTTACTCTTTTTATAACAGCATATAATTCACAATTTTAGCATTACAATTGTCTACACACAGGGGGATGATGCTACACAGGATGCTCGGCCATTTAGATCAAACTAAGCCATACAAACGGACAACGTTTAGGGTTTGGTGATTAAATTATCAGCTACAAAAAGGACGAATCTACCCTGTAGACCAAATTCGTTAACAGGTTTTTTTTTCTCGTGGTTTTCAGCCGAAGCTAACTATCGTAGCTTTCAATACCGGACCGGGAACCAAAGTATCAAGACTTCAATGGACAAGTTTCTCACCAAACTCACACACAAGTTAACATGCACTGTTTTTTAACCGACTGGGTAAACGCGAAACTGTGTTTAAAGCACCTGTGAATGAGCGGAGGCTGAATTTTTTAATGTAACGTGGCACGAGCCTGGGCCACGAGAGCAGCGTCACTTTCTTTGAATGCAACGTCATGACAGCGAAAGCTAACCTCAGTTAGAATCAACACTGAATTAAATTATCCACCAATAAACCTTTAAACAGCCACCTAACAGGCCAGATGTAGTGTACGCGTTAAAAGACAAGAACTAGCAGTCCAGATGGGTCTGATTTTCAGTAGATTGTACCGGTAAAGTTAAAAGGAAGCTCCAGCACTAGCCTTCTCTCCATCTTACTCACCCCTGCCGCCATCTTCAGGACGAGAGAAAGAAAGAACGAGGGCGCGTTCTGCTGACGTATTTACGGCCACATGCCGTGCGCGCCCGTTAAATGTCCGCGTTCACGTCTCTGCTCCTCTGAAGTGACTCCTGCTTTTACTTCTCCACCTTTTTAATTTGCTGAACTCAAACAGACTGTGTCAACTGGAAATTCAGGTGACACAGTTTTAGTTGCGCTTCAGGTCTGCGGGCCACAAAGAAAAGTATCCTACCAACATAAACATAGTGTGATAGTTTGAAAAAACAAGATACAAAGATGTAAGAGCCAGTACAAATATTTTATTGGAATCCACTCACAAGTAAGAAAAAAGCACTGAGTGTAAGATGCACATAAAATTAAGCAAAACTGATATTATAGTCTACTTCTGTGTTGAACACCACCTTCAGGTAAATTTAGCAAACACTCTTCTAACTTCACAATTTTTCGCCAATTGCAAAAAATGTCCAAGTGTTGGCTCTAAATTATAAAATACTGGAACTACTGAACTTTGCACCCAGCTGTGTGAGACGGTGTATAAAAAAAAAAAAAAAACGATCCATAAAAACAAGGGATCAACTCAGCGGGTAAATAAAATGTCCTGTGGTAAATGTTCCCTCTGTGGCACATCAGCTCACAAGACCTATAAACAAAGCACAGAAGGCAAATTTGATCATCATCACAAGACAGTCTTATAATTCAGGTCATACAACTATAATCACAGTCACTATGATGACAACATTATGTGCAGTACCCACCCAGATAATCATCCATGAGGGATCCAATGGCAAACTGAAAACAAAGGAAAGGCAATCATTTACTTTCTGTGAATTAAAATGGTATATGTCACTGTCTTCTATTACTGAAACATTGAGACATTGTTCTTGTTATTTTCATCTTTATTGTGATAAAAAAAATCCTAATTATTATGTGAAGAAAGCACTTACAATGTCATTCTTATCCACTCTTGTTCCCACAATCTTTAACCGAATTTCGTCGTCTTGCTGGATTACAATGTCCTTAAAGCAAAATCAAACACAAAAGCATTCTTAGTCACATCACTTTCAGAGAAATGGGAAAAGAGGAGTGCAAGGGAGATGTTCAATGCAAGAGGTGGTTCCTTAATTAAACAATTTTTCTTACATCTGCAAATGGTGAAACAAACCCTGTGGACATTCTTACCTCATCGACTGTTTTATAACAAGGAGGATTAGAATTGGGGTCAAACTCCATTTCTGAGGGGATGGACTGTAAAAAACAAAGTGAGATTTGAATAATCTAAAGTCAAAATGCATCTCAAAGCTGAATAATTCAGTGAACAAATAAAGATGCTGTGCTGACTCACATGGCGAGAGATGAAGCATGACATGGGACCGATTTCTGTGAACAATCCAACCTACAGAGAACATTCATATTCTTTAATAAGGCATTCAGGTTCATCTAAAGTATATACAATTTTCATTAATCCTTACTAAAAGCACAATTACTGTAACAGAGTGAAATGCTGAGCACACTAAAGGCTAGTGCTGCGCCCAGGCATGGTAGACTTCCTTGGCCCTGGTACAGCTAGAAGAAGATGTCAGCACAGTATGTTTACCCATGCACACACACAAGCATGGAGAAACACACTCGCTGTTTATTTTTCTTTCACCTATATGCCACACATCATACCCACAATGCAGTAAAGATAAAACAGCAGGATACAAACGCAGTCAGTCTGTTAAGTTGCTCAACAAAAGTAGCAGAAATATTTCTCCTGTAATTTGAAATTAAAAAAGGGGGAGAGACTTAAAAAGGCGATTCTTGTACATGTGGAAAGAAGGGAATTAACGATAAGTGACTGATCAGCATTACAGCCAGGATGAAGTTTAGGGAAATTTACACCACCCTGACTTGCAGCAGGAACAGGGAAAACTCTGCTGACTGTGCTGGATTTAGAGATGGAAATAAACGTCAACACAGCGTTGAAAACGAATGCCTTTTTTCCAACCTTCAGAGAGTATTTTGCGGTATGGCATATGCAGTATAAAACAAGCACTAAAGCCTTAAATACTGATTATTATAAGGAGTCTTGCTCTCTCCTCTCTTCTCCTTCACAGTGCAGCAGGATGTGCTGTCTCAGTGCATGACTGTGTTCATGATTAAATTAATTAACTAAAAATTGAATTGACTTTGTTGGATGTTGTTTTTGATTATTATTGCTGGTAAGTATCAGTTAATGTCATACATAACTATTCAGAGCTTAAAACAGATTATTGTTCTTCTCTATGATCTGAATTCTGCAACATTACCTATAGCCGGAGTAAAAAAGTCTACCATAAACAAGTGTTGTTGTCCATTGTGCAGCGCTTCTTGCAAAGTTAAGAAATTAAAACATGATGTTAAGTCATGCACGTGTTATTAAGACATACTGTAAGTAATCACACCCAGGTCTGTTTGAACCTTCAGCAGGGTGAGTGCAGGCGTGTGTGGGAGACTAGGGGGACAACCATACTTTTGCACGGTACAAGGCAACTGGGCCGAGTGTGAGGGCACCTTAGCATCAGGCATGAGCCAATATAAAACACAAATGTGTCTTTTTCATACAGATTTCTCATGCATATTTCTCTTATGAACATGTTAAGTATGTTAATAAAATGTTGAACTAATATGTAGTTTCTTTAGTCTTTAGTACAAATACTTTAAAACTGGCAGTTAAAAAACAATACTTAAAAAAAATCGTGATAACAATCGAGAACAGATGATATGACAAAATATATTGTAATCATTTTTTTTTGCCAAATCACTCAGTCATACTCTGAAACACTATTGGAGACTTTATGGTGGAGAAATAAGCATTCAATTCACCGGCAACAGCTCAGGTGGACATGCCATTCACATGCTCCCTCAAAACTTGTGACATCTGTGGCATTGTGCTGTGTGATTAAACTGCACCTTTTAGAGTGGCCGTTCATTGTGTCCAGTCTACGGCACACCTGTGCAATAATCATGCTGTCTACTCAGCATCTTGATATGCCACACCTGTGAGGTGGATAGATTATCTCAGCAAAGGAGGAGTGTTCACTGACACAGATTTAGACAGATTTGTCAACAATATTTGAGAGAAATAGGTCTGTTGTGTACACAGAAAAAGTCTTAGATCTTTGAGTTCAGCTCATGAAAAATGGGAGAAAAAAACAAAGTGTTGCATTTATATTTTTGTTCAATGTAATAAAAAATACCTGTAGCCAATGTGAATCACACAAATTTTGCTACAAAAACTGCAGGCTCAAATAAAGAGCTGTACAACTTACTTTTTTTTTTTCCTTTTTTTAAACAACTGTTCCAAAGACAACTTCAAAATAAAGGTACTGTTTGGGAGAAAAAGGGGGAATCTGTCCACAGGAAAAGAAAGGACTGGGCTTTTGCTTTGAAAAGCAGTTATATTTCTCTTGCTTGTGACATAAGAGTAGCTGGTACAAATCCAATTCAGCCTTTCTTACCTTTAACTGATATCTGCATGCAGCCCGTGAAAAACAATAGGTTTCTATTCTATCAAATTTTTTGACCAGTGGCACGAGAGGCACTGATCACACCCATAGCCAACATGCTTACAGTGTAAAATACCAGGGTGTAGTTTGTTTTGGAAACACAATTATGAGCAGGTTTAACACACCAAACTCGACCAAACCAAACCACACTTTCAGATGGAAAGGCACCACATGACAGTTTTAATGTGATTAGAGCTGTATGAAGGGATTGTGCTGATAGCATAGACTGTATAAAGAATAGACAGCGTCTGCCTCCTTGCTGGGTGAAGCCACTCCGAGAACAGCACCCTCTGTTGACAGGCTGCAGTATAGGTCATAAAACCCACCTCCGCCAGCAAAGCTTATGAGGCTGTGGACAAACTTTAGAAATTTATTACACAGAACATACATTTTTCTCCCCCCAAGATTGCGATTTTGACATGTAGTTACTGTAAGACTGGTTTGTGTTCAAGTCCTCTTTCTTCTGTGAAGCTCCGTTTTTAAAAGTTATTGGGGGGTTCATGTTTTCTTTGATTGACACCTGATACAGCCTATGGACGTTCAGGGATTGCGTAGCTCACCGGGGGGATATCCTGTTTGAGCCGAGCGTCATCACAGCGACTCTCCCACATAATGCGCAGAACGCTACTGTGCAATGCTGGTTTCAGGAAAGGAAGAAAAATCCCGGAAGCTTTTTGGCTTCAAAACTGTATACAGGCGGTGGGCAGAAAAGTTGTCCATAGTATATACAGTCTATGGCTGATAGGCTTTGGAGACAGACCACAAACTGAGAGTAAATAATATCTTATAAATAGTATTGTCTCACCTTGTTAACCTGGGTAACTACAGCGTCCACCACCTCCCCTTTAAATGGGCGAAACACGATAGCCTTGTACTTGACTGGATAAAGGACAAAGCCTCTTCCTGGCTGGATTACACCTGCCCCGATGTTGTCAATTGTGGTGACCGCTATCACAAAGCCATACCTGAAAAAAAAAAAGACACAAAGAAATTCATCTCATGTACACGACAAGCTTCTACATGTAGTTTTTACATATTCAATGATAATGCTTAACTAAGGAGGAGCTCTCTGAGAGTCTGGACACACTGATTTAAGGTTTTATACCTGATAAAAAAAATACCAAACTTAGAAGTCAAGTACAGTCTCTAACCCACAAAGCTTAGCACTTCATAAACAAAACAACATGTGTTTCTGATGTCACTCACTTTCCGGTACAGGTTCCCTCCACCTCAGTGAAAAGTTTCTGCTTCACGGTGTTGAGGAGATTAGGACCAAAGTATCTCGGATGGAGCAAGATTTCATGCTCCAGAGAAATCTGTCAACATAATAATCCTCTTTAATGTAAGACAACAACACCAATCATTCTGATGATAAAGTAGGTTTATCCCAGCTTTATTAACAACGCTAACCCAGCTGCACTCATGTTAGGCACACTCACACAAACTGGTAAACAAAACATTCACACAACTCTACAGGGATTCACAAACTTTTAGACAATTATTCGTACTTACATGGTAAAACATTTCGTTTGTGCTCGGTTTCGTCTTCTACAACGTCCTTGTTTTCATAAATAATACAAAATATTCACCGAGTGTAAAGAAAACCTGCCGCTCGCTTACAACCACAGGTCACTTCCGGGGCGGTGGGTTGACATAAATCCCTGAGTTTTGTCTGCCAGGGTGCGTGGTCCAGTGTATACCAAATAATAATTTGTTTTGTTTGGATCACGTATGCACTGAGCCCCACTAGGACAGCTGTCATTTGTCAGAAGGTTACATAAAACTTTTAGCGAGGATCTTGTTCGTTTTAAATAGTATAAACGTAGATACCTCTGGGTGAATTATGAGAACAGTGTCATTCAAGTACAAATTGAGCCTGACCCCTAGCGGTGAGGATGAATAATGGTCCGGATCTATTGAGGCGGGGACAGACAGCAGGCGTGAGTGAACGCTGCATTGTGATTGGGTTGTGTGACCATAATGTTGACATTACAGGAGACGTGAACAGAGTGTTTGTAGAACGAAGAGTGGCTGAACGATTCTGCCAGGACAGACCAAATTAACAGTAATAACACTTGCTTTAGTTTCTTATGGTATTCAGAGAACTGAAGCAAGAATTACAGGTGACTGAATCTTGAGGCACTTTACTTTGTCGGTTATTGATTCTCAAGTATTGTATTGACTTCCTTCAAATGACTGGCATGGCACGGAATCTCGTCTCCAAGTTGTTTCGACTCCCTGTGTTCACGCAACGTGTAAGTTTTGTTTATGTCAACTCTCTGTTCGACCTTAAATGAACTCCTGTATCTCACTGACCGCTTTGCATCTCCTGTCCTCTGTCCAGACGCCTCTCAGGTCGGGCTGCTGGTTGGTTACGGGGGTGCGGCAGTTCTCCAGTGAGCCACCACAGGAGAAAATCAGCAGATATCCTGTTCCTTACAAGAAAGAGCTTCCCTATGATATAGTGGAGCTTGTGGATGAAGTTGAGTCGAAGGTGAGGAAATCTTCAACGTCTGAAGTGTCAAATCCTCTCGTATACTTAACAGTAAAGTGGTTTTAACACCTGCCAAACTTCATGTTTTCGCACAGGGTGGATTCTTGCCGAACGTCTTCAAAGTCCTCTCTCACAGACCAGCAGAGTTCAGAGCCTTCTTCTCTTACTACAATGAACTCATGAACAAAGAGACAGGTGCGTGTTTGTGTTTACTTGTGACCTCAATGTGTGTAAGTCAAAGATTATCAGACAGGAACCTCTATTATGCTGAGATGTAAATCCTGTAGGGGAGAGTGGGGTAAATTGAGTCACCCCCTGCTGCTTGGAAATGGTGAAAGAAATTGATCATGTGACCAAATATTTAGGAGATGGGCATCAATTCATGAAGTCTGTGAAGGTTAGAAGCACATGGGTGAAGAGGTTAGACATTTATTTACCAAAAAAAAACGTTTTCCCCTCTTGAAAGAGAATTTAGTCTGTCATAAGTTTTATTAGAATTGTGTTCAAACCAAAAAGATCATTTTGAATTTGTTTTATACAATAATTGTGGGCTCTATGAGCTACAACATGAGGTCAAAACCAAGCATGAAGGTCCACCATTTTAACTTAGAGGACTAATGAAGTCATAATAGTAGTTCTGGGGTAAGTTGAGCCAGTGGTTCAACTGAGAAAGTAAAGAAGTCTGATGAGTGGATCAGTTGGGAGGATCATGGTGGCAGTTGGGTCATGGCTGTGGCTAAAGCTGTGGTAAACACAGTCTGGTAGAAACAGGTTAAATAAAAGATGGTTAGGAGGGGGAAGACAGGTTTAATTCAGTTTGGCAAAAATAGTAATTCTGAATCCATGTGTGAGGTGGAAACCCAAAATGGTTTGGTTTAGACTTGTTGCATAAGGTCCTAAACTTGACCTGAACATTGCTCAATTTTTGCAGTTAAACTGAAACCTTCATATAACTTTGACTTACTGACCTGTGAGGATTGTGAACCTGAGGCTATTACCAGTTAATGCACTCTGACTTGGGGAAAAAGATGATACACTCAGATGATATGTTGGAGCTTTTCAACCCTTGCATGGTCAGAGCCTCTAATGAGAAGACATTTAGATACTCAGATAAAAGTGAGCCTGGATCTGGTCTGCTTCACTTAAACTATTTACTTTACAAAACCAAACTCTGTTAAAACTCAACTGTGGTTACTGGATCACCTCAATATGGTTAATTGTTAAGTACATTTTGTTTCACCTCACTTTCAATGAAGAGTGTAAAAGTATTCAATGATTTATTTTCTGTCTTCTAGGAAATTTAACCAAAGCAGACAAAGAGCTGATCGTAGTGGCTACCAGTACTCACAACAAATGTCTGTACTGTGTGGTGGCCCACGGTGCACTTCACCGTATCTACTCAAAGAAACCCACTCTGTCAGATCAGGTATCATTTTTCTTCCAATTAAACGTTGAATCAGTCATGTTTCCCACTCTGACCAGCTTCCCTCCCACCTTCCTCCAGGTTGTTGTAAACTATGAGAATGCAGATCTGTCTCCCCGAGAACATGCCATGCTGGACTTTGCGATGGCCGTGTGTCGTTGTGACACCATCACAGAGCAGCATTTCAAACCTTTGGAGGAGGTAGGCTTTGACCGCGAAGATGCCTGGGATATTGCTGCCATAGCTGCTTTCTTTGCCTTGTCTAACCGGCTCGCACACCTCACTGACATGAGGCCAAACTTAGAGTTTTATAACATGGGCAGGGTGCCACGGGACAAGAGTAAAGACAGCAAACAGGAAAAGAAGGAATAGTTTAATGGTAGAAATCATCTGATGTCAAATGCCAAGTATGACTCACATTATGTGCACACTACTGCTGAAAGTATGGAGCCCCTGTTATATTCAGGGTTTACTTTTATGAGTCAAATGATCAAAAGAAGAATACAAGGGCCAGGGATGAGGATAGAGTGGGAGGAGGGGATTTTTTTCCGTCATGCACGTCAAGCAAATCTTACCCCAAAATCATTCAGTTTGTCCTGTTAGCAAGTTGAGGGTAAAGTCAAATGACAGCATTCATTGTTGTGTTTGTAATAGGAAATTTTTTATTCAAGCAAGCAATCCAGTTTGCACACAGAACCCAAGAGTGAGATTGTTATTAAGTTCTCAAAGTTTTCCTCATAATGCTGTAAATACGCCACATATACATTACTTTTGGAGATGAGGAATATGCATAACAAAGAGTCTGAGATTGTAAGCTGTTTGCATTTGTGTACATTTTGTTTTGTTGATAAATCTTCATCATTAAAAAAATTAACATTATTTTGTCTGCTTTTTCATCACATTCTACACTTGAGGTAGTTATTTTGATTGAGTATTTTGTGACAGTTTAAAGTGAAAGACAAACATAGTAGCTTCGCATCATAGAGGCTGATGTGTTTTGTTTTCACTGGACTCAAGCCACACGGAGGGAAAAAGTCTGTTTGCAGCTAGAATGCTTTGACATTTAATTACACATTTAAAAGCCGTCATAACATCAGTTAGTCCTGGTATTTTGGGCTGGATGCTTGAAACTTGAAATCTGACACTTCTCATCTGCCAGTTGAAAATACACTTTCTGTCATATTGTGCATGGTTTCCGCTATTCAAAGAATCTGGTATTTTTTATAGAAATATTCTCTTGTTCTCTAGTTTGACAATAAAAGCTGCATCTTTTCTTATTGTGTTCAGGTAGTCTCTTTGTCTCAATTATAAATGCCTGGCTTTTTTCTTTTGGTATGACTCCTTTTGAGAAGTTGAAAGCTGACAGTGTTGCCACTAGATGGCACTATTTCCTCACATTTTATAAGAGTCTTAACAGTTTTCAAACCAAAGAAAGTAAGAATGATCTTTCATTCAGCGTCTTACATCTGAGATTGGCCTTCACAAAAGGAAATGCAGAAAAAAAACTCTTTTAGTTTACAGTTTTCATCTGATTACAGACTGTCCCTAAAACTAACCCTAAAAATAGTTTCTTTTTTTCTCTAAGTTCACTGAATCCTCAAAAATAATAATTGCCAAACATCAAAGTTGCACATCCTTCACTAGAAATGTTTGAATTACAAGTTTTGATGTTACTTCTGCACCATTCGCATTATTTTCTCCTCCAGCTCATGCATTTGGAAACCGAGTTTTAAAGCTGGTATCCTGGTCTTTTTATGTATGTTGATATGTGTCAAACATGACTTCAAGCAGCACAGAGGATTTACACTGACATGCACGTCTGCGTGACATTGGGGTTGCAGGGGATTCAAATTTGTCTTTTTCTTGTGCTTTTAAAAATAACCTCTGCCTCCAAAATACTAAAACTAATATTCATACTTGGTCATAAACAGAGCACTGAAAGACAGGTTAGAGTCTGAGGAATCCTCTGGCAGAGACACATTGTTTTACTGTGTGAAAATTAATCCATTGTAAAGGTCAGCTCTTCCCAAGCCTGTCTCGTCCTGTCCTTATGGCCCTGATTAAGTATCAAATGTCTCAGGATCTGCTTGTGTACTATTACAGTTCCTCATTAAGCATCAACCTGACTGACCCCCCTGCCCCCTATTAGTATTAGCAGGGGACAACAGGCTCCAGATGAGGCTACTTAAGGTCTGTAGCTGCTCAGTTATCACTAATGCAGAGCCATCTTAAATCCTCAGAGCAAAAGAGGAATATAAAAGGGTATTCATGGAATCTTCTCTTTGTGCTGATTGATCATGAACCACAGAAACAAGGTTAATGGCTTTCACATGTAGGCTTTTAACTGTCTCTTTTAAGAGCCTGTTGGTGCATTGATAGAAAAATCAATGAGATTTTATCCCTGGGAAAGCTCGGTGATGTGTCTTTAGCCTCCTGAGACGGATAAAACAAGTCACAATACACGTCACAGGAGGCGTGACAGAGGAGGAAAGAGAGGAGAGAAAGTGAAAGTAATGAGGAGACTGTGGGTCAAGGGGTGAGAGGATGGCAAAAAAAGGTGGAGTAGAAATCTAATGTGAAGTTTAAACAGGAAACCAGGAAAATATAGAATTAATACATAACTGAAGCATTAGTGTTGACAACTAATATAGAAAATGATTGATGCTGTACTAAACGGTGGCATTATTCTATAAGGTTCATACCCACTAGCCATAAAAAAAATCTCAATTACAAACTTAATGTAAAGAAATTAAAGAAATCTGAGATGAGCCACTCGACCTCAAAGTTGTTACCCATCTCTCACACTTGTAAAGGAAGAAGACAGAATGTTTGAAATTAATACAACGGAAAAGAAGATTCAGGTGGTGTCCTTATCCACTCAGTTAATTTTTATTCAAAGTCAATTCTTAACTTCTCACCAGACCAGACAGTGTACGTTACCTCAGGAAGAATGAGGAGACAAGATTATAATGCAGTGCAGCAAAGATGAAGTAAAAGAAATCAAGATATGAATCATTGGCTCTCACAGTTTTTACTCTGCATTTATCAGAAAATCTAGAGCTGAAAGAAGATATCATAAATCTTCCACCACATTAAAAACAGTGGCTGTTTCAAAATGCTAATCATCAACTTGAGGAAAACTCCTTTACCTTACAAGACCAGACTGATCCAAGACATCATTTGAATACTTTAACTTTGACTTTTACAATACTTTTGAGGGGAAATTGTTATGTCCTGAATTAAAGAATAAAAATAGGATATAAAAACTACTTTCTGATGTTCCCTATGTATCCAAATGTCTAAAAATTACATAAAATTGGGAGGGAAAAGTCATCCAAATAACCTCAGGTGCAGCATATTCAGAAAATTTCCCTGAAGAGACACTACCACAATCACAGTCACACTCAAGTGTATACTTTTATTGTCTACCTACCTGCAGTCGTCCTATTTTCATTTACAATCTATGAATTTGAATCATGATTTGAGCTCATGATCACATGATATGTTGAAAATGTATTCTGGGATATTAATTCACTGGCTTACGTATAATGTGTAACCATGACTAAAGCACATGACTCTTGGAAAGAAAAAGAGGGGAAAAAAGGTAAAAAAAAAAAAAAAAAAAATTAGTGACTGTAACAAACTGATTATATCACATATTCTATTTTAGGATGGCTTTTCCATTTTACTGAGATGCTCTATTTACACCAGAGGATGCTCTCACACTTGGTGACTCATTGAAGAACATGCAGAAAGTCATTTGATTTCTAGCTATTTGTAACCTTGCAAACACATATGGAACATCAAAAGGACAGATACAAGGCTAAGGCCATTATCATCCATGTAAAAGTGTGCATGCATGTGTGCAAATGTTGCATATGTACACTCTGTAATGTCAGTGTGTGTACACATTCATTTAATTACTCTGCAGCAAAGTGTATGAGCCTGTGCTGCAGCTGAGGTCATTTGCATTAATTCGGTTTGATTGGATTTAACATGTAGAATGGGGACTACTTTTCTGTTTTCTGCAGGTCCCGTCCCTGCAGACTCTATATAATGGTAATGGAACATGCAGTCAGCCCCACAGCTGTGACACGAAGAGGGCAGGTTTTAAAATTGCAACACATTTTTAAAAATAGTTTGTACCATTAAGTAAGTGCAGAATAAAAACATTACATATGCTTGGGACAAAACATTTGCAGGTTAACTTTGGGTGCAGTGATGCCTGGCGGTTAAAAAAACAATCTGTGATATTGACTGAAGTACTTGGATTTTGATCAATAAATGAATTTTAAATTCACCGTGTCTAAATGCACGGTTTTCAATTAAAAGCAAACCCTGTCTTCCAGTTCACACAGTTTTTCTGGTCCTTGCAACTTTTTATCATATACAGTATGTAAAGGAAATTTCTTACTTTGGCATTCCTACAATTACGGCAATATTCTTACTTTTAGGCTGGTTGCAAAACTGAGAGCAGCTCCTAATCTGGACCCAAAGATTTTTTTTTTCCCAGCTGGTATGTCCATGGGTTATTCAAAACATTAATTTATTGTACTGATCCAACTGAACCTGCACTTTTGAAATACATGAAAATACAATTCATCCTTCTAAGGTTGTACTAAATCCTACTTCTCATCGTCAGAAATTATGCCGTTGGGGATCGATTTCTTCTCCATGTAAATGCGGCCATTGGACTAAAACTGGCTTTAAGGTTCCACACATGCTCCATAAGTTGCACACCTACTTTTACCCCAAAAGTTGAAAAGTTGAAAGGCAGAAATTTGTTAATATGAAGCCAAATAGTGAAGAAATCTTCTACAAATGTAGTAAGATCGTTTTCAAGACAATATGTTCAATCTGTACAAACAAAAGGTACAGAGCTGTAAAAGTGACAGTGTTTTCATTGTTCAACAAAAATACTATTAGCCAGTTAGTAACATGTATGTCGATTGCTTTGTTCTGAGATCAGGTTGACGAGGAGACAACCCAGTCGTAATGAGCTGAAAGAGGGCATGTTGCCATCTGACATAATCAATAATTCAACTCTTGCTTGGTTCTTGTACAATAGGACAGGGGAAATAGTCCGGTTAAACTTCCCTATCAAACTATAACCATAGCTCAACTTTACTGTACATGTAAACATGTTGAATGTCAACTTGCTGTGAGGCAATCCTAACCACATGACTGTGCAGTCTTTCCTTGCATTCTTGGTTGATTAATGTTACTTTCATAGCGAATTAGATAATTCAAAAGTGTAGACTCTAGTGTACAGATGCCAAAACTCTGATTCAAACCCAGATACAACTTGCTGTGAGGCTGTAGACCTTGCCACCACACTAGTGTTCTGCTCTGTAGGGCTACCAATTCAGGATATTTTGCTTTCCATTATTCCTTGTGGTTTTTCAAAAGCATCATCGGTTCTTCAGAGAGGCTGTTAAGCATTGCATGACAAGTCCATGGCTGGAATTTGAACCCAGTGCCGACTTGCTTTGAGGTGGAAGAACATTCTGGCAACACTTAAGGACACCCCAGGTTGGTTTTTGAACCAATTTGGTGTCAGCAATGCCAAGCATCACACTACCCTATGTATATGTTTGATTTGTACAATACATCTGTGGCTACTTGATAAAATGTAAAAGGAGTAATCTGTGTGACTGGCAGTAATCTTGGGGGCAAGGTTGGTATGTATACCAAATTTCATTGTCATCTACTACATAATTTTTGGGATATTTCAAGTTGAACCAAAGTGGTGGCTCAACAAAATGAAAGGTTGTGACCCTTTTACAAAGTGTTTGTGAGAATATGTAAAAAACATTCAAACAGTCAAAACATTGAATCTCTGCATCACTTTCACCAGAGATATATTTTTCTTTCAATTAATGCATATGCTGGTTCAGCAAGAAAGTACCATTGTATAAAAACAACACAAAAGTCAAGTGGAAGTGATTGTTAACCTGTATTGACAGCTGTCACATGGTTCATCATAATGATAACAGTCACAATGACACCAACAGAAATGTAATGCAGCCAGAACTCAGGTACTCTTGGTACTCAGATTTGCTCCTACTATTTTACTCTCAAAGCTAAATTACACCTCCAACATCCAATCATCCCGCTCACACAGAGACAAATACTGATTCATTGAATCTCCTCATGACCAAGGCTCTTTCATGACCCCTCAATCAACCAGTTCGAGAAGTGTTTCAGATTAGTTCTAGACTGATAATCCAAATGCACACTCTCTCAGATTACTTTGCCGGTGGATTACGGGTCGGGCATCATCTCATATTTGCTGCCATAGGAGAGAGACTCATGCCTGTGCTGTTTTTGTTCGTGTATCCTTGTGTGCTTCCAACAGGAATTGGTGCTATTTATACTTGGGCATATTTGGTATCCAGATTTATACCTGTTTTTGGAAAGGTAAATTCCATTGCCTGCTGCTCCTTTCTTTTTTAAGAACATTTTATTTCAGAATAAAAGAGATGCTTCTTGTCTCTCAAAGATTAAATAAAAAAGCTGATCTGCAGTCTGTCCATTCAGCTTCTGAGCTCACTGAAACTAATGTCTGGATGATTAGATAGAAGATTGTTTAATCATACTGATATGATTGGTTTTGGCATCACTCCCTGCTTAAAGTTCAGAGGCTTTACCCTGCAGTTTTTTTCTGTTTCTGTAGTGTTTAGGTTTAGGATTATAGCTGAATATAACTTTCAACACTCTTAACTGTTTTAGAGGTCCACTCTGTCCTTGAAACTTGGCGGGAACATCTCTTGGCAGACTCTATTGTATGTATTTACGACTGATGTGCTCATTTGTTTTTGCATGCCATGAATACGAATGTCATTTGACTCATTTATTTCTGACATATCTCTTCAGGGGGATTTACACATCTCACATATATAAAACCCATGTTTTTGTTCCAGCCTGCAGACGGAGTCAAGGGCATAGTTATCCAGACCTCTGGCCAGCAGAGAGGGAAAATCTCTTTGCTCCACCAGGAAAACAATAAGGAAAGTGAGAGAAGACGCGACTGATGAATAGCAGGACTCCCTGTCCAGCCAACCTCAGAGCTTCTCTCTAAATTGGCCGTGTGTCACATTAGCATTCAGGCTGTCCCTTTTTCCATCCACTGAAATGAATCACATCTTATTACAGTAATGAAAGTGCCATGACAGAATTGATTAAAAACTGCCGTAATGAAACAGTGAAACGGAACAGTGCACAGTAAAGACAGACAAATAAAAAACAATAAATGAATCGGAACAGATGAGGCGGAAAAATAGCCCGTCAAATGGACGAAAAATGACAGATAAAAGTTGAAAAGACAAGAAATAAAGGGATCAGATTTAACAACTTGCTAACATGGCGGCAGCTCTTGGAGTCTGTAAAGAGAATAGAGAAAAGTTATTTTGCTAAGATTGACATATTTACAGTAATTTACAGTTTGTTGATGTGTCGCAGTTTGAGATAAGTGAAGATAAGCACACACTTTCCTCGACGTTTTCTTAGAGCTAACAGGAGTACTGCTTAAGCTTATTTCTGAGCAGTAGTTGAAAAGTGAGAGTCACCAACGTAATCAAAACTCCCCCTGAGAGGGACCTGATGAGAAATCCTCCAAATGAAAGACAAAGTCATCTGTTACAGCCACTTTAAAGGGTCACAGAGGAGCATTTTCTGATCTCAATTCCCATAAACTATTTCATGATCTGACAAAGCTACAAAGTATGACACCAGATGAGTCATATTGCCCCAGATTCTCCTGTGTAGTCATTGTAGTCACAGAGTTAGAGTGAAATTCTCACTATGTGGTTTGGTGGTGATCAGTCTTGTGTGATTGGACAGAAATAATAACCACAAAGTCCCTCAAATCTCTTCAAGTTAAGCAAAATCGATAGAAATAATTATATTACATAGCAACCAATTTCCTCAAATGTGACACTTGAGATGTGATTTAAAAGCTTAGTTTGCAAGTGAAAACAAATAAAGGAAGGGGAAAATTAGGAAGGACATTAGGCCATATTTCAAGGTACTCATCAAGCTAAATAACTCATTAGCTCCAGCTGCAATACAGATCACATCAGCAATGAGTCAATAACAAGTTTAGATCACCATTACTAAGGGATTTCTTCTCAAAACCTGATGAATATACAAATAATACGCTTTTGTTTGTAGCAAACTGACTATAAAACTTGAAATGTGGCCAAAAGTTCCTCTGTTTTTCACTTTAGAACATCTTTGTGCTGACTTTTCAATAAAAAGGAAGAGAAACTGCAAAACAAAATGTCAGATTCTGAATATTTAACCACATTACAACCTGAAATATAATGTTACATCATGAGAATAAAGTATGGGCTCTATGATTATTATTCAGACTTGTCTAGGTGGTTAAAGATTGAAGAGCTACACAACTACTACGGCACAGTTAAGAATAATCTATGAAAGTATGTATGGTAAAGGCTTTATAAACCATCCAATGTGGAAACAGTTTGAAGGTGAATATTAAGTAAAGGTGAGAAACAGTTTGAGAGCTGTGCAGGTGGCAGAACAACCTTCAACATGAGGAGAGTAAAGATGGTCATCTGCCGTGGCAGCCGCATCCAGCAGAGTTGTTGCCCAAGTGGAACCCAGAGGGGGTTGTTGAAGCGGTGGACTGATCAGGACATGGAGCAAAAAATATGCAAAGGAAGCAGGAGAGGAAGTATTGAGGGTTGAAATGATTCTGTATGTGTTAAGAAAGGAATAGAAAATGGCTGCCTGAGCCAAGCTATCAAACCCACCCTCCTATAAACACAGACAATCCCACCAAATAAAAAATCCACATAGCGGGGAGCTTCATTGCTCTTCTTTCTAATACTGCTGGCCAAGCAGTTTAGCAGCCTGAAGTCTGTTTCATATTGGATGGTAATAAGCCTGAGTTTCAACCCATAACTTCTCATGGATTTCATTACTTTCCTGCCCTTCTCTTGCCCTGCCCTTTTGCCCCCTTGACCTTTCAGTGCTTTGGATTTCAAAATGATTTACCTGGAGTATATCACCTGCTTCAGCCGTAATATCAACCTTTAAAAACAGCAGAAAAGGAAAGTGTTTCTGTTTTGCTTCATAACTTTTTGATTCCCTGTGAGGCATACATCAGCCACACGCTGAGCTCAGCAGTCTGACTGTTTGACACTTTCCGAACATGCAATATGTCGTCGCTCAGGCCCCTACCGTGCACAGCGTGTGTGAATGTGTTTATGTTGATGGTGCACAAGCATGTTTGTGTGCGTCGCTTGTGTATATGTGTATGTTAGAGAACCATTCACACATTAATGCACTTCTCCTGGTTAACTCTGACCTCATCGAGCTCACACATCTGAGCTTCCTGTTGCCTAACAGAGAACAACAACAACAACAAACACAGCAACACCAACAATAAACACAGCAGCAACACCACTTGTTCACATGTTGTCATCAGAGAAGTCTCTCGACTGCAGATGTCTGGCTGAATACTTCAAGTCGTTGAAGATTAGCAGTGGAGTTTGGCAGCAGAGCTGTTCTCTCTCATGAGGAAAAAACAGGCAGTGTTGATTGGACTGAAATACATGTATCCGTTCCAGTGAATCCTTATCCTCAAGAATGTAATCTAATTTTTATTATGCAAAACTAGAAACCATGTATATGAAATAAGTAGATGATATAATTGCTCAACAACTGTGGCGCCGAAGATTTAGATCTCTCCTTGATGACTGGCTGCAGGATCGTTTGACCCCAGAGTGTGGGTCAAACCCCAACAATGAAATAATAATTTCTCATATACACTTACATTCCCTCTTATCATGCTGATTTATGCCCAAGGGTTCACTTTTACTTTCAAGTTGGTAACATAGTAAGTTTTAATAAGTAACTCTGTCAACAGAGTTGATTGATTGACAGCTCTTTTAACAGATTTGGACTCATGCAGAGTTTTGTTCTGGACCAGCAGAAGAAAAAAAAAACAGTAACAGAAGTCAACAAGTAGGATTGGTAGTTGTTACGTGATTTGGTTAGAAATAAGGGTGTGGCATCTCTACCAGCCAGGCCGCTTTTGAACATGCCTTGGCTGCACCAATCTGATAACGTTGGCACTCTCGGATACATTTGTTTTGCTTCATATTTCACACTGGAAAGGAAATAAAGCCCATTTTACAAAAAAATCAATGTGCAAAACATAATTAAAGTCACACAAAACATAAAGATGAATGAAGGGAAAGGCAAAAAGTTCTGAAAAAACGTAAGTCAAGAATTAGAACAAACTACTCGATCCAGTTTAGACAATCTTCTTACTTGGTTTCTTTTTATTCCACTCAGTTATGTGTGTATATTATGTATGTATTTCAAGTTAAATAATTTTAAATAATTTAAGTGTGCTAGTTGGTATGATGAATGGGAGTATTTATGGTTATCATCATAAAACACAGTACAACATTAGTTATCTGTGGGATGATTGTTGGACTCTGTGTACAGCATGTATTGGTTCTGTGTTTCTTGCGTCTCTTCATTGTCTCTGATGCTGTGCACTGCTTCTTGATGAAATTCTCACATACGTCTCAGAGGAATATGAGAGTGAACAGATTTCTAATTAAACTGTGTGTAATGCGATGAGTGACTGATGTGTATTCCCCCAAATGCCGAGTAATTACAAGGTGAAAACTGATGTGGAACATCTGGCTTCTCCCTCGTGAAATAGAAAAAAAACATTGTGTGCAGATTTGCCACAGTCAAACAAAACCACTATAGTGCATAATTTTAAATCCTTAACACTATTCTGATTTTAGTTTTAATACCTAAGCAGCTATATCCAGAAATAATAACAAAATTAGTCAATCAGACCAGCTTTCACATGAGACTGGAGGCAAATTGTGGATAAATCTGGAAAAGAGAAGAACAGTGTGTGATGTATTATATTGAGGGTGCGCTTATACTATACTTAAGGTAAAATCTGGAATATTGGTGAGTATATGAAGGCCAGGTCATATTCCCAGAGTGATTTAAACACTCCTCCTCCATAATAATATCCTTTGTGTTTAACAAAATCCACATTATGCAGCTTTTTTTTCAGCTGTACAATCTTTTTTTTTTGTCTTGCCATGTTTGATGTAATGGAGTTGAGGTTGTGGTAATTTCTTTGGACCAATTTACCACGAGTGCTGCCATCCACCTTTGTAAGTCACTTTTTGTTGTGTATTGTTGTATTGCGGGGTCTTTTTAAACAAACAGGTGCTCCTTGAGGTTTATTTACCTAATAGCATGCTATGGCTTTCTTTACATGGAGTAAAATACTTCACACTGTCTTACTGGTCTTAACAAAAAAAGGATTCAACCTCCTTCTCAAATATATATAAAAAAACATGACTTATGTACCAGATTTGATGGTACTTAATACCTCTTAACTTTCTCTGTTGTCTTGGGGTTTGTTTGTGTGCACAGCAGCAAGTTGGTTCTGTATTTATGGTGTGTTTATAGACTCTCTTTCCAGATGCTCCTCTGCAATAATGTGGAGGACAGGAATCCATAGAGGGCTGAAAACAAATAGGCGACACAGATGCAATGGCAGCTGAGCTCTTACACACAAACACACACAGCCGACACACATGGTCTCCTCACATATATGTTTTTAACCCCTCCATGATCACAGAGATCATACCATGTTTCAAGCTCAGGATGCTGCTTTCCCCTGCATTTCTCACTTGGTGTTTCTGTGTCTTTTTACTCTCTCGCAGATTATTCCTCTGCTTTGATGTAATCTAAGTGTGTCGTGTCTTGTACTGATACACAGCAGATTGTATCTAGTTTGAAAAAACCCTAATGCTCTGTAACCCTTAGGCATGTGAAGGTTTATTCTCTAGCAAAACTGCATAGCACATAAATTTTTTTTATTTATCATGCAATCATCCCAATTAATTCAAAGTAGAAAACATTCCTGGTCTAATGATGTCTGACTGTCACACTTACGTAGCTGCAGTGATTCTGTGAAACCAGAGAAGGATTTGATAGATGAAGATACTGGTGGTCTGTCAGACAAAAATACCTGAAGAGTAACAGCCCACTGCTCTCATCCACACATGTAAACACATATGGATGTAACATATGGCCTGTCAGGGATCACTCTATCATGAGCTTGCTGTCTCTATCCTCAGCTATAATCTATCTCTAGAGATGGGATTCTCTGTTTATCCTCAGTTATGTAATGATCTTTATGTGTTGATGGTTTCCACTCTTAAGTCTTCCTTTCTTTCTATGTAAACATCAGCTTTATAGATTGTTTATTTGCTGTTGTCTTGCAAACATTTACTAGCTTTATCTTGATGTTGGGTCTTCTTATTCTACCCTGCATTGATGCTACACAAAGAAACAACATAATAGGGGATTTATTTGGACACAAATGGGCAATTATCTCGCTCTGAAACCGGAAAAGAAGGCCAGACAAAGCTTGTTTCAAACTGTGAAAACATGGTCCCCATTGTAGTATAAGTATGCAGCAGCTCATCCGTTTGCTTTATGAATAAGGTGGTTAGGAAGTTTTTATTTATTTATCTGTGCATCCCTTCCTGAGAGCTGCAGTTCTTCCATGTTCCTTTGTCATGATTTGTTTCACTTATTTTAATTCCCACAATCCCTCAATGAATGTCATGCAGGAGGCGTTATTCAGCACTTAAGTGTCCCTGGTGTCACACAAACACTGCATACAACATGAGGCACACAGGCTGTAATGTTTGTTAGTTTTCTTTTGCAGCTATCTTTCAGTCTGTTTACTAAGATACCAGCCTTGTAAAGTTGGAATGTTTTCATGCTCAGGTGTCTAATTGTATTGCAAAAAATTTAAACCTCAAACAAGCAGATAACTTTAAGTTTAGATAACATACGAGATCAGAGAGATAAGGAGAAACGTCAGAGAGCATCAATTTCTTTTGCATCACTTTTTCCTCATTACATTTAGTGGAGAAAAAGACATTTTAAGATAAGGTTTTGTCGTCCCCCAAGCCTGCAGACCTATATAAATTGAATCTTGATTTTCCTAAAGGAGTAAATGCACCAAGCATCTCGCATGAAACGTGGTCCCTGTCTTACTGTCTGGAGCTCATCCACAAAACATCAAACAACGTAAAGTTGGGAGGGAGTGCTGTTGGCCACACAAAAGACATCTGAGCTATATCCAAGACCACAGAAGAAAAACATGCCCCACATTCTCCAGCTCGCATGATTTTTTTTTTTTTTTTTTTTTTTTGGGCATATTCCAGCTCAGATTTCACACATCATCTCCCTTCCATCTCTGAGACTAAAAAAGGAATCCTTGCCACTTTTCAAGAATATCATAACTTCACTGTGACAAATGCAACTTTCTCTTTTATCTATGTACTGAGAAGAGTTTTTTGTTGTTCAAGTCCAAAAGGTTTTAGGAGAAAGCAAATGGATTCAGTTTGAATGTATTACTCGCCTCCGTTTCTTTAGGAGAACAGCAGCTTCCTCCTCATTTCACACGATGGCATGGAGAGTACATCACAATGATAAAGCTGGAGATTAAGAGCCCTCTGTGACACAAACAGCCCACTCTTTAATGTCTCATTACTCTCTCTGGTTACCAGTGAGGACATTGACGCTGACATTGTTTATAGATGCGCTCATCTTTAAACATGACATTTAATCTCGGATGCCATCAGCTATTCTTGGACAATGACTCAAATGCAGATGTCAGCTAATGGGAATTTGACCGTTATTAATCAGTCGTATAACTTATTCCCGCTTTGCTTTGTATTTTCTTCATTGGTTTGTTTCACACCGAGACATCTGGTTTAAAGAACCACGAGAGGTGGAACAAAGCAAATCCCCTCCTTTTACGCTCTATCCCAATAGATCCACTTAGAGCCTGTTTTACAGAGAATAAATAAACTTTATTCACATTGGAAGCAAAAATACTCACACTTGGAATAAGAGCAAAAGAGATACAGACACCAATGACAGTAGATACAAGGTGGCTGAAAGGTGGAGGTGGAACTAAACACACTAATGACTTTGTTGTGAGAATCTGCCACTTGGCTGCATTTACAAAACACAGAAAACACTTTCCAACACACAGGCATTTTTAATCTACAGTTTATTCTCCAGTGATACTGTGGTGGAAGATGGGACAGAGAAGATTTACTGTACGATATTATCTGTTGAGTTCAAGGTTAAAAAAAATCTATCAATCTGCAACTTCATTAAAACAACTATGAACAAATTCCTGCAACTTCATAAAAATGAGGCTTTTAAAAGCAGAAATATAACTTCCACTCAGACTGCTTCCTTTAGTTTCACATCAGAGTTGAATGTGCAGTCTCAGAATTCATTAACCAAACAATAAAACAGTGTTTGACTACACGGTAAACACACACTTGTGCATTTCTCTTTGTGCACAGCCACACAGAATTTCCTGATTCAACATAGTGGATCACTCATTCTTCACAAAACCAAACTGTTATTGTAACATCACAGATAGTTTTGTAAAATATGAAACACATCGCACAAAACTGATGTAATGAAGCATTTCATTTCAGAACATCTCTCTACACTTGTGTCGAAGCTATCAGTTATTTTTAACACGCCATGAAAGGGGGTGAAAGAAAATAAAAATCAAAATTAGGGTGAAACAGATGCTGTGAAATGACACTGAGTTCTTAACGGTTCATCAGACAGTCTTAATGAACAGATGACTGGTGCAACCCTAGACTTGACAATCTGTTTCAAATGGAGTCAGCAAGCAGGAGGGGATTTAGCATTGTGTAGTATTGCACTGTGCATGAGGACAAGTCTATCAGCAAATCCATGCCTGCAAAGAAACAGTGACTTAGATTGCATATGGTCCTGTTTTACCTGTTTGTATGTTGTATAGATTTAGGGAATCTGACAAAAAGCTGAAACTTGACTGCTTCTTAAGTGAAAGTGAATGAAAAGTCAAAGTCTTCTTAAAGTAGAACCATTCATTCATAACCCATGAGCTGTCTTTAGATTTAAAAAAGGGCAGCATTTAGTCAGTTACCATTAGCCAGAAAGTGGTAAAGCTAATGCTACCATTTGAAGTGTTTAAAAGACGATTAAAAAGACAAAAATTCTTATCCCACTAAATGCAAGGTTGGCAAGAAAGTGCTCGATCCCTAACATTAACTGGTGTTAAACATTAGCTTTGCAGTGATCAAATATTTAGTTTGATCATGACATACAGCTTTACGCCCCCACATCTTCATGACCTTTTCATGCTTTATTGCTTATTTATCTGGAAGCAAATAATGAGTACATTTGACCCTTCATTCAAATGAAGCACAGACAGATTTGCTCTTGACTAAGCTTGGTGCCAGATGAGAATGGTTCATGTACGATCAAGTTGAATTAGCTGAAGAAAAAAAACATGATAAAGTGGACGGTGACAGAAGACAGCTCATTTGGATCTGAACCTTGCCTCTTCCTTTCACAATAAATGTACACCATTGCAACATAATGCTTTTAAGTTTAACTCCCTGGAGCAGACAAATCTGTCAACCTGCCGGCAGCCAAGTTTGGACATCCTCAGTTTATAATTATTAATCATCAATTACAACAACTCATTGATAATCACTTTACCATGCATCCTGTCAAACCTGCATTTAGAAAAAAAGTGAATTACATTGACAGAGTTTATGTCCTTCTTTCAAAACCAATCCTTACTGGATCTCCACACCGGGACATGTTCTGCAGATATTTAAACCAGCACTAAATGATACTTTCACATCACCGCTTTCTTACAACGCCAATAAGAAGAGAAAGTCTTTAACTTTCTGATGGGTTCAGAGGGTAAACAGTCTGTGTATGGACTAGTGCTGAATGACACACACAAGACAGCACAGGCTGGTACAGATGAACTAGAAAAGAGGCAGTGAGGTGGACCTTGGTTTTATACAAGAAAAAGAGCTGGTTTTTAAAGAAACAATGACATTTATACTGCTCTGTGGGTAAAGACAACAAGTATCCACGTTGCAGTGCCGTCATTCAAACTGATACTATTAAAAAGACAACCCATAAAATGCTTCCTTCATATCACCCCCTGCAAGCTTGACCGTCTGCTTGACACTGAAACCTTGAATTATTTTTTCCTAACTGGTTCAAATGAAAAAAGCCGCAAACTCTACCACATATTAGAGTTTCAAAAGACAATTATTCTCAACTGTGTGGCCCATCGTCTTCTCAAAGGGCTCACAGGCTCAATGTTAAGGACCATAAACTGCACATTTTACATAACTTTTCCCCATCCCCCCCTTTTTTTTAATCTCTTTTCTTTATTCTGTCTATTGTCCTATTTCTCCTCTCTTGCTGCTGAAACCAGCTATGTGAAGTCCTTGGAAACAGCCTCTATGAAGTTGGGTGCTGACATGAGGATGGTGAAGGTACAAATGATGGAGAAGAGAGAGAAGGCCACCAAGCACAGCCGGTCTACAACCGCCGCTGCAAACTTCCACTCGCTGCAGATGGCCTCAGCCACATCCTGGTCGCGGAAACGCTGGGCGATGTACGAAACCTCCTCCAAGATGCGCTGGATCTCTGGTGGGGGGATGCTCACGCCAATCCCAGCTCCAACTCCCATCCCCAGACCCCCAACACTGCTGCCAACTCCTCCAGGTGGCTCAGCCTCATCGCTGGGTGAACCGTGGGTGCGTCCTCCAAGTGCCACCCCTGAGTCACTGGAAGGTGGGCAGGGCGGGCTCTCTATGGGGTGGTAGTTGCTGAAGTAAAGGCTCATGGAACCATTGGAGGTGCCTGTGGGGCACGGTGGGCAAGAAGTCTGTGAGAGGGGCACACTGAGGCTCGGTACAGCACCCATCTCTATGGAGCTGGTGCTGGAGTGGTGCTGGGTGGGGGGACGGTACTTGTAGCCTGGCCGCTTGCGCTCGTCACCAGGCTGTTTCATCCGGAGAAACCAGGCGCACCAGTTCAACAGAACCACTCGAACCTGGGAGAAAAACGAGAGCGATATGGTGAAATACGTTATTACCCGACTTTCTCAGCAAAAACTCAGCTGTGTTAAACTTTTGAGTGCTCACATGTCACAGTCACCCACTGAAGGCAGAGGCGAGCTAATGCCAGTGTAACTTTACAACTGCAAAGCTCCGTTGGTTAACATTAACTCTACCTTAAATGGATGTTCAGTTTTAGTAAATCAGGCTGTATACATGAATCACTTTGAAATCAATAAAATATCAATATTTTGTCCTTGTTTGTAGCCTCGTTTAGCAGCTGTGTAATGGGTGGGATTCATCTAATATTAATATACGAAAATCCTAGAATGCTAAAAGCGTAGTTTTTCTCAGTCGCTTAGATCAGAATGAAAGTTCTCACAACTATCAGTTCAACCTCCACAACATTGAGTCATTTGTGCACATCATCATAGCAGTTTCTCATTCCTCTGAACAAATTGTAACTGCTCTTGGACATGTATCAGTTTCTTTCATACAATTCTCTGCTGTTTTATAACATTATCATTCGCTCCTGTCATGTCAGTCAAAATGAACTATACTTATGAATGCTGAATAGTCATTCCCTATGAAACTAATAGTCCTCATTTCATTGCTTGAGTCATTATATACAAAATTGTTTTAACTCATGAGGAGTTGTGTGACACATTAGTTGTGAGCAATGACAAGCCACTTGTCCACAGTCACTCAGAGCTGAATCCCATGAACCCTCACTTGGCAAGCATATATAAACCAAGCAGGACATAGTGTGTACCATTTCTACAATTCTGCGACACAAAATAGAAGGCCAGTGTCGTGGAGGAGGGGTGAGAATGTGGGGAGGAAGGGGAAGGGGACAAAACAGGGGCAGAGGAAGAAGAGGTGAAGTACACAGACAAATCCCTGATGAAATTAGGGCTACACTTGTGAACCATGTTGTCAATCACGGCCTCATTATGGCTGAGGCTGGTCGAAAGGTGCAAACAAATGTAGGGAGAACCACTGTGAATCCTATGTTTATTCTAAATAAGTGACTGTGACTTTATTATTTTGCACAAAGCTGTACAATTGCAAAGAGTATATGCAGTAAATATGTCAAACATACATGCATCTTGTATTCAGTTACGTCACTAAATACAGTAATGTGTAACTTTACTGTAGTATTCAAATGGCTGTACAGTTAGTGTATAGTGCTGTCTTGAGCATTTTCAGGTAGTGTAACCAAGATCTGACTTTCTTGCATTGGAAAACACAGAGAGAGAAAAGTGTCATAATGAAAACATGACAAACCCATTTGACTGTCTTGTTCATAAAAAATGGTGTCAGGACTTATTATTTTGATAACACAGACACTTTTATTGACACGAATACTTGCTTTTGAGGAATCATCTATTCATTTTGACCAAGTGACGTGCTTTTGCAGGTTATCCACTAGGTTTTGCAGTTTGTACTAATTGTTCTGAGAAATGCACCAACTGTTGTGCAAATGTTAATAGTGATGTGAGAGATGCACCAAACTGTAAAATGATGATACTTAGAGTTATCTCCTTAAATGTGTTTCTCTCACTCACCCATTTTGGCATCTTGCCTCCCTGAGGGTCATGGTGGTGGAACTGCAGGACTATGACTGTCACCACCACAGACATCCCCACAATCATCATGGTGCTGGCAAAATACTGAGCTGCAGAGAAGCACAGAAAAGAGCAACATCAGCATGCTCTCAGGGGGACACTTTAGTACCTACTTTTGAAGTTCTTCGCCGACCTCTCCTGACGGTCACATATAACAGGCATGTTTTAGCAGGTTAAACATTAAGCTTGAATGAACTCCAAAAAAATAGGTTGATTTCACACCAAAACATAAAAGGAAAGCAAAGCCGTCTGTGAAAAAAGATATATTGCCCAGAGGAAAGTATGCATTTAAACAAGGGAAATAGATTCTGTGTAAAAAAAAAAAGGAGTAAACAGAATAACAGTAAACAAACCAAAAGGAGGAAACAAATAAAACAGTAAGGAAGAGAAAGCAAGAAAGAAGGAGAGAAGTGGGGGATTTGTGCTGGTTCTGGAAAGACCCATATGAGGGAAGAGTAAAAAGAAGGGGAGCATTAACTGTGCACTGTGCTCATCCACAACATGTGCACACACACACACAAATATACATCTGAAGGTCTGCCCTCAATTCTCTTGTTTGCTTGTGACTGTAAACAAAGACGCGCTAAGACAGGACTATGCGACCTTGCTGCAGTGCCGGCAAAGTAATATGTCATATGACGTGAACAAGAGTTGTGACCTTATTTGTCAGGTTATTGAAAAACAAGATAAATGGAAACAAGGACGGGTGCTTTTTAAGATTTAGGGGGAAGAAATGGGAGAGAGGAGGTAGAACTAGATATTGAAAGATATGTTTTTGTAACATGAGGCAATAATTACTTTCTATGAGAAATTTGAAGTCAGCAAAAACTGCAAACACTGCGATACACAATTTAAAAAAATTACACACCTGAAACCAATCCAAAATGCTCTTGAATCAAGTAACACTGGTCTAACTCAGCTAACTGATATTAATGCTTGATTTATCTTGTCATTAAATTCTGCGGTTGAATGTAAACACTTAAATAAGATATAATGTATAGTAAACAGGCAGTTATGTGAATTAAAGTCTGGACAGGGGGAGCAGGACCCTGTGCTCCTTCAGCTCTCTCTTCTCTTAGAGCTCTGCAGTCACTACACCTTTGAAGACGATGAGATAAAGTCACAAATTTGATCAGCATTATTGTTCTTATCACCATTTCCTCTTGTCTTTTTTTGTTACTTTGTAGCTATAGGCGGGTTCCTATGCAAGTATGGAAAAGTATGGAAATAAATTTGATGAATTTCCATATATTAAAAAGTATGAAACATGAAAAATAAAGTATGGAAAAATATTTATGTTTCCAGACTATTACCACAGTTCTAAAATACTGTTTTCCGAAATCGAAAAGTAGGTATTTCCAAAAATAGTTCTAAAAAGTAGGGTATGGAAAAGTATGGAAATTCCAACTGTGAAGGAACCCTGTATGGGAATCTTGGAGATAAACCCACCATTCAAATCCCTCATGTTTCTCAGCCTATTGATTGAAAATACTAAATGAAATACGATTGCCACATGTTAACAGGCAGAGGAGAACCGTCTCAGACTCTACTATGCAAATACATGACATGGGTAACACTTATAAACATATGCATACATAAAAACCTATCACTTATAATGCATTAAAAGCACATATAGAAAGCATTATTGATGGTATATATTATAATAAACCTATGGGTTATTATGAATGCCTGTAATCACATGTAAAATTGTTATACATGCATTAATAGGGCTTCATAAATGAGTGGGTTTATGTAAAGTGTGACAATGGCATGTATAATCAGGTTGCCCCTAGAGTTGTTTTTGCTGTCGAAAATTAATCACCATTGTTAGCGGGCTTTGGCCAATCAGAATCAAGCATTAAAAACAGCCTGTTTTATGAACTGTAATTAAATACAGTAACTCATGTCCACATTTAGCCTCTGCTTCGTAGAGGGACATGAGTCATATTAACAACCCCACTCAGTGTGTCTATGATGGCCTTGCGCTGAGGTCATGAGAATAAAAAAAATACTGAATTATCACTTTTTTTGGTGAGGCATTTGTCAAGCTTTTCTCAGTGAGCAAGGCTATCATACATTGATGTAGTGGTAACCATGTTCAACATGAACACTTCATCACTTACACCGACATAATGTTCACTTTAAACGTACGGTAGATTTGACTTTGACACATTACAGGGATTCACACAACACACTCTCTCTCTCTCATACATGCTAACAGCAAGTCTCCTCACAAACCTTTGAAGATTTCTCCGGGAGGTCTCAAACCCAAAGGTTACTCATCTCTTCCTCTACCCTGTGGCTTCTTCCCCACTTCATCCATTATGTCTTCTTTTACCTTTCTTTACTTTCTTGCCCAGTAGAGGATCATTTCATAGCCTATTAATGTTGCTGACAGCTTCAGTTCTGGCCACCCAATTTACTTCACACACCAGCGGGAGAAGTGTGAATGATGTATAGGCACCCTTGGGCTACTCAGACCAAAGTACAACCGTATACAAACATAGGTTTTTATTTATTATTTTTTAAAGAGGCCATATGCAATACACAGAGAGCAGTGAGGCAACTCACAAACTCTGAGAGCAATAACTAATGTATGATTTATATCATTGGTATTTATTCAAAGTGCAAGAATGACTCAGAGGGACACTTAAGTTGTTACTGTGGAGTGGTCAGCGATGCCTGTTTGCTGATGCTGATCGATTGTACAGTCACTTTAGTTTTCCAAAGACATTTTTTTTCCCCCTCTGGTGTTTACAGGAGGCACACATGCATTAACTAATGCTGCGTCAGGAAGATCAGGAGAGGTGTATTACAAATGTTTAAGAGTTAATGTTCCATCTGCAACGTTGCTCTCCTCTGCAGACATGCCACTGTAGCTTCCAGCACACACTTAAACATGTTGCACTTGCATGTTACATGTAAACACATAAATTAAACCCACCGATGAGAGGGACAGAGTCAGACGTGGCAGGCATGATCTCTGCTACCAGAAGCATGAAGACAGTTAGCGAGAGGAGCACAGTGATGCCTTGAGACAGAGATAGAGAGAGATGGTGAGAACATGAGCATTTACATAACGATGTGATCAGGATCACTGGACTAAGAAATCATTTCTGTAATTACTTTTGTATGTAATCAGTTTGGTTCTCATGACTGTAACCATTTATCCGCTGCAGGCTCTTCTGACATGTCAAAGGTAGGTTACAGCTGCAAAAATCTCTCAAACGCTCTGATTTTGGTGAATGTGACTGCTTGTTTGCTGACAACTATTCATCAAAACCCACTCGCATTGATACTGCTCCAAACAGGTTTAGGAGCAGGCCTCTTGTTTTGAAAGTCAATTTTTCTGAGGTGATTTGGTATGCATATATTCATGGGTTGCTATCCGATTGAACAGGTTTTTAGACAAATGTGCATGCCCTGCAATATAGGTGTGCTTGATGTATTTGCGTGTTGGTGTACAGTAGAGACTGCATCAGTAAAAGCTATAACACTAACTTGTGGACCTTTTCATGTTTGTTGAAAACTTATTACTTCAATTTTAATTTTTTTTTATCTTACCAAAGGCCCTGTGCAAAACGTATATAGCTTTTTTCCACAGCTTAACATTTCAAATTCACTTATAGTGAGGTGCTGTGCGTTTCTTTTTAGGTTTCCTCACCCAAAGAAATCTTTTCTCCAGAGTCTGCAGGCAGCAAGAAGACCAGCAGGGCCAAGCCAGAGATCAGCACACAGGGGATGAGCAAATTGAGGCCATAATACAGTGTCCTGCGGCGCATTGTGACCGTAAATGTAACATCTGGGTATGGCTCCTTACAACACTCATAATACAGCTCATTGCGCTTGGCTGGCACACCTAAGAGAGGAGAACACACAAACACTTAAAGGGTTAGATATTCGTGGACAAACAAGATGATAAACGTTTGAGATCTCCAGACTGATATATTAATCAGTCAGACCAGGATAAGTGTACATGTTAGAACTCCTCCCACACTGATGCATGAACTTTGGTTGTGTTTTAACATATTTGAATAAGCTGCTGCAAACAAATTGTGCCAGAGGGAGGAGTAAAGTTCAACAATTTTAATGACTCTGTTTGTCTGTTTAGATATGTCAAATGTCCCGATGAATGATCTGATTCAGCTTTGAGGCAGGATTGTATCTGAGTTGGAGTGACTTTTTGAGTTGTTTTTCTTTTTACATTCAACTATCTCACCTCAAACTCTAAGGATTTGGTTTGCTGTTTTTCTAACAACTATTTCTAGCACCAAATGACAAAATCTTTGAAGTCCTGATTTGGAACAAGACAATGTAGCCTCCAAAAGTGAACAGGTTTTGATATCCTTATCCTTTCTGGAAACACCCTCCTGAGGAATTCTCTTAAATCAAATTATCCACCATAATGATGTTGAATCATGAACTTATCTGTATAATTGAATTGCAGCTGCTCTTTGTGGGCACGAGCCTTTGGGCACTAAAATGGTCTGCTTTAAGAAATTGAAAAGATCATGAATATTGTCTAAATGAACTGCTGGAGTATCTCACTTTGTTCCACAGACTAAATTAAGCAGTAATTACTGTGTCGTAATTTGGAGAGCTTTAAAAGAATTGCTTTTCAGAGCTTTTTTTTCACAAGGACTCAATTTACAAAACAAGGGTAATTGATTACAATAGCTCCTGCCATGGCATTGAATATTCTTATGAAGTCATAAATGTTGATGACTACAGCTACAAGAAAATAACTGTTCCTCTCTCACCCACGAGGTCCCACTCCCCATTGGAGATGTAGGTGGACGTGTCCACATCCAGCATCTGGAGGTCCAGCAGCCAGCCGTTGTGAGTCCAGGAGCCAAACTTCAAGTCACACTTTTGCACGTCAAAAGGGAACCAACGCACATCGATGTAGCACGTGCTCTTCAGGATACCAGGGGGAATGTATTGGCAGTAACCTGATGCATTCACCAGTACATTGGTGTGGAAGGTGGCGTCGAAGCGCTCGTCCGCACTATGGAGAGAATAATAGAGACTAATGTGTCCACACACCTTTTAACAGTTCATTATCTTGCTCTGAGATTAAGCCGTGTCTTTAGAAAGACCTCTTTATTGACTTTTAAATTGCTTTATAGCATGATGCTGGAGTAAGCTGGCAGTTACTCTGAAATGGGTTTGTTAGTTTATACTACTGCAGGGGGAGACTAAAACAACTTTGGGAATGTATCTGAAAGTGTAATGAAGGGAGTCAGAGGAGGATAATTGTGTAATCCTAGCTTATTTGCTTTAATAAACTACTATGTGCACAATCAGTCAAAAACAACTAAAAAAAGAAATAAAAAAGGGTTCACATTGTAACGTGCACTGAAAACATTTCTTTGGTCACTAATTGAAACAACTGACTGAATAAAAGCAGTTTATTATTTACACATAACATAGCAACTTTATCACTCATTTCAGGTTTTGTTTCTGCCACCTGGTGAATACTGAGCCAATGTTCACTCTGTTTAACTCCATTTTTTTAATCCATCAACTCCTGAGGGTAACATCTGCTTACAGCTCAACTATGTTCCTCCACTAGTTTTAAGCTGCGTCTATAGGCTGTTTGGTAATTCAGAGGTCTCTACAGCCACTTTAAGAGCTCAGAGCATTACTGTTGTTAGTCAACTGTAAAACATTTACAGGGAACAGTCTGTAAAAAACAATCACATTGTGACAAAAGGGCAAAGTAGTCAGCTCATTCACACATACGGTATTGAACTGAGATGCACTGTTTTCTCTCAGCCACAATGAGCATGGGAATTATTCATTTAAAGAAACATCAGTGGACCATCTGATGTACTACTCCAACTCTTAAACTGCATATTTATACTTTAAATCAAGGTGAAATCCAGCGTGCAGTGATATTAAATATTCAGTCCTATTGTAATGCAAAATCAGCTGACTGAGAAAACCCCAAAGATGCCTCCTTCAAGGATTTAGCCTGTTAAAATGATACATGGGCACCCATGGACAGGTCCTGAATAAATAATGCTTTAATGTTTTGGGTCTTGCCTGAGAAGTCCGCTCAAACAGCACAAGAAAAAAAACAAAAACAATTTGTATTCCACAAAAGCATTGGGATTGCAAACATTTCTTTTGGGGATACAGATAGTTGTAGTTAAGTAAATGCCTCAAGCTCTTGACCTTCAGCTCTTGCACTGCATTTGAACTCCAATTAAGCATTAAAAAGTTACCCCTCTGGTGTCATTTGGAGTGTGTACTCCTTGAAAAAGTGCCAACAGTACAGTCTGAACTATAAGACCAAAGGAAGAGTATCTCAGTTTGTTTTTAGTCGCGTATAACCTGCTTAAACCTGCACTTTTTTTCTCAGATTGCTGTCACACTCTATTTGTTTTGGGCGTTCCTTTCCCCACTATCAAAGAAATTGTTATTTAAATGGATGCCTAAAATAGAACATAAATGGATTTCCTGGACCTCTATTTACAGTTACCTAGCCAATTTATCTTTATTTTGTTCAGCCAGGCAATGGGTTTCAGATTTTCTGTCTGTTGTTTAGACTGGGAAAACAGTTAGCCGACTTACTGCCTGGAAAGTTAAAACTAAAAATCAGTTTTGAGCAGGCTCAGAGCATGCAGGGCCCTGATGTACGTGTCTGTTGTTTACATCAGAGGGTCATAATACAGCCATACAATAGCTGAAGGGTCTTAAGATTCACAGTAAATTCATGTTCATATTAGCAAATTACAAAGTAAAGAATCACTTCCAACAGAAAAACCATTGTAAAAATACAACCACATCCAACACACTGGAAGAAATATGGTAAGAATTGTTTAAAAAAAAAAATATTACAACAAAGGATGGGAAATGTCAAACACGGTTTTATCTCATTTTCTAACACCTGCTGTCCTCAAGAGTGACGGATTTTCACTTATCGCTTATAAAACCTCTTTAATTCACACAATACACCAAGTCCTGTGATTGACACAGGGGTCTGTACAAAGCCCATTGTGGAGCAGGAATTCCTTCTCCTTCACAGTCGACACCCACTTAAAATGCAAACTCACGCACTGAGCCCTCTCTCTAAAATACATACGTGAAAAGACACATGCCACACACCAGTACATGCAAAAACTCACAACACAGACCCCGCAATCCCAAGCAAGACAAGATAACATCTTTCACATCCTCAAGTCCTGATTCCTGACACGAACATGGTTGGCATTTTAACAAGACTTGTGGATCGACCCATCCCAGTCATCCCCGTCTTTGCTCTCATTGAATGATTTATCCCTTTTTCTCCAGGGTTAAGTGTTGTAATTTATTTCTCTTCTTTGTGTGTGTCGCTATCAGCTGTGGCTCACAGTGCTTGGGTAAGACTGTGTGGGCGGGTGGCCATCGTGGAGTTATTTGATGAATTATTCAAGGATTTGGTCTTGCTTTATCTGAAGGTGTGCACTTTCCTGCAATCAGCGTTTGCATACTTTACAGAAGATTAAGTCCTGGACTCTTGGACAGCTCTGGAGAAAATATACTATTCATGTTGTATAACTGCAGAAGAGACGTGATTCACAGAGCAGTATAGAATAAATTAAACTTTACCACTTGGGGAAAAAAAGACTTCTTTTCACTGTGAAGATAATTCTGAAATATGCATACAAATGGACAAGTGATAGCCCTGGGAGAATGAGTAGGAGTCCTCTTTCAGCGTTGCACTTTCTACCTCTCTTGTCTCTCGCTGTGGACATGTGAGGGGAGCAAGGTGGGGACTGGTCAGCATTGACAAAGGTGGCAGTGACAGGTTCCTGCACCATGGGACATAAGTCACAAAGCTTCCTAACACTCACTCAACACCTGCTGCTATCCACACAGGAACACTCCCTTCCTGACACCCACACTTACATGGCAACTAGAAAGTCGCTAAAAAGTGAGGAGAGTTCCTGAGGCAGCCAGAGAGCCACGCAGTGCAAGATAAAACATTACATGCTGCTTTTATGTGTACATTGTAGTACATCTTGTGAAATCACAAAAGGACTGTAACAGGATAACATAAAGGAGCTTTTAATCAAAGCTTGTTTCACATGATGAGAGATGCACTAAGCTCTAAATATGTCAAATCAGGATCATACGAATAAAGTGAGCTTCAAAAAAGTGTATCAAAAGAGGCTTAAGTATACCCTGAGGCTTTAAACTATCCACTGTTGAGAGATACATGTGTCCAGTTCATAGCATACTGTTACCACATACATCAAAGACCTATCCATCCATGTACTTTGTGGTATAGCTCTGAAATGTTACATCCAACTTCACAGCCTCAGGCACTGTTTCTGACTGCAGCTGTGTGGATAACTTGCTGGTCAGTGAAGCTGTAGGCGAGCAGAACATATCCAGTGTACAGATGCATGTTGAATCCTATAGGGGAAGTCGGGCTGCATCCACATACTGCACACGTGTTTGAGGAGAGAAAGTCTTCCCCGTTTCCACAGGAGCAGAGGGCATGGGATCATTTTTGTTAGTAAAATTATATACTGGGATAAAATTTAAATCAATCATCTGCTGGATATATCACAGTATTTTTACCATCACTCCCTCCTCACACTGGTCATTACAGACTTCACCGACCAGCCATGGTTTTATGAACACCTAGGTGACCCAATACAATGGCTCTACTATAAATTCTACTTTTACTATATAAATCAGTTTATGTTGACATGGAAATGTCTGCTCTTTAAATTAGTTATTAAAATTGTGTGTTAGTAGTGCAGTGAGGTGCATTATATTGAAAGGTGTTTTTTATGTTTTGCTCCCCTTTATGTTTGTTAAAGGGATATTCCGGCGTATAATTAATTTAGGGTCAAACACACCGTAACACCGAGTTAGAGGTTGAGGTTTGTTTATGGCTCCTCAGACTGCTGTGTATTGCTATCCTGCAGTCTTTATTAAAGTTGGTCAAACTAGAGAAGCAAGCAGTTAGCAACATTCATCTCTCAAGGGGGTGTCTAATTCTGTGTTACGGTGTGTTTGACCCTAAATTAATTTTATGCCGGAATATCCCTTGAATGACGTGGACAAAATACATGGAACCCTCATCAAAAGCAGAGTCCAGAGGCTGCCTGAATGTAGAATTTGTATTGATTGTATTAGATTACCCAAGTTTCTATAATATTATGGCTGAAAAGTGTATGTTTTGAACCACTATGTTGCACTAGCTCTTGGTTTGTGACTTGAAGTGTCACTTGTTGAAATATGGACATTGGTCCGTTAACGAGAGAGGTGCTGTTGCCTATCTAGGTGCTATCAAGTTGCCTTTTAACAAGGCAACCAAGCCACAACTAAACGTCTGTCACTGATAACTGAAACATGCCTTTCTCCACTTATGAAAACACTGCAAACAGAAAAAAATGTAAAATCACAGAAAGGTCATCAAATCTGGTCTGTCCATTTTTCAACCAGCAATCAAGCTCTTAAAACAAATTCTCCTCAAGCACCCATTCAATTGATTGATTCCCCTTTCCTCTTTATGGCCTGTCACAGTGCTCTGTCTGTGAATTTCCTCTACCTTCTTCTCAGAATTAGGATTCTGCCTGTGGTTTCACTTGAGTTGGATGTCCTTCATCTGCCTCATCGATCCTCAGTCAAGTGAGACCATTGACTTTTCCCTCTAACAAGAGGAGGTCAGCAGCTTACAGGGCTGTTTAAAATCTGGATATTCTTTATACAGACACAAACAAACACACACAAGACATTTCTGCTTCTCTAAGACACACGCACAAAGCTAAATAGATACACACAGTATTTGCGTAAGCTGTTAGACAAACTGGAGCCACCATAAAGATTACAGCTTATTTCTCTGGTGAAGGAGGAGATGTTTTATGAACTTCTGTTTATCTTTATGAAGGTCACATCCACTTTTCTTCGATCATAACCGTCTTTTGAATTTCACAATACAAAACTTCCCTGAACTGTATAAAATAAATACATACATATTTATAGTCAATAAGCAGAAAGTCAGATGTTTTTTAAATTCTGAACTGGTGAGTCATCAGGCTGAAGAAAACCTCAAAAACATGCTGGATGACATACTTTTCCCCAGGCAGAAAACATGCATATGGGCTGGATAGTAAATCCATGACTCTAAGTATAGACTTATTATATACAGAGCGTATTTATGACACAGAGTGAGTCGGCAAGATCTGAAAATATGAAAAGCAGTATAAGAGAATTAGAAAACAGTTCATGCTCGGACACTAAAAGCTGAGTGAGTCATTACAGCCGATATCTAAGTCTCTTTTCTCTGTGTTGGCATCTGACCACGGCACTTCTAAACATCATTAAACAAACAGATGAGAATGATTTAATTTATAGCGAGGTCTCATCCGAATGCAGAGCTAATAAGCTTGAATGCATCTATTCAACACAGTAAGACTGAAGTGCTATTGGTTGCGCACTAATAGCCCACTGTGTAATGACGTGTGCGGTGCCATTATGGGCTGTAATTGTGTGACGGAGTATGTGTGTGGATAAGGAGAAGAGGATTTTCAATGTAAACACGGCTGGTGAGGAGTATGTTGCCTGTAAACTGATATCTTTGTGTGTTTTGGCATGTGTGAGCACAGATATTAGCTGTGGATCAGTGAAAGGAGCACTCAGAGGTGTGTATGCTAATTGTTTCAGTGTGCACGTGTGAATTTCCAGCAGTGATCTATGTACATGCTTCAAAACTGTGAACTTTAAGCTCTCCTCAGGGGGGTGTTACAGCTGAGCCTGGGAGTCAGCTGTAAGCTACATGTTTCCCTTTAGCCACACTTAACTGATTATCACATCCAACTTCATGGAGCATGAGGAACAAAAGTGGCAATGTCTGCACTTTTTCTTTTCATTTCCTTGCTGAAGACATCTGCGGCTGTTTTTAATGATAGGTACATTAAATATTTGACCTGCTTTGCATGATTCTTTAGATTACATTAGATTAGTTTATTCAAAAGGGGACAGCGCAATTTCATAAAACACATGATTACACATGGTTAAAAAAAGCCAGAATTAGCCATTAGGCTAGTTTTCATCTGTAGTCCCCTGGTCATGATGTAAAAAAGGCAGTAAAATTACAATTTAAAAAAGAAGAAAAGAAAAGAAAAAACAACACAATACATGTACACTATAATACAAAATACATATTCAAACACTCACTATACAATTAAGAAAAAATACATCACAACATAACAATTTATCATAATATCAAAACATCACAACAGGCGAATCTTTTAGTGTTGGCAGCTGTAGGTGTTGATAAGCCACATTTCCAATGTTTTTGTGAATGCCTTGTACGTTGGAAGCAGTTTAACCTCCTCAGGTACTGAGTTCCACGCACTTACACTCCTTACTGACCAGGCTGACTTACTGAAAGTGCTCCTGCGCAGAGGAATGTAACAGTCACCTCTGGCAGAGCCTCGAGTGACACGCTCGAGGCTGTTTCTTTGGCTGATGAACTCTGCCAGAGGATCTGGAGCCAGTTAATGATGAAGCCAGTTATTTCGTAGACTCTAATTGGTTAAAACCCATGACAGTAGTATTGATTCTCGCCTTGGACAATCTGATCACACAACTCAAATCAAATCAATGGACACAGTTCAACACTGCCTGTTGACACCGTGGCAAAAACATTAGTTTCTGCCAGCATTCATTGTGGCAAAAAATGTTAGTTTTTTTTTATGTCAGGCTAAGCTTCTTTTCAAGAATTAATGACAGCTATCAGGCACAGATGTAAGAGCAGACTAAAGGGCTATTGCCACCTCTGACAAGGAAAAGTGACACAAGATCCCGTCCTGCAATCCAGGCAACGGTCGCAGAGCTGGTGAGTGCGTTTAAACTGCTGATGTCTTCAAATGTCAACAATATTTATGATCTCAAGAAGAGTCCTAATAATCTTTGTTTAGTCAGGTCAGAGGTTCCCATGTGACTCTAGTAAAGATGGTGTATGGTGACAAATTCCCTGTATCCTCTGTTGTCACCCCATAAAAGGATCTTCACAAGGCCATAAGACCTCTGCACTCTTTATGTGAATCTGTTGATTGATGAGCATGAACAAAAGCAGCTGATAGCTCAAAATCTTTTCATCACCCGCCTCTCCATTGTCATATCTATAGACCCCTCTTTGAGCAGACTAGCACAGTGTTTCACCATGTACAGGATTAATATGTGATACATCTAAAAAAAATTGCAATGTATCCCTGTACATCATGTACATAATGTTAAGGTTTGATTCAGGATTAAACGTTGTTCCAGAGGACCCTCTGACTTGGATATTAGAGAGCACTGTGAACATCAGACAAAAAGTCTTCATTTCTAAAAACTTTTGAAACAGGACTTATGTGTCTATGATAGTCAAGATCTTACAGGAGAATACACTTACAGGTAGACTGTAAGAGGAGCAGCAGCGTAACATGCTGACACCATGACAGACAGAGAAAGGTAGATGGGATGATTTATAAAGAGGAGTTGGTGAAGGCTGGAAACAATAAAATATGGAGGGAAAGGGTTGATTGAATCGAGTGAATTATGGTGAGACAGTGAGTTATGAAAGAGTGACGGAGGGAGACACAAATAGAATGAAATGAGAGGATAGATGGAAAGGCGGGATGATCATGGAGAAAGAGAGTGAGAAGTAGAAGAGAGGAGGCAGAGGGTAGACGGCAGAGACGAGAAATAGAGGGGCACGAGCAGAGAGATTAGGATGGGTAATCCTGGCAGGTCTAAAAGCTGAGCTTTTAAAATTTGGGTTAATACCCCCAACCTTTGTTTAGTCCTTGTGTTCTCTCTTACGTAGATGTGTGTTTAAATGTGTGTTTGTAAGATTAATATTGGGGAGAAGCAAATGGAAAGAGGTTCAAAGTGTCTTTACACTCAACAGCATCACTGAAGATAGGCTGTCTGTCTCTCTCACCCTGATTATGTGTTTGACTTTTCTGATTTACAACACTGCCCAACACATTTTAACGGTGCCATTGTTATCCTCTTTGTGATTAAATCTATCCATCTTTTTGTCCTTCTTTCCCTGCAGTCTAAGACCAGATCATCCGTCTGTAACCCAAGCATGCAAACGCAATGCAATTAGTTTTCTGGAGGAAAAAAAAAATGGCCTACATTTCTAAATGACTCGAGAAATCCTCACAGATAAGTGTGAAGAAAAGTGTATAAGCAAACACCAGCAGCCTGACCTGAATCAAGACACGCAATGAGCTGGCTCAACCTTATTAACTTTAATCATGACCCAAGCCCTGACATCTCACTATAAAGACACAGTGTTGTTAACACTCTGGTCTGAATTAAACCACAAACGGTTCAGTCGCCTATTGATCTGTTGCTTTAGATAAATGAGGGTTTGAATTGAGACAGTCAAGACCCTGACAATACTGGGTAATAGATGTGGTAAAGCCCCCTCCTACATGTTAAATCTATTTCAATGAATTTGTATCCAAATAATGGTATAAAAAGAAAAAACATATATATATATTTTTAATGCTGATAGAGGTCTATGAGATTTTTACAGTCAAAATAAACTACAGTAATCGATGTTGGCAGAGTTACTAAGTGTTTAAAATGTCATGTCTTGTTATAACATTGGCTTAAAGCAACCCTGACACTGTCATGGGTTTGTAGAGATTAAAAACAAAATCTATTAAAATAGCGCTGAACCAGAGGGATTAAACCGATTTTTCAATCACACTCACCCGAAAACAACTTAAAAAAAAAAGAAAAAACAGGGAAAACACGCCGTCCTTCAGAGAGAGGACTCCACAATAATGGATTACAAAGTTAATGTACTTATGTTTGACAGCAGGGAAAAAATGTAAGTGTATCAAACTAAAAGAGGGGGACATTATGTAAACAGAAATCACAAAGGTCATGACCTTGAGTGCTTCAGCCCCTCTGTAAACACTTTCTTCATCTGGGAGGCAGAGAGCATTAGAGGCAAAGCGCAGGACCGTTTCGAGGTGGTGGATATGACGTGATTGTGTGTTTGAGTGCTCAACGACAAGGTGGTCAGAGTAAAGATACTTTACATAATCTGTGGTAAAATGTAAGTAAATATTCCACACATCCAAAAATGGCAAAACATCGGAATTCAGACCATGACGCATGAGTTTATTTTTGCCACAGCTTTTCGGAGAGAAGCTGTTTTTAAGTCTACTTGAATGTCTGAAATGAAGCACTTCCCTTATGAGACAGCCTAAACAGATGGTGACCATGATATGTAATGTCATATGTAAATATGTTCCTGCTCCTCACTTCTGTGGAGATATCTAAGCGTTGGTGACTCAGTGCCACAATGTGCTGAATTTACGACACGCTGCAGGGCTTTTCTGTCAGCTTGGCTGCTGCAGCTGTACACAGTGGTCATGTTATTTGTTCGGGTAGTCTCTGTGGTGCACCCTGTTGACAAGCAGCCTTCAGAAAAGGTTAGCTTCTCTTAACCTCCTTAGAAAGGAAATTTGCTGTTGTGTTTTAACCACTTTGCTGAGGTTTTGACAGTCCAGGAGAGGTTTTTAGAGTTAATCCAGGAACCTGAAGCTGAAAAGCATTTCCTTTTTATAAACTCCATGGAAACACTTTACAATAACCATAACTTATAAATGGTAAATAGACCATTTATAAATGGTAAGCAGATAGTTTATCAATGTTTAATCATCATTTATAAATAGCATATAGACCATGAATAAATTGTAAATTTTACAATTTTAAAAACCTAACCCTAACTTTACAATAACATCTAAGTAATGTTTATAGATGGTTTATAAACCACTTATTAATAACTTACAAAGTATTACAAACATCAGTTGCAACTTTACAATAACCATCTAAGTAATGTTTATAGGTGGTTTAAAAAAACATTAACATATTAACCATTTACAAAGTGCTACTGACACACATTTCAATCTAGATGTTTCACAACCAATATTTAAACCCTATATAAACCTGTAATAAATAGTCCAATAATAATTAATGAATATAATTAATCATAATTTTATTGCTTGTTAATGGTAAAGTGTTACTGACTCCACAATGATCTGAAGCTTCATTATTATCTAAAAATAACATGGTGATGCTGTACCATTTATAAGCAGCATGAAGAGCACATAAGAAGGAGGAGGATCAGGGGCTGTTGATGTTATCCACCTCAGGGGGTCAGTCTTTGGGTGTGAGTTGCTTTTTGGATTTGGATATATTAACTGCCTAGGTGATATTAACCAATCAGTGATCAGTGAAGCACTCTCTACAGTGAAGAGTTGGAGTGAGGCCTCATATATGAGAAAGAAGCCTCAGATTCAAGGAAGAAAGCAGAGCTGACCTGTTGTAAAGGAGGATGTCAGGAGTCCAGATCTGGTCTGAAGGAAACCTCAGGTTCTGAACACCAGGGAAAGTCTCTGTATTCCAGCTCAGGTAGATATCTGTCCAGTACTGAGACAAAAACAAGAAAGGGTTTTTGCTTTAGAATTCAAATGAATCTGCAAAATCTGCAATGTCCAGTCGTTTGCTTAAACCAATCTAACTGAAGTCAGTAAAATACCTTCATGTTATTTAAAGTGGCTGTTGTAGATTGAATAAACAGGTCGAACCTTAATTGAATCCAGGCAGAAACAACTTAAAATGTAAAATCTATTGAATCATAAATTTCCTCCTCTCTGACCCTTAAAAAAAGTTCCCTACTTATTGATTCAAGTTGGAATTCCTGCTGTATCACCAAGTGAGCAACAAGCAACCTGTTTAGTAGTTTAGCTTTGGTTTAAAGTTCTGAATCTAGCTGTGAGTTTTTTCAGCTGTCGTCATTTGGGTCATTAACACCCAAATGTGCTCAGTACACTTTTTCTTCCTTTAGTTCTCACTCTCTGCTCAACTTAAGTGATTCAATCGATAACGCACCCTTCTCAAGAGTTTTACTCACCAGCTGCAGCCAAGCGTTGGTCATTAGCACTTGGTTCTTCTCATCCTGAGAGAGAGAAAAGAGGAGAAGAGAAGCGATTTCTATAATGAGAGGACAACCACATCAATCAATACTTAATAAAGCAGAGAGGCCATTGACACCAGCACATCAGTGGGACATTTGCATATATTAAGTGCACTTTAGTTAAACAGTTTTACAATTTCCATACCCTTAAAAAACTTTTCTGAAAAACAATCTGACCTGGTGGATTTAAGCAGCTGTAAAATGCTGTGCTGGCATCAAAAACTAAAAGGTGGAAATTATGCAGAAACAACCAGGATGAAGGCTAAGTCTTTAACAAAATGTGAAATATATTATAAAAAAAAAGTTGAGCAAAGAGCATTTGGAAAACAGCTCTCTTATCTTTTTGGCTTTAGGGAAAATTAGCATTTCTGTAAAATTAAGTTCCAAGCGCACAGTAAATATCAAAAACAGGACTGCTGCACAGATTCTTTGATAAAGGAAAAAAGAGTGGAGCTTTCTGAGTCTTTTAATCTGTTCATCTGTAACTCTCTCTCTCTGTCTCTCTCTCTCTCTCTCTTTTTTGTTCTTTTGCTGATTTTGAAAACACTTGCACATATGGCAGACCCTTTTTTAAAGTCTTTTCAGAACGCAGATGACCCAGATGATTGAGCAAAAGCCACATCTGTAAGTAATCGTCGTCTCTTCAGGGATTTCAAACACTCCAGGGGTTTGTGCCAAAGTGTGTGTCTGTTTGTGTGTGTCACTTTTGGTGTTGGTGTGTGTTGGCTTTGTTTTTTGCAGTTTGTTAAAGTGATGAAGATAGGATACGATTTTCATTTATATTAAATTTATTGATTCATTCAAGGTAAGAACATTATAACACCTGCAGCATTTTGAGCAGAGTCAGCAAAAACTCAGTATAGACACCAACACAGAGTTTACCTCTTTAATATTCTGTGCTTGGGATAAAATTTGGTTTTCAATCATCCTCCAGCCAAAAGGTCATCTTTCTAACTGTTGAATATTAATACATGTTTATTTATTTATTTATTTTTTTACCTATTGATCCGATTCATAACGGCCCAGAGTGAGAGGACTTTTTTTGGTGATGTGCAAACTACTTTTCCGAGCTTTCTTCATGAATAGCAACAATGAAAGAAAGGCTGAAGTCTGTGTTTAGATAAAGGATGCACAATATCATCAGAAAGTATCAGTATAGTGAAATAATAACTAACGAGGGGGTATGAGTGGAAATTTTTGCCGATAATCATCATGTATTCATGTACCGAACTGTATGGAAGCATTTTGAAGTGTCGTAAAGAGACAGCAGACATGTCTATATTCAAAAAGAAATACATTTAAAATAGAATCAAATGTTGTCTGTCTTGTTTTAGGTCTGTTTCTAAAACAAACAGACTGTTATAATAGGAGTAAAAAGTTGGTGGTCTTGGTGTTTCGATATCATCTTGGCCGATAATCTCAATTATTGGCCAAAATGAGTCTGAAAATATTGGCGTATTGGATTTCATATTACAGTTCTCTATAGACAGTGAGGTTTGCTGTCTATTGTCCAACTCTTCAGAAGCATTTGAACTGATAGCTAAATCCTATAAAGGTGTCAGTGCCATGCTCACGGTCACAGGGACAGTCAGGACTACATCCCCCCTGATTGAAAAGCTGTTAATTAGGTTACTGGTGCATTTAACATCGCTGTGGCAGGAGCTCTATTAAATCAGAGTTAATCAAACATCATCTCCTCCTCTGACACTGATGAGACAACAAAAAATACCAGAAAGATAAGGAAAAATGAGGACAAACAACCCTTCACTTCCCCTTCTGTGAAAAGCACAAGGCCCTGTGGGAAGAAAACACTCAATTACGAAAAATGAACCGGTTTACTCGTCTGTTCCGGTGTATAAGAGCAGATGTCTGGCTGGCAAACACCTCATTTTTTCTGTAAAAACCTACGTCTGGTTTGCAAAGCATCTTGGAGGTTTTAGGTGGTTAATAAGTTATGGATTCATGTGAGATTTATCTGAACTGAATTTTTTATTCAAGACCTGAAGAGATTTCCAGGTCAGCGTCTGGAGGGCAGAGAAAATGGGATGGTAATTTTCATAAATTGTGAATTTGTCAGGGGTGTCAGAATAAGTGTAGGTACAAAACACTTTCAGGACAGTCGCCCTTGGGGAGAGTTTGTCAGCTCTTATCTGCTGTCTAAACAAGATGAGGATATGTGGGAAGCGAAAGTAAATAAGAAATGTTTACACCTCCCCGGAGAAGAGAGACATTCAGCGGGCATTCAGACAGAAATCAGATCTGCAGTTAAACAGGGAGGCCGAAAGTCCCTTTGTACCGACATATTTATCTTAATTTTGATTTTATGGATCAAAAGATATGATGGTGGCAGCTACTTTATCCTCCGTCACAGGGGTTTCAAGGTGAACCACAAGGAATCTTACAGAGATATGTGCTCTCATATATTTGATCGGCCACCTCAGTGCATTGCTGGATGATGTTTTGTTGCAGGAAAACACAAGCCAGGTTCCATCCCACTCTCTCTCAGTGGAGCATAAAAACAACAAATGCACACTACCGGCTTCCCCTTGATGAATAAAGATAGAAAACAAAGGAACACTGACAAGGAGATTTAAAACATACTGTGAGTCAGCTGAGGTAAAAACTCGGCTGGAAGATAGCAAAGTAGAAAAACAACAAATGAAAGATGGAATACTGTTTTTGTTTATTGCTTTTGTGTGTCGGGGTGTGAATCATGTCAACTAATAAGTGCTAGTTCAGAGGATCTGTCTCTAACTCATGTCAACCTGCAGAAGTGTGACTTTACTACCAACATGTGAAGCTGTTTCAAAATCACAGAAATGTTTGACAGATGCAAACAAAAATAGGAAAAAATTCTAGTGATGGGGGGAGTAATGCAAGAAACTTAAGGATGTAAGCATCCTTTAACACGTTATTTGTTATTTGCATAGAGAAGAACACTGGGGTTTCCTTTCGTTATGCATATTTCCTTCTACTGATTCTTGACTCTTGTTTTTTTCTTATGAAACATTCTGCATGTTTACATGTTGTTCATTAAAATGGATTTACTGCCTTATAGTCAGGCTGAAACTTCACTTTTAAAAACATGTTGACTCATTAGTCCACCTGGAATCACACTAAGTTGAACTTTTCATAGTCAAACATGCTTGGATAATGTGGTTGGGGGTCAATTTATATATATATGTACAGCTGAATGAGTCTGAAATTGGCCAAAATGCTCTTTATTGCCAGTGATTGCATGAGCAGGAAGTGGGAAGTTGAATAGCAAGGATCCTTTGCTTGGAAGCAAACACCAAATAAAACCTCCACAGGTGCAAAAAAAGGACAAAACTTTCCTATCATACAAATAAACGGTAGAGAGCTGTAAAAGTGACAGCGTTTTTATTGTTTTACACACATCCTGCTTCCTGCTAATGCATTTTGCCAACTACTTTGATATATAATACATCGATCAGGGAGGTGACCTATAGTGACAAGATGAAAGGGGGCATGTCAACACTTATCGTGACAGAGGCGGACACACTTCTGTCAATAATTTGATTTTTTGCCTCGTACATGTAAACCGGGACAAGGACAGTCCCAAGGACTCCGTTCAAATCGCCTTATCAGCTACGGCCGTAGCTCAACTAAGCTGTGAATGTAAATGTGCTGGTGGAAACTTTTTTAGAGTTGTTCCAATACTAACACGCAATAATCTAATGACTAAGACAAACAACGACAGTGTGATGCCAACAGAAAGTCAAAGTCACAGCAATCAGTGTTTTTCCACTAATAATATCTCTATTTCTGTTGCACTGTTATGAGGGGGAAACAACAGATACTGAAGTGTTTAAACTTGGTGATTTGATGCGTTTCTGAATCAAGGTAATGCACAATTTTGATTCTGACCCCAACCCAAGAAGTGTTCAGGGGGAAATGTGACGGTTGTGATCTGGGACTAAGGTACTTTATAATTGCAAAGAGTCTCTCAATGTGGCACGAAATACTGCAAGGATCCAGGCATCTTTCCATCAGTAGTTTCCATTTTAACAACACATTGTATTTCCAGCTTAAAACACAGTTCCACTTCTCCCCACAATTCCTATCTTACACATCGTATTTCATGCACACAAGTGAACACCAACTGTCTTACCACATCTATGATCTGCAGCAGCGTGAGACCCAGCTCCACCAGGATCGGGGCAGAGTCGTTGACCACGGGTCTCTCCAGTCGGTTGTAGTTAGCCATTAGCTCCTTGTAGAGCTTCCTCTGGTATTCTCCCTGCAGGGATCCTGGAGAAAACAACAAAAACAAAAGGAAACATAGCAAAATATCTCTATAACACGTTAACATCAGACTGCACTGGAAAATTGTTCAGACCTAAATTTTGACACAGTTGCCTCAGAGTTAATTCTTGAATTTTGGAAAACAACCCCGGGCGATGAATCAAATTTTAATTTCAGTTACAATTTTGCTTTCCTTGATCATAAAAACAAGATTATCTAGATTAAAAAAGGACGACAGTGCTGCTTGCCATATTTGTGCTTGTTTTTGTTTCTACTTGGCACACCCTCCCTTCTTCTACAGCAGAATATGTAAGTTATAATGCATCAGCATGATTAGGAGATCAGACAAATACACAATGAAGAAGTTGCTGCAACGCGTATACAGCCAGGAAATGCTGTGTAGTGCTGCCAAGCAGAGAAGCAGGAAGATTGTGTGTGTGTGTGTGTGTGTGTGTGTGTGTGTGTGTGTGTGTGTGTGTGTGTGTGTGTGTGTGTGTGTGTGTGTGTTTTAGTGAAGCAGAGGGACACATTGAGCATAAGGTAAGAGTGCATAAATGGAGTTAGATTGTAAAATGTGTGGTAGGCAGGCTTTTAAAAATTTATGATACCCTTTTTTTTCACTTGTTTGTTTTTTTTTCTGTTTTTTTTCAACATATTCATAAAGTTTAAGTGTGTGTCTAAGTTTAACAAATATGTGTCATGTATATCTGGTCAAATTAATGAGTTAAGTGTGTTTAACTGTGTTAATTTTAATAGTTTCAGAGTGCCACTCTTGAATTTGATGGCTTAGATTTTGAAGTTGTTTGTCTGTGTTTCAAACTGTAGACAGCCGTGGATTGATGCAGTTCCAGCGCAGGATTTATGAAAAAAAAAAAAAACATCATCAGTGACTTGGCTTTGGTTATCCGTTTTTCCTGCAGATTGGACTTTGGAACACATTCTCAGTACTAGCACTGAATTTTAATCCAAAAAGTAGCTTTAATGGCATTCATAACCTTTTACCCTTCTTTTGTTGGCACCAGCCTGCAGACAGATTACACTTTACCTGGTGGGGATTCAAACGCGCTGCCATACACAGGGCCTATTTACAGCTGTGCCCAAAGGTTCCAGATTTCAACAAGAAATGCTGCATATTGCCTTTTTGTATGAGCAATGCATTAGAGGGGGTCCATTGTTGAGCTGAAGTTTCACTGAATAATGTATAGATAAACACATGTGCTGACATATGCATATTTACACACATTCACCCCCAGTCAGGCAGGGCTGCGACTTGGCACCCTGCTCAGGTCCAAGATGATTAAAATGATGTGTTTGTTGGCCCGGCTCTCATCACCAGTATTGATCTGCTTCACCCCACCTTCCGCACACATTTAGCACTACCCCTTTGTCCCAAAATAAAGGGAGACAAGGACACACCGACACCCCTGAACACACACAGACAATGAGAACCAGTTGTTGATGGTCTGCAAAAATCCTTTGTATTAACAAGCCATTTGTCTCATATCAAGCTTCTAACGCTTGTTCACTGAATGGTCTGTACTCACAGTAATGTGTTCACGCTTCACTTTCAGGGACCTTCATCTGTTTGAATCCCTTCACCGGAGAAAAGAGTGCCCTAGTGATTGGACGCCGCAGCACCTGCCTATAGGAGCACTTTTTTATATTTGCAAAAATAAGTCTGTTTAAAAAGATCATCTTCCGGATTGATACTAAGTAGTGCAATTAGGGGTGTCCCAATACAACTTTTTGACTTCCTATACGATACTGATATTGTAGCCTTCAATATTGCTCGATACCGATATTGCTCCGATATTGGCACAAAATTGTGCATGACAAGTTTTCAACTCAGCTGCAATGTCTTTTTCGGACTGAAACAAAAAATACTACCACAAGGCAAACATTGCTCTTACTCCTTGCTACTTTGTTAGTACCATAGACTGTATATAGAATGGACACCGTCTGCCTCCCCGCTGGGTGAAGCCACTCCGAGAACAGCACCCTCTGGTGACAGGCTGCAGTATAGGTCATAAATCCCGCCTCCGCCAGTAAAGCTTATGGAGCTGTGGACAAACTTGTAGTTACTGTAAGACTGGTTTGTGCTCAAGTCCTCTTTTTTCTGTACAGCTCCATTTTTAAAAGTTATAAGGGGGTTCATGTTTACTATGATTGACAATACAGCCTATGGGCGTACGAAGATCACGTTGCTCATCCAGGGGATACGCTGTTTGAGATGAGCGTCATCACAGCGACTCTCAGCGACTCTCCCAACAAATGCGTACAATGCTACTGCGCAATGTTGGTGTCAGGAAATGGAGAAAAAACACGGAATTACCGAGAGCTTTTCGGCTTAAAATCTGCATACTGGCAGAAGGCAGAACCAAGTTGTCCATAGTATAAACAGTCTATGGTTTGTACCTTAGTACACACTGTTGTTGTGATTTTGTTGGCTCAGCTTGCTGCTAGATAGAGGTGCCGAAGCGGAGTCTGAAATGGGCTGCTTGTATCGGGGTGCTGATATCTGAGATTTTAGATGCAAGCTGATATAATCCGATATTCCTTTTTTTTTTTTGATATCAGACTGATATCCGATATCAATATCATATCGGGACACCCTTAAGTACAATGCTATGTGTTTCTCACCAGCCAAGTCAGGTATGGAAATTGATCAACAGAATGCTTATAGTAGGTCAAGCTACAACTTCGTAAGCATAAATATAAAAGACATTCCCAGCTTTGTCGAACACACTTTTTATGCAGATGTACTGCAGACATAGTAACATACAACAGATAATAACTGGCACATAATGACCCACCCTGTATCGATGTGCTGTTCATAAACAAGCAGCCAAGAATATAAAATATGTATAAGTAGTGCCGTCATGCACAGACAGTTTAATGACTCCCGACTATAAACATACAGAAGCCAATCGAGGAACAAGTGAACGACAGGATGATGAATAATCAGACTATCACAACAATGCAGCAAGAGAGCAAAGAGGAGAGGTTTACGCAGCAGAGGAGGAAGGTGCTCTGCGACTGTGTTAAGCTGTGAGGAAAAACGAAGTGTGCCTTTGGCCTGGTGCTGTGTTGATTGGCCCATTAAGGCTGTAATGAGGAGAGTTATGGCGGGACTGAGCCTGAGGAGCAAGACGGTGGAGTTACGAGAAGCTGCTCCACACAGCACAATCCTTCTGACTGCACATAAGGAGAGCCACACTAAATAAAAAGACACATTTGACCTTCTTTTCCCTATCTATTGTCGTCACATTTCAAACTTACAGCACCTGGTGTGGGAGATGGCTTTTACAGACGTATTTTGTTTTGCTGTTGGTCTATTAACATGTTGAATGGATGCTTAGGCAAGTGCTCTAATGGCTGTGGTCCAGAAAAGAAAGAAAAAACATCTCAATAAATCAATACAACACATCACACACTCATAAATCTGTCCATCTATGCAAAGTAGCACTTGCATAAACAAGCACATTTACATCTAACAAAAACCCTCATCTGTATCTGCAATCCACTCAACCTCCCCTCTGTGTCTCTCAATGTTGTATGACTGCGAATCGTCAGCCGAGGTCAAAACAGACAAAATCTAACTAATGAAGTCAGCGAGGAAGAATAGAAATCTCAATCTCCTGTTTCTGCTCGACTCATAAACCCGCGTTTGGGAGGGATTAAATAATCAAATGAAACAAACCTCTGTGCCAACTTTAATTTGCAAGCAAACGTGTGCAGAATTCCCCAGGGAAAAAGGGATACGTCTATTAGTGTTTTCCTAACCTCCTCTCTGATGAAGCTGATATGAGAAGCTTGCAGGAAGATATCATTTTCTGATCACAGCGCGCGACCTCATCAAACAAGCTCAAATAGAGGGAGGGGATAAGAGTGGAGGTTGGGGAGATGGAGATTTGTTATCTCTTCATCAAGCTCTTTCCTGTGTTCTCCACCTTTGTTGTTTTGGTTTGTAGAAAATGACGGTTGAGGTGTTGCTCACAGTAGAAATGAAATACTTTATCAAACATCTAAAGTAGGGCTGGACAATATGGGAAAAAATTTATGACAATATATTTTTTCATGTCAGTCAATATCGACATCACGATATAAAAAAATGAAATTTAACTTATTGGTAGCATGTCTTTTGCAATTCAATAAGCTACTGCATCTGTGAGGTCTTTGTGACTCTGGGCTAGAGAAAGCGGACTGAATGGTCGGCTGTTTCAGCTGCACAGGCACCATGGGCTCCTTGCTTCGCTCCAGGTTTGTAACCGTTTTCATTGTGCATGCTCTGCCGCGTGGCACTGCTTCAGGTGGTGAAAAAAATTTAAGGTATTCCCTGACTTTGCGAGAACATATACTCGACATAATTTGCAGTGCACATGACTGTGCTTAATGTCGGACCTCAAAAAAACAAAATACCTCCACACCACTGATGTTTTGGGCCAGTGTTGTCTACGATGTCATCATCTGTTGAGCCTTCATTTGCGTTTCTGCCTACTGTTAGCACTCATTTTCTTTTTCTCTCACCGACAGTGCTGTCAGTTCACATGTTAAAGTGCTATGGTTGCGTGTAACTGCAGCCTGTTACTATTCAACTGTTTGTTACTTGGTTCTAATTCAGCACATGATTGGTTCAGCGTGAAGCGGACTTGGAGTAACTCCCCTTTTCACTGGCTATTCGTATAGTCCACCAAAATATGTCAGAATGGCGACTATTGAAAAGCATATTGACCATGTTGTTTATTGATAATGAAAAAAAATAATTTTTGGATATATATCATTATCATTTCATCGCCCAGCCCTAATCTTAAGTATTGTGTTTGAATGATGTTTTAATAAAATTATTTTTGATTGGCTAGTTTAAGCTGATGTCACTCATTAAAGATAAAAAAACTTGTACCATTTAAAAAAAAGAAAAGGTACAAAGACACTAATCTAAAGCTAGTGTGATGAAGCTGATGATGATGATACATGTAACCTTTGACCTGGTGACATTTCTGACGCTCAGATAAAGCACTTGCTGTCAGGTTCATTAGACACCATTTTCCTGCAGTGGGTTTGACCTTTTGGTGTCAGACACACACGCTAATGAACGAGGAAAGACTTCATCACAGTTACACTTTGATGGAGAAAGTGTCCAGATGAGTCTATTAATCCAGTGTGTGTGTGTGTGTGTGTGTGTGTGTGTGTTGCATTCAGACATGCTAATGATAGGCAGCTCTGGATCAATACTCCATCAGTTTTCTATCACAACAGTGGTCATTACAGTTAAAATGTCAGGGGTCAGCGGTGGGTTTTGTCCAGGTCTTTTGGAAGGTCACTGGTTGGTATGATTATCCCTATTACCAATTATGAATCATGAGGAACAGAAAATGCCCCTCAATTATGAACGCATTGATACAGTTACAAACCATTATTGAGGATTTTCATTAACAAGAACGAGGGAAACAGGAAACAGGAATTGTGAGATAGGATGCCAGCATAAAGAGTCAAAATAATTTTGAATTGCTAAGCTGATAACGTCACCAGCCTTTGACTTTGGTGCTCATTCATCCAGTCCAAGTTTAGTGCTAATAATTTGGCAGTACTGGTGCCCTTGTTATAGTCAGAGGTACTGAATGTATCAGAGAGGATAACACAGCTGGAGAGGCAAATAAAAGAAATTCAGAATCAGCCTTGTTGGCCAAGTATGCGCGCACATCTGCTGAGAAATTGACTTCCCGCTTCATAAAAACATGCATGAACATTGAATAATTCACCTGCATGAAAACAACATGCTTCAAGACAGCTGGTTATTTAACAGCTGTAAATGTGTAGCATGAACAAAAGAGCTGACGCCTGAACTAACTTCAGTAATGAATTCACAAAGCAGTTAGTATACTTTCACGTGTTAGCACTTTTCCCCTCTAAATTAGTGTAAAGTAAGCCTTTCGTTTTTTAATCCTTCTCCTTGGCTTTATTAAGGCTGAAAGAAGGAAATGTGTTGGCTCTGAGTTCAATGCAATCCAAATCTATTTATTAAGCTTATTTAAAAACAACAGGAGTTGACCAAAGTGCTGTACAAGCAGCATGTGAAAGACCATTGACATGATAAAACCAATTAAAACAATGAGACAGTAAAATAATAAAAAGTGTTAAGACCTTTGGGAAGGAAAAACAATTCAAAGAAAGAGGGACCCTCAAAAAAGTAAAGGAGCACAAGTGTGTTTTGAGGTTTGCTTTTAAGACAGGCAGTGAAGGGGACAGTCAAGTGGAAGTAAAGCATTTAAGAAGATTGGAGAAGTAAGTAAAAAAAAAGGCTTGGACCCCCTGAGCTTAAGTCTAGACCTCGGGTCAGCCAGAAATAACTGATCAGTAGAGCTGAATGTCTTTGGTAAATAATGTGGTTTTTAAAAGAGAGATAAGTAAGAACTAGCCCGTTTAGTGATGTCAAAGTCAGAAATGTAATTTTCAAATCAATCCTAAGACACACTGGGACCTAAAGAAGAGACACCAGACTGAGTGACATTTGCTCACATTTCTACCAGTTAAAAGACGAGCAGCATTCAGACAAGATAGAGATGCTTGACTCACAACAGAGTATGTGAATTCAAGTAATCAAGAACAATGTCAGATGTGAAAAAAAGCTCCATTTACTTGCCTGTTGTTAAGGCAATTGAGAGAAACTGAGTGAAAAAAGCATATTATCTGAATTTTTAAGGGCATTACATTTAATTTCAGTGTATAAAAACTGTTCAGAGTGCTGTAATAAAAACACTGATAATTTCCAGGCCTCATTTTGTCACCAGATTTAGACACACTAAAGAACTGGCAGCTGTTTTTCTTCGATTTCCTCTATGCTCAATGTTACTTCTATGTAAACAGCTAACACACGTTTGTTTGTTTCTTTTCGTTGAATGTACAGTTGAACCCTGTACACACTAACATCAACCTGCTCAATAATATAGCACCTTGAGATTGCCACTAAGCCCCGGTGTGTCTGCATAGCACATTAGCTCTAGTTTGATAAGCAGAGCAGGGCTGCTTCTGGGCACCTCTGGGACCTCTGGGACCTCGAGGGCAGCAGCGCCTTATGGGGACCATTTATTTCAGCTTGGCAGAATCCCACAAAATATGAATATATTGTACTATTCACAAAGACTCCATTGAGACCAAGCCAATTTTTTCTTTGTGGGTTTCCTCAACACCAAGACTCTGTGAAAGACTATTGAATATGAGCTTTTGTGCAAATAATTGTAAATTAGAATGAAGAGGAAATGAAAAATTCAGAGATGAGAAAAGATGTTTTATGCTTTGTGCCCGATGGCAGTGAGATAACCAACCAGCATCCAAGAATATGTCACCATGTCTTAGATCAGCCTTTGCTTGGAAAGGCTCCAACCCCTGATGCAAAGGTTTAGAGCCATTCAAATGAAACATTAAAAAAAATTGTCTGTGACTTTGAAATGAGACCTTCTGTTTCTGGTGGGATTAAAAGAAGCACATCCAGATTTAAGAATTCCAGGAAAGAAGAAATTCTTTAAATTCTGACACCTACTTACAGCAACAGTTTGAAGAATTAAAAACTAATTACAGAAAAAAGCAATAGCTACACTGATGTGTTATGTTTTGTTTTTTTTTTTGCTGAAAATTCCTCCAAGAACTTAAAGTTACTCCGGGTGCTGCCAAATAACAAAGATACTTCAAGGCTGTTTCTTCAACTTTATTTCTCAGTTCATTTCACAAAGTTTGTTCTATTCTGACTTCTGAACTATGGTCTGGTTTTGACAATTCAAACACTGTATTTCATATCCATATATATCCAGGTATTGCCAAAATTAGCCCAGCAAACAAGTGAATTTTGTCTGTTCAGTCCATAACTTTGAATAGCCCAAACAACCCAACCTTAAAAATAGCAAATCATTTTATTTACACATTAAGCATCAAACACCCCTTGAATGTACAATCTTATACTCTCCATGTTTTCAGATGTTGCTGGCACAGTCCAATACTGGAGGATTCAACGGGTTTCTCATCACTCAGTTTAAAAATATTCAACAAATGTAACTCTTCACAGGGCAAATGGAGCATGAAAAGACAGGGGGGTGGATGAAGATTCAGGATGTAAAAGAAAGCAGATCTTCAGAAATTCACATCACGTGAGTTGGTGGCATTCAACACATTCATAATATGCAAATGTAAAAGACTATATTAGGGAAATCAGGTGCATATACATCTCTGTCTCTCTCTTACTTCCTCTCAAGATCTCCACTTCAAATCAAAATTCTTCACACCATCTCATAGAAAACCCATGACGCTTGTTTGCAACACCTCCCTCTCTGAGATCTACTGGGCGTTTTTCATTACTCTACATTTGACTGCCCCTTTCTCCCTCCATCAGCTGCTTTATTCTTATACATGTCTCTCCAAATCTTACCATATTCACAATTTTGATACCTCTGTCTTTGTTTCCCCTTTTACCTCTACGAGGCTTCCTGCCTTGTCCCAAATTTGCACTCACTTTTTTCTGCGTGCAGCATTTTTGTTCTGATGTGCAGTAAATGAGCACATTTTAAAGCTCATTAGGCTGTGAGGAAATAAACAAAAGCCTGAAAAGCACAGCCATGCTCAGTGCTGTCACCAGTTTGTTAGCGGTATCTGTGAGGAAATAATGGGATTGTTTTTTTTTGTATGGAAGTGTGGTTAGGAGTGTGAACTGTGACGCAAAAAATTTAAGTTGATTTTTCAAGGTGAATAAGCAAGGATCTTTACTTTCTCCCTTCTTCAAATTCATGTACACAAACCCACGTATTACCATACTCAGAGAAATCCAGCCAGGCCCATTCAGTCCCATTTGAATATTTTTTGTGGGTCAGTGCGTTCAGATGAGGTTTCCAAACACCCATCAGACACAGGCTATCCAAACACAGACGGCCTGAGGGACTCACTAACACACTCTCTCTTTCACACACACACTATAACAGATGTGCACCCAAATACAAACAGGATCGCTATTTTTGGCTGAGCACTAAATGACCACCGCCTACATAAGGGTATTTCAGTGCCTCTGATGAGCCCAGCTAAACCCATCCTAGGCTGAGCTGCAGTAAAACACACACACACACAAACATACACACACAAACACACATCCGGAGCTATTAGGATGAAAGCATGTAGAGGAAAGATCATGGCCTCAGTTGTTCCTCAGTCTGTTTCTGCCATGATCTACTTTACTTATAGAGATAAGGTCATCTATGATCATGATAAGGAGGATTTTATCACTACTATGCTTTTGGGGAAACCAAAAATGATGTCACTAAATGTCTCTTGGTAGAAAACATGATTAAAAGTCGAGGCTCTTAGTTGAATTATCATGAATCAATAGTCATTTTAATGTTATATATGTGATTAGTTTGCATGAAGTGATGACATTGCAGGTTGGCAAAACCCACAAACCACAATATATGAAGGTCAACGGCTTTTACGCTGCTCATATTATGCATGGAGAGATCTTTCAAATGGTTTCTCAAATGATATAGAAAGAGGACATGTGTGGGTGATATATTTGACTGTTAAAAGAAGGCAGAGTGAGATTTTTTTTAATCATAAAATGCTGCTTAAACATTTATATAATATCAGCCAAGATGTAAGAGTGACTTCTTTTTTCCTTGGGGGGACTGGGGCTGTCATCGTATCACTGAACCAACTGCACAACAAGGCTGTGAAGACACCTCACCCCAACTCGTGTTTTTGTTCTTTCAGCTCAAAGTCAAATGAAAATTAAAAACTAGCTAATCTACACTCACCAGCAGCTTTATTAACTACACTTTGCAAATACCGGGTTGGACCCCCTTTAGCTTTCAGAACTGCCTCAATTCTTTGTGGCATACTTTCAACCAAGTGTTGGAAATGCTCCTCAGAGATTTTTTACCCATACTGCAGTAATGAGCAACCCTGAACCCGACAGCCTTATGTTGGATGTCAACATTGATTTAAAGAAAAAGTTTTAATTTAAACTATAGTGACAGCAGCTTGACTTAAAAATGAATATAAAGATATTTTAGTGTGTCTCTGTGGAAATGTCTGTGTGAGTATTCCACAAGTCCTATCGTGAGACAAAACAATGTGAAGTTTTAAGATCGGTATAACTTTTTTACTTCCGATACAATACCGATATTGTAGCCTTCAGTATTGGCTGATACCAATATTGATCCGATATTAGCTCAAACTTTTACACGACAAGTTTTGCACTCGCCTGCAACGTCTTTTGCGGACATTAACAAGAAATACTGCCACACGGCCAACATCACTCCTTCTCTTTGCTACTTTGTTAGTATCATAGTACACACTGTTGTTATGATCACTTGGGCTCTGCATGCTGGATCTGGGTGCGGCTAGATAGAGGTGCTGGAGCGGAGTCTGGAGTGGACTGCTTGTATCGGAGTGCTGATATAGGAGATTTTAGATGCAGGGCGATATACTTTGATATTTGTTTTTTTGCAGATATTGGACTGATATCCATTATCAATATCGTATCAGGAGATCTCTACTTTCTTTAGCTAATGTGTCTCAGCCTATCACAGCCGTGGTTTTTCCTTTTAACCAAATCCATCCTTTTTTTAAAGTCTCTGCAAAGAACTTTTGTGTTGTGTTGGTTCTTGTTAATACTACTTTTCTTTTTTTGAGACTTTCTGTAGGACACAGAGTGAAAAGATGGTAAATGGATTAGTATGAAGTTAATATTATCCAAGACTGTTGTTAGTTCACAGAGGGTGACCAGAGGAACCGGCATTATGCTTCCCATCATAGGGTGTGCTTTGGTGTCCCAGTAAAAGGCCAAATTACATAAATTTGCACCCAGTTTAACCTTTTTCCCCTCAAAGGTAAGTTAAGCTGTCACAGTTAACATTAAAACCTGTTCACGGCCATTTTGCTCTTTTACCTACCAAACCCCTGGCCCCAGAATTTCTTCATCTTAATCAATACTTCGACAAGAGGGGCACAGCTTTTTCCCAGTCTGCCTTACGATTGCAGACTGCAGAAAACATAGAAATACCAGAAATATCAATATAGCAATCATGCTATCTCTGGAGGAAAACATATGATAATTTTAATCAATATGCTGACAAATGTATAACATAACCTGAAAAGTTAATATTAAGAAGCAAGTCTATTCTTCACTCTGATCCCAGAATGCTTTGGGACAGAGGGACCAGAAATGTGAGGCTTGGAAGGAAAACATTGCACAAAGAAACTGCTGACGGACGCCCACTCCCAGAGAGTAAGGACAGTCAACACCAAGACAAATACCACATCTGCTGCTATTTTGATGCAAATTTCTTAGGTTTGAGTGTGTTAAGTGTGTGTCAGAGACACGGCAGAAAAATAATAACTGCATACACACAATCCAAAAATGATGTGGAGGGAGCAATATGACTACAACTAATAACTGTTTGTCTGTCGCTGTGAGATCTGTTGCATATTAACTAAAACAAAGCCCACAACACACAACAGCTGCATGTTTAAATTTACATTAAAATGTGTGTCTGTGGCTCTTGTTTGAAAAGTCATCTTATACTGGGATTATCATTATCACAGGCAGTCAGTGGTTTATCAAATCCATGTACTACAGTACATCAGGTACCAAAAACACTGGTTTCCCCTGTGATGCATCAGGGTTGATATCCAGCATGTCTCATATAAAGTACAGTCATAAAGCAGTTACTCAAGCACACGGTGTCTGACCTCACCCTATTGTGTCAACAAGTCTCTACCAAATATATGTCCTGATGTTGTCTTTCCCATGGGTGTCCATCTTAACAGAAGCTATCTATCTGCCCCAAAGCTCATAGCCTAGACCCTGAAACCTGCCATTAACCTGTATTCAAGAAAAACAACCCTCGTGGAAAGAATTGTGGGATCAAGGTCAAGGGGCTAAAAGGTGTGTGTCCAGGTCTGTGTGTTGACATGATTTTGCACAATATAAATATATATTTTTAAAAACTGTCTCATATTGGTACTTCTGGTGAAGCATTGTGTCTCAAAAGCCAGAGAGGATATTCATGCTTGCACACGCTCAGAGTTACTTTGTATGGATTAGTAGGTGTGTGCGTGTGTGTGTGTGTTCATTCTGATTGTGTAGTGTGTAGCTTATGCACAACATTGCCTCTCAAATTAACCAAGAGTGCATTGATTTAAATTAAGGTCACTTCTTCGTTGGTCTAGTGCCTCATTATTTCACCATCAATCATTCAGAATGAGAATGAGTCAGGGGCGGTCAGCAGTAAAGTATCCAGATGTTCAGCAGCCATAAAACCTACATCTTGACCAAGGTGGCTGGCTTAATGCCTAACCTGTTCAAACACACATACTTATACACACACACAAACCAGGAGGGATGAAGAGGGGTAAAGAGTCTGAAATTGTGGGAGGGATAACAGGATGCACGAAAATGGAGGAGACAGGATGCAAAAGAAGGGCAGGGAGGAGAAAAAGAAACTGAGTTAGAGGGAGATGAAAATAAAAGTAGGAGAAAATCATGGTCGTTCATACAGGTTACTAAAATGCTTTGAAAGTAATGCAACAAAGAATTAAAAGACTACTGAGGAAGAACAGTGATTGAATAACTGCAACCCTCATACTTGCATTCATAAAGCAGCAAAAGCAAAAAGATGTAGTGCTGATTGTTAATTTGATTTCCTGCTTGTTGACGGTATGAACAATACAATAAATCCTATTTAATAATTCTGCCTCCTTTGTAGCGCAATCAGAGAGTAATGTTGGCTTTTAGTTGCTGTGTTCTGTGTGGTGTTGTACCCATTTTAGTTGGGGACATAAACATAAATCATGCACTGGGGAACTCAGTGCCACTTTATATTTAAAAAGGCATGAGAAGGGCATTAGGTCAATGCTAGAAAGTACAATATAAAACAAGTAATGATGAGTTGAAAGGAAGGGGATGTAAAGAGAGATGGGAGATGGTAAAAGAGGCCATAGGGACAAATCTGGCACTGAATCGGTTTTACATGAGCCACTTCAACCTTCTGCACTTTCTATAAGGTCTGTTTTTCACTTCTTTCTCTGACTCTCTTTTTGTGGGTTTCTCTGTAAGAAATAAAAAAAGTTTCCACGTGCCTGTACACGTGTTTACACCACTGTGTTTAGATGTCTGTTTAAGATGCTTTCACCCACTCATGGATCCATCCATTAACACATCTTGTCCATATGACAGTCTGCAGTGGGGAGCAGAGATCAGAGCATGTGGTGTTGTGTAAATGGGGTTTCAGATGCATGGGATTCTATAGGTTAGATTTATAATCTATTGCTGAGAGCTCAGAGCCCTCAAACCCCTGGACATTTAATCCTAATCCAGAAGCTAAGACCTTTGCCATGTTGCAACACAGACTGCTTGCCCACCACATTTACTTCTCTGCCATGCTGCACACAATCCAATATGATGTGCATATTTTTTCAAAATCTAGACCTGAGAAAAAAATCCACAGGTGAGCAAGAGGTGTATCCACACATTAATTTCAGAACATTAAAAGTTCCTCATTGTGAAGTTCCACCTTATAAACTTTTGAGGCAATTTGAACCCAGCCCAAAACAGCAGCACTTACAACACCTGAACAGTTGCCTGAAATGCTGAACAAAGGCAAAAAAAGTCAATTCTAATTTATGATTAAAGAGCAAAGAGTCTACAAAAGTTGTTACAACGCTGAGCATGCAAAATTCAGACAAAGGCATTGGGGAAAGTCTGCAAGAGCGAGAGAGAGAGAGAGAGAGAGAGAGAGAGAGAGAGAGAGAGAGAGAGAGAGTGTGTGTCAAAATGAAGGGGAAAGAGAAAGAAATGAGGTGTTGCATTGAAATAGAGCAGATATTATTACAGCATCTGTGCTGGGCTTTTCTACTCTTAGTGGTCTCTGATCCTCTCAGTGAAGGTCAGGATAGTAAAAAAATCACAATTTGTATTTTTGGCACACCTTCATGAGCCTTTCACACTAGACTAAGCAAAACTGTGACAGAAATTTCAATTTCCTGTGTAGTGGGCTATCCCAGTTACAATTTGTCAGAAATCAAAGATTTTTAATGTACTTTTACAACACCATGAAATCAAATGTGTTTTGGCCTTTACTGACTAAAGCCGCTAAACAATAAAATGAATGAGAACATTAAGGCCCATGACCAAAGATTCAGGAATAAACCTACTTACAAAATATAACACTGATATATCATGGGATCTGTGGTCATGCTTTTAAGGGTGCCCTTTGGCGTTATGGTGGCCATATAACTGCTCAAAAGTGAAATCCATTCTCCTCTCTTTCTTTAGTCTTCTCCATTTTTTTCAGCTGCATTTTTCCCCACAAAAAGTTCAAAACTTTTTAACATTGTCTGCTGGTTCTTGTAAATACTGACAGAAAAAAAGGAGGATTTAAATGTCTTTTGATAATCCTTCACAAACAGACGTCAGATCCCTCTTGTGATGGATCAGCCTCTATTCTATCATTTTTAAGCCTCCCTACAGTTTGTGTCAGGCTTTCCACACTCGAAATGTGGCCACAGACTGGATTAAGATAAGGGTATATGGACTTTTGAAGGTGGTATTTCACACACATAAAACACAAAGGGTTTAGATGCAGATCTACTGTAAAGCCGCTGTGTCACAAACTGCTAAGTAAACTGCCCAGATGTTAGACATGATGATGCTGATGGTTATGTTCATTATGGGATGGGGCTTAGGAGAGAATTACAGCCATGCATGCACTTCTCATTGCACACGAATGAGCTCGCATTAATGCCCACTCTCTTATCATATATACACAAATGCATAAAGACAGGCACATGAGTATAAAAATAACTCCAGGACAAATAAATCAGCAGATGACAGAGGTATATACTATAAACTGTTTGGTCATAAACAGACTTAAACTCATGTAATAGAAAGAACTGATCTGGTCTTAACTAATGCATATTTGTCACTTTAAAGATTCAGCAGCCAGTCCTTTCAATATAACACTGGGTGACTATACAAAACACGCCACAGTGATTTAATCCACTGAGTACAACAAAGGCAGCATGAACTGCCTCTAACCAAATACATAATCAAATCTTGCCCCCAAATTTTGCTAGTTTGTCATGCAAAAGAACAAGCCACCATGTCTTGGAAAAATGCACATTGCCTTACAGACTTCACACAGAGAACCTGAAGCCAATATTTAGCTGCCCACTCGTGAAAAACCCATGCGTAACTTCCCTGTCAATATAATTCACATCTTATTGTCTCCACTGATCTTAGACTTATTCACTCATTGCAGGGGTTGCCTTGAAGAGGCACCACAAAAACTTAAGGCACAGTCCTACCTTTGAAAAGCATGGTAGCCCAGATATAAAATCCAACCGAACATGGTCCCCAAAACTTCTGGCACCGCATCCTGGCACCGCTAAGTGGACCCCGGCAGCCCCTGACTGCGGGCTCTCAGTGTCGGCTAGACAGGGAATCTGCTCCGGCGTGGTGGTGCTGGTGTGAACATGAGGCTGGAGAGACACGCACAGGAGGCAGACACTGAGTGTGTATGTAAGAGAGAGACTGGAAATCAGACTGACGGACCCGTGTGAGTGCAGAGTTGAGATTGGCGCGCTCACGGTAAACACATTCCCTCACTCACGGGAGCGCGCGTCAGAGCGGGAATTGGAAAGAAAAATGGCTGCCCTCAAATCCACAGGTAAGCAAAGACATGCCAGAAACCACTCGAAAGTTGGAGTAATATCTGTTAGAAATGTTCACCGAAGTCGTGCGTGTCGAAGTGAAGGTGTGGTTTGGTTTTTAATCCCTTGCTTTGTGCCAGGAATCGTGTCATGGGTTGCTCTCCTCAAACTTTTCCGTCGAAAATGTTCGCTGAAAGAAGTAGAAACCCAGCTGACACACAGGTGTGGGTTTGGGCAAATTAGTCAATATATTATCAAATTTCCAACCAAATAAATGCAGTATAGGACAGAACTTTTCTTCATTATGTGAAACTGTTTAAACCAAAGTAGTTCAAAGATTTGCAATTTTGATTTTCAGTAAATATACTAAATACTTTCAAGAGCTTCCATGAATGGAGCCATCAACCAGGATTTTCTTTGGAGAAACTCCTCTGAAAAATAATGAGTAGTTCACAGCTCCCTTTATTCCTTTTTTTTCCATTCACTTTGCTGTCACTGCCTTTTTAGTATTTGATTACGGCTCAAGGTGTCTGTCAATCCCACTGAAAAGTACTTTACCTCAACCAAATGGAAGAAAGAAAGTTGGCAAGTAGCTGTTGAACACAGAACATTCATAAAAGTAAACAGAGCAGTGGGAAAATGCATAAATGTGGTATAGACAGAAGCAGGACTACCAAATAAATCCTTATGTGATTGATGAAAACCTAATATCCACTAAAGCTGGTTTGAATTCACTAAAAAGCCATGCAGTCAGAAAAGACACAGCCTATCGCATGGTTCATCTCAGTCCTTCACACCAGAACAGGAACTATGGGTCATTAACTGAGTGCGGATCATTACCCAACCCCTTTTTCTCCCACAGCTGTAGACTATCCTCATTGAATACAATATGTGCTGCACTGCAACCACTTCCTGATGTCTGAAAGAGGTTAATCAACTGAATTTTTGTTGTATTTGTTACTTTTTTATGCCAGCGTGGCTCATAACCAAATGACCTATTTATTCCACGCCATAAATAGTTCCAGACGAAAATAGGATCAGGGAAGTGATGAGGAGGAACACTGCGAGAATTCTGGAAATGTTCTCAACTCTTGGCACCCATTTTCTCTCTTCTTTTCAATGAAACAAGGTCGTGTCATTGAATGAGTGGTACTCTACCAGTCTTTTTGGGCCAGTTTTAAATGTCCTATATGTCTCGTACAGCTCGATCAGATGAGATCTGTGGTGTTAGATGTGATTTTGTACAGAATATCACATAGGAGGGTGCCAAACAGCAGAGAAAACACTGGACAAGAAAGCGCTGAATCCTAACAGCTAGAAACGTTGAACTGTTCAAAGCCTTCAGTTTGTCCTGCAACTGAAAAAGCCATTATCAGATATTTCACTCGAGCAAAATGATTCATGAAGGCAGCTCAGGGAGTACGCCAGCCACCACATTCATTGAACAACAAAGATTAAGGAGGTTGTAAAAATTTAAGTGAATTTCAAGGTGTCAAGTTTGGCAGATTACAAACATCGCTAAGAGGGAAACAAAGAAAATCTTCATATTTAGGCTCTTTCAAATGCATCCATCAGCTGGTAGGAGGTGACAGCAGTACAGAGAAAAGACCGAGCACAAAAAAAGAGTGTGAAAAGCAGAGGGGGCTGTTAATACTTCATCTTTTATAAATGAGAAACATTCAGCTAATGGACTTAAATAATGTGGAGCTACCATTTCTTTTTGCTTGTACTCTCTGTTGTTTTTTACTGCATCCCTCTTGTCTGCTTTTGCTACTAGAAAAAAGGCTGGTGGACACATTGTTGCAGCCAAAGGAGACAGAGATGCATTCTTTCTTTGAATGCAAACATATGTGAACACCACCACAACAGATAGTCATCGGTGACAAGACCACTTTCTTCTCACTTGTATTGACACTCACTCAAAAAATGACAAAAAAGTTGATGAAATTTTTAGTTCTGTATTTTGTTAAACATCCTTTCCCTTAGTCTCTCTCTGTTTCTAAATTAAACATTTGAAATGTCTACATGTCCCAGCAGGGTGCATATGTGTGCATGTGTGTGAGTGTGATAGAATGGGGTCAGATGAGTTTTCGTTTGTCTGAGTTTCTATTTCTGATGTGCAGAAGTCGCAGGAGGAGACGCCAAGCTTTTTGCAGTGGGAGAGAGCTCAAAGGTCCCAGGTGCATGTGTGAGTCAGTGTGTGCAGCTTTGAATCTGAACTAACGTGTGAGTGTGTTGGTTAAAAAACAACAAAAATATTAGGTGTAAACTGCATGCTTTTATTTTTAAGTATTTGTAAATGATCATAAACACATCTCTCTTGAGTCAGCACCTTCTTTGTTCTCCTAATATTTGTCTCTGTTTCACACAACATGCAGCAATTCAGTTTGTTACGCTATGTTGATCAAAGGTCAGATCTCAACATGCTGAATTTGCTCTAGAGAAGGTCAGCGGGGCATATAAGGGTCAGAGGGAGACCCGGAGTGTCTCACAAAGAAACACACACCAAAGCAAAGCCGTGTATTCAGTGGGCGAATAACAACAGTGTGTTGGAGATGGAATCATAGCATTAAAGTACGTGCAGATTAATATAGTCATGCATTTATGTACACACACTTACATTGCATCAGTAGAGGGAGTTATTGAGTAAAAAGTTATGGTCTTCTCCACTTTAAGTTATCGCCTTGGTGCATCAGCTGTTGTTCTCTTTAATCACAGTGTTATTTTTGTATGGTGGTATAAGATTTGGTGCATGGGTAAGAATGTAAATGATATGCATAGAAATGTTCATGAACGCTCTTGTTAACACTTTTAAGGATATGTGCTATAATCCAACATCTCTGAAAAAGTTAAAACTACATTGATTCTCTTAGGACCTGGTACAAAATGCTTGCATGCCTGCTTTGATTCAGCCGTTCCGCGCATTATGAACCCCTCCTCATCAGCAAGTTCACTGAATTAGCATTTTATCCTCCCTTTACAACTTAAGTCCTCACACCATTTCCTACTGTATTACTGCAATCTCAAGCATTAGTACTTACCATAATTTTGCAGATATTTTTCTTACAACTCTCTTAAGGATTCAACATTTTGTAGTCATTTAGGTTCTCCTGTGATGAAGAGCTGGATGACCTGCTCAAATTGTGCATAGGTCCCCACCCAGTGGGCAAAATGTGCACGTGCTTGAAATTATTGCACATTCAGCATATTTGTTTTACCATCCTCCAACGACCACAAAAAGTATCATGCAGACAAATTTGAATGCAACATGATGATGTGATTACATGTAAGTAAGCAATAAGATGTGAGTGAGTTCCAGGAAGTCGATATCGTTACAACAACTTTTGGGAAATTAAGAAGGCTTTTCTATAACTAGATTTTAAAAGCATGTTTATGAAGGTGACTGCTGAAGTTATGTTTACTGAAGGAAGACTTACAGGATGCAAATGCAAAGGCTTGCTTCAAAAAAAAAAAAAACTCATTTGACGAAAGAGAAAATTCAGCAGCTGGTGCACAGAAGCAAGTAAATGATAAAAAAAAAAAAAAAAAAACTTATTTTGCTTAGTTTTGCTGCCATGATCCTAACTCCAGCTAGCCAAGGTGAAATGTTGACCAGAAAGATATAAGGCTTGTGTTTGCTCATCAATAATATTTCTGTGGGTTAGTGTATACGCTAAAACAGAGTTGTCTTTATGATGAATCTGAGAGCTTGTTGTTTGTAAGCGTGTGTTTGAATAGTCTGTCGGAGCTCTGGCTGGAAACAACATCTTCTCGAGAAACTGGTGGAATGATTGGCTCCATTCATTCCTCTCCTGGTTTCCTGGTAAAAAAAAATGCAGTGAAAGGCGCTTCTGTTCATTTCAACATTTAGACGAGAGATTCTAAGATGTGACCACACTCTGTCCAAGAGCTCACCACTCCACTGCAGGTAAGTCTCACTATTCTTGTAGTCTGCATCTGTATGACTTATTAAATAAACTGAGATTAATATCAGGAAGCAGTTGCAATCTTTTGATTTAATTTTACCTTGTCATATTTTGTTGATGTGTCTTACTCCTCTTCTTATCAGAGCTCCAAGCTAACTGTAATTCTTTAACTTTTTACAGACATGCAGTTTCTGCTCCTGTTTGCTCTTTTGAGTGGTAAGACCATGAACCATTACCAGCTTTGAACTTTGATTTATTTGAATTTAGTGGCCACAGATATCCTATTGATTTAAATACTCAGAGTAAATCAGTGTGGTCACTGAAAACAAATACGGTGTTGCCATGAATTTGCACTCCTTCAAAACATTTTAAATTTTACATGCTGAACATGATTTTTTTCCCATATGTGCTGATGAAATAGAACAATGGTGTCTCTTTTCTTTGCAGGGGTTTTTGCTGCTCCATTTGTAAAGGAGGAGGAGGCGAAAAGATTCATCAGGCTGAAGAGGCAGTCAGGGTACTGGGATCCGCACAATTCTCAGAACATGTGGGGCTACACCATCCAGGAGCAGGTAAAATACTGGCCTGTGCAATGTGCATACAGATGATGATTCAGTATGAATGCTATCTATAGGCAGTGGTTGAAAACACTGAAATGAGCCTTGTTTTTTCTTCATTAGGCTAATGAGTACTGGACAGCCATTCGGACAGATGCTCAGTACTACATGGACATGAGTCACCTGATGTTTGACCGCTCTGTGGCTCTGTAAGTGAGACGATTAAAGAAGCATGTATGACATGTGTGAACACATCTTACAGTGCCATCACTGTCCTGTGTGCCAAGGTAGTTCCTATGTGCATTTTTCTTTCCACTTTACCATTTTGTCCCCCGCACATCAATAAAATTCAAAGTGTATTAATTTCCTGTTGATTTTTAAATTGAAATGAAAGGATTTGTAAAGTGGATTACATTTCTTTACTGCTGTATTGATGTTGACCTGATTTTCTCTCTCTCTTTATGTGTTTAAGGGAAAACAACAGGCTGTATATGGAGATGCTGCGTAATGCACGAGCACATCTGGACAGCCAGACTGGTCGACAAAGATAAAAACATAAAAGGGGACACTCAGAGGAAGAGAGATCACATACTGTTCAAGCTCAGTGAATCCAAATTTACCAGGAATATAAACACATTACAGCAACAACAACAACAATTAGCTACTTTTGAGGAAAGACTATACTTATACGTTTTTATGACTTAAACTGTAGTTAGCAAATACTTATCCCTGAAATAACTACTATCAAAACTGTTCATAACATAATTAGTTTACCTTTCAGGGTTTTTATAAAATGCAACAATCCACTAATTTGGACATTTTTGTCAGTTCAAAAAGTAAAACATCCAAAGTAACAACCTCTATATCTATGATAAACATTTGAGTATATGAATAATTTGAGAATAATCTATGTACTATAAGAATCTTTCAATAAAGATTTTACACAAAGATAATGATTACTGTCATAAGAATTATATTATGTAAGAATCTGAAACTTCATTTGTGCCTTTTTGGGAGGTTTTCTTAAAAATGGAGGAACAACTTGTTTACCACCAGATGGTGCTGTCACCCCACAGCATCACCTTCTCTTCCTCTTGCTCTCTCCTCATATCTGTGTTTAACTAGCTAGCCAGCAGGATAGATTCCCATTTTCCTTTTGGAATTGTTTTAACATTTCTGAACAGCTTAAATATTCGTTGAGTTGATCAGCGGTAAGAGCAGCTTAATTCAGTACAAATGGAGCATAGTGTATTCAAAGCAACTTTATTAGTGTAATACAGTGTACCTGAATAATACAAATACTGTATTTAAGTTTAACTGAAGGTACTGAATGGAACTTAAATATAAAATGTGTCTATATCTTTATTGATGCATAACTTTTATATTCCAAATGTAGTATATGAGGAGGCTGCGTTAGACAAAGACAATAATTGACAGGTAATTGACAAGAAAACATTACAAACTGTTAACATACAACACAAATAAGATTATCTTAATATTCCTGTATGTTTTGCTAATGTCTTTGAAGACTTTGCAAGCACATAGATCGTTAAATATTTATCAAAGGTAGTTAAAAAGTTGTTGGTACCTTTAGAGATCAAATCATTTGTATTATACAAAACTAAAAAGTAACTGAGGTAATTTGTGCTTCATGTATGTGGAAACAACTATCCATCCCAATCCAGTTCTATTACTTTGATAGAGTAATTCTAAGTAAATTAAGACATTGAAGAATTAAAAGTTAAATTTTTCTATTTGCTTGAGGATACAGTTAAAAGGAAATCTGGTGTAACCAACCGAAAGGCCGCAATGTCTTTCACATAAAGTACACCAAAATTACTTGGAATAATAACAGAGAGGTCAGCTCAGAAATTCAATGAAGCAATTTTTAATTGATGTACTAATTTTTGTTCTTCTATTTGCCAAATTTTTTATGTTTCAGTGCATTTTGGCTTTAAATGACCTGCAGATGTGATCTAGTGCACTGATAGTTGCATGCTATTTAAAGCCACTCAGTGAACAATATGACGTTTCGTAATGGTCACAATTGTAACACAGGCTGCGCCAATTTAACGATGATTGTCTCACTGATTAAATAAACAAAACACTAAAGTCATTGTTTGAGTAAAGCTTAAATCTTCATTGAATCTACACAGTGAATCTAGGGAAGGAATCTACACCTATACAATTGAAAGCATTGTAAGTCTCTGAAAAGCACCTGTGGGGACTTTCTCTCTACAGTGGAAACATGGGTATTGACTATCAGTACTTAAGCAAATCAATGATAAATCTGATACAATTTTGACAAGCCCTCTCCTTTAAAAGTCAACTGAAACAATCAACTGACATTAGCACAAAGCAAGAGTGCGGTGCCAGTGAATTTCATATTAAATGTCTCTAAGCTTGTAGACTTGACAAATCTGCGATAACTTATGCATACTTTTTATTGCACTGGAATAGACGGGGTATTTGGTGTCAGCCAATACTTATACTGAACATTGAAATGGGCAAAAGAAAGGGGGTAAAAAAGGTATCAGAAAGTCTTTAGTACCACATGAGGATCATCAGTTTTTTTGTGGAAGGTGCGTTACTGCCGCTAAGTTGAAGGTGGCTCTTCACTTGCAGTTGGAGGAGGGATTTTCATAAACTTTTGCAAAGCTGGAGTGAAAATTAGGATAGTGCCAAGTATTGAGACAGTGAGGAAAGCCCAGAGGAAGATTCTGTCCAACACCTGGGCCACAAACTTCCAATCTTGTACCACCTGTGAAAACAGAATCAACAGGAGATGTCATCAAATGTATAAATGTACCCCTCGTATATACTTGAATCATTAGTTTATCCATTCGTCTCAACCCACCTCGCGGATAAAATGTTCCTTGCGGATATGTCTGCTAATGTAGCGCACTGAGTAGATAGCCTGGTCAAGCATGGTTGCCCAGGCTTCGTCCTCCTTCCCATCAGATGTGGTTTGACCGTGGGCTCCGCTATTGCCCTTCTGGCCTCGACTCCGACCTCCTGAGCGTGACTTCAGGTCAGGGCTCTCAGGAGCTAGCTCTGGATAGTGGTAGCGATCAGTATGTCCACGCATGCAAAGCAACCTAGGCAGTTTCTGAAGGAAGAGATTGCGAACCCATGGGGACATGGGATGATAGGTGGCCGAGGAGCGGTGGTGCACATTGATGACAAAGACTGTGACGATAATAGAGAGTGTGACAAAGATCATGATGAAGAGGAGGTACTCTCCAATGAGTGGGATCACCTTGGAAGAGGAGGGGATGATTTCTTCTATGACTAAAAGGAACACAGTGAGTGACACGAGTACAGAGGTAGAAAGTGACAGCTTCTCGCCTTCATCTGATGGAAGGTAAAAGACCAGCACAGTCAGAAAGGACAAACCCAAACAAGGGATGATGAGGAAGAGAGTGTAAAATAACGGCAGCCTCTTCAGGATGAAGGAGTATGTGATAAAGGGGTACGAGTACATGCCATCCTTCCTGTTCCCTCTGGCACCAGTGGCACTGAGGATCTCCCACTCCCCATTGTCAAAGAAGTCCTTCCTGTCAACTTGTTTGTCAATAAGAATCAGGTCCACCATGTGACCATCGTACGTCCAGGAGCCGAACTTCATCGTGCAATTCTGCCGGTCGAAAGGGAAGAATGTGACATCCATAGTGCAGGCAGATTTGTAACTGGCAGGTGGTGTCCAGGTGATGGCGCCATTGTACCTGACAATCGCTTTGGTCATCAAGGAGCCCTCAAACCTCCCATCAGCACTGAAAAAGACAAAAAAAAAAAAAAACTGAGTTTACATCAAATCATTAATTTAACTGAAGATTGTAGCACTTATTTACATTTTCAGCCATTGTTCTAAACTCTTCAATCAATAAGTCAAAGCAGTCAAGAAAGGTCATATGAGCAGCAATTATGACAATGAATGGACAAGACCAGAAACTGTTCAGTTTGACAGGAAAATTGACAGTTTTGTCATAGTCATTCAAATATCTGAGTGGGTCTCACTTTTCATAGAGGACGATGTCTGGTAGCCAGATGTTTTCAGAGGGAACTCTAATAGACGTAATTCCTCCGTACTTCTCTGGATTCCATCGCAATTTGTAATCGATCCACTCCTGGTGATCATACACAAGACACAAAACTAAGTATCGGAGGACTTACATCCCCGTAACTTAAAAAAAACTGAGCTTTCTTTGTGTACAGAGACAAAGAAATTCTGCATTATACACTCTCAATCAGTCTTTAGATTTGACTAAAACTATGACTTCTGAGGAAATTTTGCAATTTTTTTTGTGAAAATTCTGTTAAATGCTGTTAGCTGTGTTATACAAATCAGAAACAAGTGGAAAGCTAATTTTCTAGTATATATATTTATGTAAAACACAAAGTAATCTATGTCTTCTTTATAACAAGCTGTGTCAGTCCATAGCCTGTTTCTTTTTCTGTAATACTCTGACGTTTTCTCTGACCTTACTGTGACTTTCTTACCTGGCAGAGCCAAACATTTGTCGTCATCAGCTGGTTCTTTTCATCCTAAGACAGACAAAACAACAGAAATAATAAGAATATTTTGAAAGGAAGGAAAGGTTAAAACATAAAAAGAAACCTATGTGTGAATGATTTTCATTCCTCATGGAGTATTTTTAAAGCAGTTTGAGGAGGACTGCTAATGTCAAGTTTGTAGTCCAGAGGATATATCAAATATCCACACACAGGAAAATAGATGACAAATATGCTAATATGGCTGCCTTTTTTCAAGCTGAAAATGATGCAACTTGTTTACCTCTTCTGCCTAGGGTGCCTCCATCATGATGTAAGATCTAATTAGAGGACTAGATGAGAAGGTTGGCTGAAAGTTCACTAAACAGTGCTTTCCTTTCTCCACGAAATTAGACAAAAATCTCATTTACCTGTCTCTGCTACTTCCTTAACAAACAACCAAAGGAAACATGAAGCCAGAGTGGGTGCAGTGAATCCTGCTGAAGCAATATAAATGCAGCAAGAGATAAATAGTAGAGGACAGGAATAGATAGATGGGGAGTGGTGAACTCAGGTTTATTTCCACATCACTGGAATAGAGTTGTGAAAATAAGGGACTTGAGAGAAACACAAAGATGCAGCTTCTCCAGACCAGGCCTTGGCTGTCAAACTGAGTTGGATATTTTGGTGGTCACATAAAGCAGAGGTGAACCATGATCTAATACAGAGCTGTGCAGCAGCGTTAGACTCTGGGGACATTCATGGTGAAGCTAAGCTGCTGTTATTCCTCCTTCCTGCTCTCTTTTCTGAAACCAGAAAGAGCATCCACCTAAATCTTTTCTCCCTACAGAGTCTTGATAGGACTCATCTCTGATATTTTTTGCTTTACATGGCTGTTAGCTGAAATGATGAAGAGTAAAAAACCAAAGTAGATGAATATTTCAAGCTGAGAAGAGTGGTTCTTCCATTAGCATCCTATGTTTTCTCCTTTTGAACACATAAACCACCCTCACCTATCACAGGCAGCCCCTGAAATATTAAAGGAACACTCCGGAGAGAAACTGCATGGTTGGAGATGTGAGGAGAGTGTACAGATCTATTTCAGGACCACGGAAAGCTCCACTCTGTGAAGCTGCCAACAGCTTGTTTGGTTTGAGCATCATGGACCGCAGCTATGCAGGGCTTAAACTACACAATAAACAAAGACCAACCAAAGCAACATTTGATTTAAGATTTTTTTTTATCAGGACTTTGTTTCAAATAAGTATCTATCCATCTACCTATCTTAATCTGTGGTTTATATATATTTGTGTCTGTTTGCTGTTTGATTTATCGACATTATGAAAAATAGTTTTCTGAGACTTATATGATTATTATTACAACCAGAGTAATCACAATACAAAAAGATGTTATCATCGAGATTAAAGTGTTCCAAAACATCAGGACAAGACACTTGATAACTTAAAGTGAATGAACATTTCTATGAGAGTGACAATTTCAATAAAGTCGAAGTGTATCATGGAAAACTGAACAATTTCTTGTACTGATGGATTTACTAGTTCTGAAAGTGAATATTTTGGTTGAGATCTGAGCAAAGGTAAAGGCTAACAAAGACAACATGTTTCAAAATAAACCGGTGATATGTTTGTGCTTGCAGGTATGTTCTCACCACATCAACCAGCTGAGAGATCTTGAGCCCAAAGCGCACTCTGATGGTGTCATTGGCATGTTGGATGGGTCTGACCCAGCGCTGGTAGCCTTGGAAAAGGTTCTTCAGGAGAGCGTCCTCCATCTCCGCCAGGGACACAAACTCATTTGGGGCTGAAAGAAGAGGAATACAAACCAGTACCAGTGTGCTATATGTTTACTGCAGCATAAAGAAGACTGGGGGTAAGTACAAAAAGATGTTAATTGATGTATGAAACTCTAACAAAACAAAGTACTCCAACTCTGGCTTAACTACAGCGGGCACTTGTGGTATCTATAGTTATGCCTAATAACCCTTAAAATAACAATAATAAGATAATAATATAAGTAAAAGCTAACTTATGTTCCATGATGTGCCTGAACAAACGTAGCACAAATGCAACAAATAAAGAAAACAATGAAATGTCAAAGAAGTTCACTGTATTCCCCCATGAAGTCTATCTTTGGGAACTGTATCTATCTTAGCCACAGGACAGGATTAGGAGTGACTGATACGGCTCTGCACTGGATGCAGAGATGGCAGAGATAACATAACCCTGTCCAGAAGCTGAGTACACAGCACATGAGTCTGCCTGAGGCAATATGATGTCTCCAGTGGGACACAGACAGTAATATTGACAATGAAGGACAGGTATAATGTCAGATAGAGAGGGAAACCAAGAGCAGAGGGAAACCAAGAGCAGGACTCTATGTTTGTGGTAAGGAGTTGCACGGACCTTTAACCTACAGCTGGTTTCTCCTCTGGCTGTACATCTGCCTGACATCACCATGAATGAATACATTAAGTGTGCGAGCAAACATTAAATCACCCAAAGCAATTTGCTACATGACATTTCAATCCCACTAGACAACCCCCACCCCCATGTGTATTTATTAAGGGACTCATTGAGTTATGCAAGGTGTCCTGTATGTACTGCTGACCCATGGGCTTCAAAGTAAGCACACTATAAAGGCCCTGATTGTCAAAGGCTCACCTGACTGATGCAGAAGTACACAATTATAGATAACTTAATAGTTATTAGTTGAGTAGTTGGTGCTGTTGCATTTTAACTACACACAGAAAAAAAAACAGCTGACACAAGAAACCTACTTACATTTTTATCTTCGGACTCAACTACCACTCTTAAAGGGTACAAAATAACTCGCTATACCTGATTGTACTGCGCAACATCGTAACAGTAAACACGTTTGGAAATATTTGCAGCAGAAGTGAAGGTTGCACTTTGGTCTGCCGTGGTATTCGTGGATTGTGCGGAGGAGCAAATTCACATTTTAACCCAACGTAAATGTTTCACCTCATGGTCTGAAAGTGATATTAATATTGACAAACTCTCATAAGCTATCGATTCTGTGTTGGATGTGTATACCAGGAGGCATTTGTAGTGAAAATAAGTCGAATGTCAGGTTTCTTACCGGGAATGGCGGCGAGAGACAGCGGGCAGGACACCGACAGGATGAGGGACAGGAAAACCGCTAACCTCATGATGTTGTTGTCCTCGAGCTCCGACGGAGCGCTCGTGCAGCCTCCTGCTACTGTGGGCTTTTCAGCCGGAAAGAATGCTGCATCGAGGAGGTCCCCACCAGGAGTGCGCAATTAAAGAAATGCGGCGAACCAGTGCCGTGCCGTGTGACAGAAAATAGGGACGCGTTCAGAAGGTGCATGGGGCCGGTTGTCTCTACCGTGACTCCGGTCGAGGCGTCAAGGGGTGCGGCGGTCAGCGGTGCGGTCCGTGAAGGAGGAGGAAAAATTAGGTGGAGGGAGGGGGAGGGATGTGCGGGAGGGGAATGAGATGTGGAGGAAGTCAAAGTGTATGCAAAACTGTCACAATAATCTCGATAAAGACGGTGAAATGGCACTGTAAATTTGCGTATTTTGCATCACACCAAAAATGTCAATAGTGTTTGCGCACTAAAGAGAGGTCCAGGAGGAAACTACACCGTACTGAGGGCCTAATGGTTTCAACATGTGAAGTGTATCCTGTTAGGAGTCAAAGACTGAGATATGTCGTTACCACAGTGTTGTGTGTCGGAGACATTATGCCTATCTACATCCTAAACTAACAAACAGATATAGTCGGATTAAATGAGTGTTTCTCATTCTCTGTAATTCAGTGGGACGTAACTGTCGCTGTTTGTCCACCGGAGGGCGCTAACGAGAACACTAACCCAAAATGTCATGTTGAAAGAGATCATTAAGTATGACAGAAAAGGCTGTTTCTGTTGTTTTAAGATACCCTCCAGGCATGTTGGAGGCATTTTCTTCATGATAAAATCACAGAAAGGCAATGTCAATAAATGAAAACAGCTAAATCTGCACAGATTACTGGAACAAAACACAAGTAATACAATTCTTGGTACAAAAAAATTTAACTGGATTTGAAGAAATGAGTCACTAAAAGCAGTTTATGTTCTTCTTCTTTTAGATATTTTGTACTGTATCACTTGAATGATAAAAGGCGGTTTGACTCACAAGTATTCAGCCCAACACTTTAAAGGAAACACCATTGACCTTGAAGATGTCAATGAAGAGCTGAAAAACCTATCACTTCTTTTTAGGTGTTTTCTATCATGTCCTTTCTCTTCACAAGCAAAGATGTCAAAGAGTTTCTTGGTTTGAATGGATTTGTGGACATTTGAACAGCACTCACTCTGCTCTGTGTCACGGCTAGATGTTTCCAGCATCAGACACTCAGTCATCCATAAGGGCATAGTCTCACCAAGGATATCTGTGGTCATATGATTTAGAGAAAATGTGAGGGTAGAGTCATGGGAACACCATGTAGGACCAGAGAGAATCTTTTTGCAAGGTGTTGCAGTTAGTGTAGCAAGTCGAGTGACCAAATCATCAATCTTGAAACACTCAGACTGTGTTTTTCAAAGATAGATGCTGCACTGGATATCACCAAAGTCCTTGGAAAGAAAGAGAGGAACCCACCAAAAATTAAACAGACAACATGCAATCTGTAAAGGACACGACAAAGACAACAGGAGGTCTGACTCACGCTAGAGCAAGACAGATAGACAGAATAAGAGCAAGAACATGAAGGCTGAGAGGAACATAAACTCACTAACAGCTCACTAATAAACACACACTGATGGCCATGGTAAAGCTGGTTGATAAATCACAGCTGAGAACAACAACACTTCAGACGAAGAGCTGTGCACTGTGTGCTGCCAAATGGCTTCTTATTATGTGTGGAAAATGTAATGGAGGTGAGAAATAAGCTGTTGGTGGAAGGTTTGAACATTTTAAGCTTGGCGTCTTTCTATTTTTAATGAAAGGAAGAGGTTTTTGAAACATGTGTTTGCAAGGTTGCAGTAAAAAACACATCTGTGCTAAGAGGAACAACATCAGGAGCACACAGTTCAGGAGCATTATTGATGGTGTGGCTGTGTTGTCACTGTATTTAAGGTATATGTGAAATCTGAACCTGATCGCGGTGAGATTTGTTATAATTCATGTTATTTATTCCTTTTTCCTTAAAGAGCACCCCTTCCATTGGTACAGCAGCACATGAATATGCGTAAAAGATAGTATACCCCGTGTGGCTAAAATTATGTGGACTACTAAACTACATTCCTGACATACTGACATAAGGCTAGATTTTAAGGTCAAACTACATATTTGCCAAGACACTAGCCATGATAGGACATAGTTAATTCATAGTTAATTCTAGCTTCCAACTTTGCCCCAGAAATTTAGATCTCCTCTCATCCGTGTTACACTATCAAGAGGTAAAATTATCGTTTTGCCACTGTAGAGCTCAAGGTAATTTTGGCAGGAAAATTTCAGTATGCTAACGGCTCAACTTATCACATAAAGCACTTGATTGGAATTGGTCATTACAATAGAGCAGTTCATAGCAATATTGTGTTATTTCTCCCAGTTTCTTCACCATTGTAAGGATTGCAGCTGTGATCAGACTCATTAATGGATGTGAATTTAGGATGAGGTATGATATTTTAAATATTGGATTACTGTGGACTAACCACAACCATGATTAGACACTAAAACAGTGGAGAAAAGGCAGGAGATGTTGATGATACAAAGGCAGAGAACTCTACAAAACTGACTTTCACTATTGGTGGAAATCTTCATTTCAAAGTAAGTATTAAAAAAAATGGTTGTTTAGATATAAGTCGTTGTACAGCTCAGCTAGCATATTTTAAGAAAGCAAAAGAGTTAGAGTTGTTGACTGTTACCATGGATTCAGGTCAAACTGTGAGTGCACCAGGCTGTTTTCAACAAGAGGGTTGTAGTCATTGTAAAATCCATACTGTCCTATCCAATTTTATCTTCTTAAATTACTAATTTAGTTAAGGTACCTTGTGGTGGTTTTATCAACCAAAGTCTCCCCTTTCACTGATCAATCTTATGTGTTTTAAACCATCCGTTAAAATAAATCTCTATAAGATCAACATGAGTGGAGATTCAAGATAGATTGCTCGCATTGCACTTGTCCGTCTTTGCATAATACTTGAACCACCACCAGATTTTTCACCTCCAAGAAGCAACTGTAAGATTACTTTATGAGTCTACACAGCTCATGTTTCACGGGTATTTGACAAAACTACCAAGTTACCAGTTGACAGTGAGGCGCATTAACCAATCAAAGTAACTCAGACGCTGTTTCTTAAGAGAAAGAGATTTGTAGAGTTTCAGTTTTTGTCATGAATCACCAAAGAAAACCGTGGCAGGTGCACAAAATCTGAGCAATCAAAAGCAAAGCTGCAGCGTCCAGATTGAGTAATTTGGGTGAAACAACTCAAAGATAGTAGAGATACATGAATAAATGTAGCTTTTCACAAGTACAGTAAGATCCTCTGAATAGACTCGAACTAAAGACATGCAGACTCCTTCCCACACATGCATATATTCTGCAGCTATCTGCGCACGAGGCCCACATTTCCTCTTTTGTATTTTTATTCCTTCCTCTCCCTCTTCTCTTTCTTCTCCTCCTCTCTCAGCCACACACTCCCTCTCCCTGCACTCCCTCCCTCACCTCCTCCTCCTCCATGAGTTGAAGTGATGGGGATAACGGGAGGCTGATTATCACAATGAAATTATCCTGATTTTCTGCTCCACTTGGAGCCGTGGGGCGGGCAGCTGCTGCCTCCGAGATCGTCCCGTCCGCCTCGCCTCTAATCATTCGGAAACACAAATTCTCGCGGGCTGGAAACCTGCCGGTCCCTTCCCAGACGACAGTGGGCAGCTGCACAGTGTGTGTGCGTGTTTATGTGTGAGATAATGTGTGTGTAAGAGAGAGAGAGAAAGAGAGGGACGACAGAAAGTGTAGGGGAGAGTACATATCCTGCATCTGTGTGAGAGTGTGCTTGTGTTTTTGAAATGTTGGGGCTTGTTTGTGTGTGTGAATGTTGTTTTTGTTTTCTAGAGCTCATAATTAAAGGCTGCATAATTTGGCTGGATGCAAAAATATTTAATAAATGAGTAGAAACAGGCCTGTCTCCTGCGGCTTTAATCTTAATCTGTTTGTTATTTTAAGGATTAAAAAAAAATGGTGATAAAGGCTGGGGAAAGCTGCGACAGAAATCAAATCTCACACAAGCTTGAAAGAAAAACACAAAGTCAACGATATTACACAAGCTACCGCTGGTAGACCACTAATGGCACCACCAACACTTCAAGGGAAAATCTGATTACCCTTTAAACTTTGGGGTTTAGTGGGGCTCAAAGTGGCTTTTAGAGTATGCAAACTTTGAAAATCAGCAAAACTTCTAAGTGATCTGATGCAAAAAAAATCCCCACTCATCAATAATCCAGACCCACTCATTTCAAACATCATAGAGTCTGTAACTGCTGAGAAAAATAGATGAAAAGATTCTGGAGAGATTAGAGTGGAAATGTCACTGCAAGTGTTCAAACTTACAGCAGAGAGGGGGACAAATGGGACAGTGTCTACTCAGCCCAGTTAAGCATATGCTGGGTGACTTTCAGGGTCATACAGATAATTATAGAGTTCAATGTCAGCCACTGCTGTGGAAAGTTAGCAGCAGACACACACACACAAAATATTTATTGACCTCTAACATGATACTTCTCTCTGATTACTCTTTGGTTTTTCATCTGGCTGACATGATACAAAGAAAAGGTCACTCATGCCTCGTAACTCAATCCTGCCAGGCAGTGTTACAATACTGTCTCCTTCAGATAACAACGCACTGTGGGAATGACTTCACTCAATGGCAATGTTAAATAGTAATGGAGTGTGTGTCTGTCTGCTCAAAGTTATTGTTCAATTGTTGCAATGGCAGTCATGGTCTGGAGGGTCACTTGATCCTGAAATGAGGTGGTATAGGTCATTTCTGAAAACACTCATTCCCTCCAGTGTATTATACTGTAGAGTAGCCTCGTCTACTTGGACATAAGCTCTCGTAGAAAATGTATCCTGATGACTGTTTTTCTGCCAAAGTCAGCTCGGTAAGATTGCAATTGTGAGCATTTTGTTGATCAAAGTACGATCATAAGGACACTGAAGGTCACTGAAGTGATTGTAGACTCCTTTTCTGGACTCGTTCTCGGTTAAAACTAAAGCAACAGAATCTCTTGGAAATATGCTAGCCTTTTTTAAAGCCGTGCTCGAACTACAGAGCGATTGCTCAAGTTAAAAAATATACTTTCAGGCAAATGTCGGCTAACTTAGTTGAAATGTGGAGCTCTTTTTCTATTACTTTGCCGTGTCTTGGGTGGATATTGGCTTGTTGAGGCTCACTGCTAATATTGAGCCCCCTTACATGTGATACATGTGCGTACAGAGATTTAACCATAGAGTGTAGATAGATTGGATACCGTCTGCCTCCTCGCTAGATGAAGCCACCCCGAGAACAGCACCCTCTGGTAATGGGCTGCAGTATAGGTCATAAATCCCGCCTCCTCCAGCAAAGCTTATGCCGCTGTGGACAAACTTTAGAAATTTATTATACAGAATATAAATTTTTCTCCCGCCTGCTTGCAACGTTGACATGTAGTTATTGTAATACTGGTTTGTGCTCAAGTCCTCTTTTTTCTGTACAACTCCATTTTTAAAAGTTATTAAGGGGTTCATGTTTTCTTTGATTGACACTTGATACAGCCTACTGGCATTCAGGGATTGCGTAGCTCACCCAGGGGATACGCTGTTTGAGCCGAGCATCATCACAGCTATTCTCGGTGACTCTCCCTACAAATGCACACAACGCTACTGCGCAACGTTGGTTTCAGGAAGAGGAGAAAAAACACAGAATTACCGAGAACTTTTCAGCTTCAAATCTGTATACTGGGGGAAGGCGGAACCAAGTTGTCCGTAGTACATACAGTCTATGGATTTAACTCTTTGTTACTGATTATAGCACATCACAAATTCTCACAGGTTAACACTAAGCACAGTGTGTATATGTGTGTGTGTGTGTGTGTGTGTGTGTGTGTGTGTGTGTGTGTGTGTGTGTGTGTGTGTGTGTGTGTGTGTGTGTGTGTGTGTGTTTGTGTGTATTTGTGTTTCTGTTTGTCTATCTGTCACAACACTTCAGTCAAGAGCCATTTTGGAGAAAATGAATGAAATCTGGCACACGAAAGATGTCATCAGATGTGAGTCAGCAGTGCTTTGTGTGTCTCATTCGTGTTTGGGCACATAAGCATGAGTGTTTCTATGCATGTTTATGTGTTTGTACATCAGTGAGTGCGTGTCTGATGCGCTCAAATGCAAAATTATGACTCCACCTGTTTTGGTTAGTTTGCAAATGTGTATGTATTCAAATCTGTATTTGCATATTTTTTTCTGTTTGCTTTATCAGCCTGCACATGCGGTGTATTTGTGAATCCGTCTGCCTGTTTGCGTGTGGGAGGATATGTTTATCTGTATATAGACGTGTGTATGTGTGCAATTGATGTGGTAATTCTGCAGGGCTTTGCACCCTGGGGTGTCAACAGAGAGGGCGGTTGGGTGTGTGTTACGTTTCTCTCATGAGGAGTTCGCAGTCCTTGCTGTCCCAGGAGAAACCAGTCTCCCTTTCTCATCTTGAGTCACAGAAAGTTGTGTAACCTTCAATTGCCTCTGGACAAGACAGGCAGATAATGAGGCACCTTCTGTCACGCACCCACATTTGCAGTGCATCTCATGCACAGAGAGGCTCGCCCTTATGAAGAAGACCTCATACCCAAGAGAAAACTTCACCCCGTTTTTGAACACAAATAAGTGGGTTAGGAACTTATATGGATATTGACTAGACATTTGAGTAGTTTGTGAAAAATTTTAATATTTCATCTTTATTAACTGTTAATACGATAGAAACAATGTTATATGATTGAGTATGTAGCACTCCTGCGAATATCAAGCAGGTTAAAAGGCAAATACAGATCAATCAGGTTGAATTTACAGAATCTACAAGATACATTTGAAAGTACTTGTTGATTACCTTCAAATAACAGAAACTGTGACTAACACTTCTGTGAGAAGGATCTCAAGATATGCTGACACTTTTTGTCACCTTATTCAGAAAACTAACAAAGAGTAAAGGATAAGTATGCACTTTTAAATGTAATGTATGAAAGACTGTAGGCTCTACATGACCCACATAATCTGAAATTTAAACATCTTTAAACAATAATTGTGGATGAACTGAGGTATTTGTAATAACTCTGACAAAGGCATATATCAGAAACGTGTAAACTCTACAAATACTACTTTTCACTGTATGATGAAGTAACAAAAGAGCAACAAAAAAGTAGAACACACACTCATACACACATAAGCTCTGCCAAAAAAGACAGAAAAAAAGCCCAGGGTTGTTGTATCAACAACTGTTGCTCTATTAAATCAGCAGGAGGTGTGATTCGCAGACTTTCTTGCTCTGCAGCAGCCCTGTGTCTTTTATCATCCTGAGGTTTAGCTACTGATGGGCAGCAGTTTTGTCACAGTGCTCACAAATGACGTGATAATGAAGGGGTCTGGTCTGTTGGGTACCAGCTGCTGCCTGAGGTGCTGAAATAGCACCCGCAGGGCTGATCTCTGCTGTCGCTGTCCAAGGTGCTGATCCCCAACCTACAGAGCAGCATAGGCCCAATGTCCGGAGGGTCTGTGTCTCTTTAAATAGAATCACATGTATACGCTACATTAGATCGTGGAAGGATGAATTTTTAAAAAAAGATGTGCTGACAAACTAAAATGAAATTGGGGAACTATAATGGATAAAAATCAAATAAGGAGACCAACTTTATTGGCTGGAGACTTGATGGATTTCTTCCTTAAATCCAGATAAGAGGATTGATACCACCACCAATAACTCTTTCATTGCCTAGACTTTGAAAAGCGACAAGCAAAGAAATATGTTTAATAGCCGATAATTTTTCAAATTATTTATTATTCCTATATAAAAAGATCACATTCCAACTCTTCAATACTTTCCTGTTTGTTCCTTTCAAAGTTGAAGGATGAAATTAGTTAAAATCGGGCGACAAATGTAAGACCTGAAAAATTTAAGCAGCAAACTCTTCCTTGGGAAGAGTCAAAAACTGAAGTGTGTCCACAAGCTCTCTTTACTTTTTTGGTCTAGTGAAAAACAACTCCACTCCGCTCAAACCAATAATTCAGTCATATTTTGTGGAAAACAAGATATTTCACAAACTCATTAGCAGGCTAATTAATTACCCTCGGGCATAGACTGTATAACTCGGATAACTTAGCATTTGCAGATCCGTCCCTTCTTCCACCTCCAGCCTCTTGTCTGCTCTTGTAACACCGAACTGTGTCAGGTCACTGTGCCCACTTTTTGCACAGATGTTTGTGCACCACGTGTGTATACATTATAATGTACATGACTTGCACACATGACAATGCACTGTAACTGGATTACCCTTCAATAGTATCATGAATGTCTTTATTAAACAGAAGTGAAATTTACTTAATTTAATAACGTGAGAATTATATCGACTCAGTCCTGCAGTCTGGTTGTTTTGAGTAGTAGCTGTGATTTGTTTAAGGTCAGGCAGGTGGGTTAGTGTAGCAAAATTAAACTCTGACGAAGTCCTGCAGTATTTATCCAACCTTTGCTTATCTCCGCTTTAAACGCTGCAAGTTTTAAATGTTAGGAGCATACTACAGCTGTGAGGAATCAGCTACAGTTTGGTTATGTTTGGGCACCAAAATTACTTAATGAAATTGAAAATAGTCTTTTTTATTTAACCATTATACAGACATTTGATTTTATATGAAATTTAAAAAAAGTGCTCTTAGGTTAGTTTGGTAAACTGTTGTTGCAAATGTCCTTTGTGTCGGTTCAGCTGTTTAATCTGTGAACATTCACTCATGTTCATTTAAGTCACAGTATGTAGCAGCTGAAATTCAGTAGAGCAGGCTTGCACTGGGGTACTGTGGAACTGTCTGCACAATGAGCAGGGAAAGTTGTTTTTTTTTTTGAGGAGAGAGTAACAGACCATCATGTATTGCTGAAAGGTGTTTCTTTGGAGCAGTTTCTCTTTCATGGGAACACTTCATATTTCATAATGTTGTATTTAACAACAGTAATGACAACTGTATATCTTGCATGGCTATGTCATATCAAACTACATGACATTTATTTCAATTATATTATTTCAGACTGAAGCAGATAGATGACATTACAAAGAATTGCATTACATTCAATTAGGTTTCATTATACAGAGACAAACTTTGCTGCATAATTGATGGTGTGGGATGAGCTTCCTGTTTGTGTAAAGTAGATGCCTGTTTCATGTCATTAAGAGACAGAAGCAGTGATGATGAGTTTAGTGCTGAGTCAGCGTACACGCTAATAAACAGCGAGGACAACAGGCAGTTTTAAACATTCACACCAATTATAAATACGTGGAGAACAATGTGGCTACGTCAGCACGGTCACTAATAAGCCTATAGGCTATTTCAGCATAAGTCTGGCAGATCTACACCACAGGGATTTTTGCGGTTGGTATATCTAGCTGCTTACTTATGTGGTGTTTGCTAAAAGACCCGAAAAGTTGGGGGAAAAAAACAATCCCTGCCTCAAATTTGTCATACTGCTACAAATAACCAAAACTAGTTTATCATCTGGTTTGATGCATTCTGTGGTAATCCTGTTGTCAACTTCACTTGATCTTGTAGACGTTTTACAAATTCATGAAAATAAAGATCACTACATCACTTATTAAAGACAGTCTCAGTTGCTACATCAGCTATGACAGTCATTATTATTTAAGTGGGTCTACATAATGCTATAACTCTGATTACGGCTAAACTCATTCAGAAACTGGAGAAGATATTACAGCCATGAGTGCTAATAACACTTACTGATAGATACTCATCTAAGCACTCCATACAAGACATGAGATTTTCATCAAAAATAGCACCAGTGTAATATTTTTAATGTAGCAATTGAAATAATGTAATGCAGGGAATGTAATTTGTTCAACCCAGTAAATACAGGGCAGTGGGGATTTAACTGCACAGATGGGAACATTGAGAGAACCAATTACAGAAACATATTAGCATCCTAGTTTAATGTGTTCTGCACATTTTAAACTCAATGCAGTATCCTGATGTGCACATTATCCAATTAAGATAAATTAAGAGGCAGTGCAATTTCTGCCAGACACACAAAAGCAGAAGAATTTAAATAAATCAACTTAAACCAACAAATCAAATATGAAACAGAAATAGAGCTGCTTTTCCAAAAATACATGCTTGTTATTATTGTGATGGTTTGTACACAGTACACGTTAATTAGAATGACAAAAGCATTACATAATCTGTAGAGATTATTTTAGTGTGCACATTTTAAAACCCAACACTGTGTTGTACAGTTTTATGACTCTGTACAACCTGTTCGCATCATGTGCTTTATTCTGATGAATGATTGGGTCGTTGCACATCAGATGTAAGTTAAAGAGGAGGTACTGTATTGTGCTTTGTATGGTTTTGATAGCTTGATACCTTCAGAAGAGCTTTACATGATTTACAGTTCCACAGATTCTTGACATATCTCAGGCTGCTGTCTTTAAAAACCCTAATTTCAGCCTCTGTATGAGACGTTTTATTTAGACCACTGTCCCTCTAAGGCCCCCCAGCATCCCAGAACCCAACATTCTAGCAGCCTGCTTCACTGTTGCCACACAACAAAGTCATGTTTCTTTTTATTAAATGACATGTTTGCTATCGGAAACTTTGCTCATGAAGTCCAACATTTTAACTCAACATTTGTTGTCAAAATATGAAAAAAGCACAATACCACTTCTTTAAGGCCGATAGTTTGATTCTGAGCTGCTTGTTACGGTCACCCACCCCCCGAATAAATAGATAAATACATAATTTAATAACATGCTCAATACTTCACCAACACACAAGTACTCTGAGTACCCTGAGTAATGAGTAACACAGCATTGACTGATATCATGAATACAAAAAAAGGGCTGAGAAGCACACACCCCAACAAAACATCAAAACAGAGCAACCCTCAAACGCTGATTAGCTTTCTCTTTTGCATCTCATTGACACAGCAAAGATCATGTCAAACCTTCAGAGGCTTAAACATTTTTTTTTGGAAAGCTTTTTCTTCTTCTTGACGTGTAACAATCCACAAACACAGAATTTCAACAGACTGCACAAATGACCACAAAGGTTGAATTCCAGAGCAAAATGAATTAACCAATTTCTTCCCCTGACCCCACAGTTTATGAGCAGTTAGAAACCCCTCTTCTTTCTGAACAATTTTTCCTCATCTGTCTCAAACATTGGTGTGTGTGTGTGTGTGTGTGTGTGTGTGTGTGTGTGTGTGTGTGTGTGTGTGTGTGTGTGTGTGTGTGTGTGTGTGTGTGTGTGTGTGTGTACGTGTGTTAGATAATTCTCGTCTGCTTCACTTTCTTTAATCTCCCCGGTTCTCTGCAGGATGTCTCTCGAAGTATAAACACAGCAGCTCGAGCTTAGCAGGAGTTTGCGCGCTTGCTTGATGTTGTGGCAGTTGTCATGGAAAGCAGGTTATATACACTACAGGTCTTAATTTCCTTTCCATTTCTTCCTGCAGTCGTACCTTACTTTTTCTTGAGTGAGAAACTGAGTCACAAAACAGCACGATCAACATGATAAACATTTCAAGTTATTTATGGGTGATGAAGAGATGTAATGAATCACTCCATCATTTTGGGTTTAGAGGAAATGAAAATAAAGGTGCTCTATGGCCCACCTTAGTTGTTAAGTCACTTTGAATATAAATGCATGCTGTTCTTTATTCATTAAGGCACAGTATGATTTTTTCTAAACTCAACAGAAAATTAAAACAATGTTTGTTTTTGCCTCAAAAAAAGTGCCAAAAGCTCTTTTTTTCTCCACCAAAATGTCATTTTAAAATTCTAAAACAATGTTCCTTTATTCATTTATGAATATTCATCAAAGAGTAAAATTAGAAGCTTGCTCTTTGTGAGCATGAGTGTGGGTGTGTGTGCTATACTCTATAGCAAGAAGCACCCATTTATGTGTCTGAGAGTACACTGGATGCATGTGCGTGCGTGTGTTCAGAAAGCTCCCATTGGAATGAATTATTTAGAGGAGAGTCTCCTTTGCTTATCCACGGTCGACTGGCTGCAGGCACATACCGTTCTGCTCCCGACGACACAAGAGACTACCCTAATTCACCATCCAACCTTCTGCGATATGCCCCCATCTCACCCTCCAACCCCATCCTTACTTTTCTCAGCGTGCTTTGATGGTCCACTGCAGATGTCCTTTCCTTGCACACTTGTGTCTTGGTGAAACAGGGTGCAAGTAACCAGTGTAGCAAGACCGTGTGAAGAAGACGAGGAGAGAAAGAGTAAAAAGACCCAGTGGGTGAGCAAGAAAGAGCCTCTTGATTTCTTCAACAAAGTGATATAAATTTTTTAAACAAGAACAACAACAAAAAGTTCAATTTCTTTCTTTTTTTAATATGAATGACCAGTAACTGGACTTCTGAAAAAGCAGATTCCAATAAACCAAACCAAAAGCATGAACCTGATACTCAGACCCCCAAATGGTGACAGGATTGTCATTCTGGGGTCCTGCTATCTAGGAGCTGGATGCTCGCAGTCAGCGTCAAGAGTGAAGAATCATGTAAAATATTCATCCATGTGGCTAGCTTAATAATGTATCATCCCTCAATTTAGCACCCAGAGCTTTGCTGCTTTGCTCTGCCTGCCACTGAGTACTTGAAGTCCAATCATTCAAGAACGATCCACAGCTTTAAAATATCAAACTTACACCATTACAAATTGAGATTAAAGCCGCTGCCACTTTGAAGCGGCAGCCAATTTTTTTTGTCTGTCTCAAAGTATTACATAAGAGACATCCAAAAATGTCCAAGAGAAATCTGCTCATTTAGTGGAGAGGGAAGCTTTAGAGCAGATTGTACAAGAGACCATGTTACCATGTTTTGCTCTCAAAAGTTCAAAGGGGAACTAATACAATTTAGTAGAGTCAGTGAAGGAAATTATGTGCATTACACAAATACCACCCAAGCACATACTGTATATTTATATGTATATATAGCCAGAGTTGCTGGTTCTCTGGCTGATCTCTTCGTTCTGTTACAGCCAGGCACTGATACGACCCTGTCATATAGCAGACTGAGACTGATGGGATACTATGTGCGGCTATTGAACTGCTGCTGCATCTCCATATTCATAAACTAGATTTCATCCATCCCATAATCCACGTGAAGTGAAATACATGCTGCTGAACGCACTTATGGACTCACATGGACGTGCTCACATTCTGTCACTCTCTCTTTTTCTGTCTCTCTCAGTCTCTGATTCTTATTTCCTCAGGTGACATGTGTAATCTCCCCTCCTCCAGTATTAAACACACACATGCACACACAGAAATATGCACATGCTCATCCAGTTCTTGAAAGTGAGGATTAAATGTGAGCGTTTGTTGGGAGCCACGGGCCATGCCAATTCAAAGCCAGAGTCAGACTCCAATCTGGCTGAAAAAGGGAGAGCTGTGCCTTCACTTCTCTAAACTCTGTGTGTGTGTGTGTGTGTGTGTGTGTGTGTGTGTGTGTGTGTGTGTGTGTGTGTGTGTGTGTGTGTGTGTGTGTGTGTGTGTGTGTGTGTGTGTGTGTGTGTGTGTGTGTGCGCGTTTCAGTGCTGACAGGCACATTCAGAGTCACCCATGACCTTTGATAGAGGGAGGGAAAGAGGGATAAGTCCGAAAAAATAGAGTAGCTTCAAAGAAAAATGCTTTGCTGTGCTTTCGCTCTGGAGTTTCAGTTTGGGCCACATGATGTTTTTCATCAGTATGTGAGACTGTGTGTCTAAACTGCTGTCCCAAGGAAGGCATCATACCACCTACCCAACCTGGACTCACCTGAAAAAGCTAGAGTGAATAAATTGACCCAAAATGTGTCGTTAAAAAAATAATTTTGTGATTGTATGCTCAAATAGAAAAGACAAATTATTTAAAACAACAAACTTTATAACTCCAGTGGGATTGTATCACTTATGGATGAAAGCGATAATATAAGATGAGGTGAAAGGGTGAACTCAACAACAACAGAGGCCCCAGGAGCTTTGTTGTCTGTGGAGTTAGCCTGTGGAGTTATTGCCCAAAGCAATACAGCCCCTGAGAAGGAACCAGACGACAGCAGTCAATAGACACTACATGTCTGTGATGGAGCTTGATAGCAAGCGCCCGGAGGCCGAGTCTTGATGTATGTGTCCCCGGCAGGGCACAGTACGAAGCAACTGCATGGGGTCCACCCCCTGCAAGACCATTGCCAGACACAAAGACAATAGGGTCAGCAGGCAGCAGGCAAAGTACGATCTTGCCATGTTTGCAGACCAGACAAAGACAGCATGTCTATATGTGGTTAAAAAAGATTGATCAAGTTAATTCAGCTGAAACTGGAATGCGGTATAGGATCGATTTTTTTGTCACATGTATACACCTTCATCACCCTGAAACTGCCTGAAAGGGATATTCCGGCGTCAAATTAAGTTAGGGTCAAACACACTGTAACACCGAGTTAGACACCCAACCGAGAGATTAATGTTGCCGACCGCTTGCGTCTCTAGTTATACCAACTTTGGGTGAAGGTAGTGACCTCAGGCCAGTCCATTACGGACTGCTGCGGAGTGACGCAGCTCAGGGAAGAGCCTTTATGATCATTTCTTCATGGAAATGCAATCAGACAGTCACGCAAAGGCAGAAGAACTACCACGTCTGCAGTGAAAAATGATTAATATGATGATTATTACTTCAATGAAATGATAAAGTAATGATCATAAATGTTCTTCCTTGAGCTGCATCCCCCTGCAGCAGTTGATGGACTCGCCTGGAGGTCTCTGTACAAACAAGCGGCTGCTGGAAGAGAGTAGGTAAGTTGTGTTTAGTCTCTTTGCTAAAGAAATTAGGCAAAGCTAAAAAGATGTTTGGTGGCTAGTGATATGGCTGGGACCCTATGTACCATTGGTGAAGTTAGGTGCTGTTCTGAGTATTATTTGTGGCTATAGAGTGGCCTTTTGGTTGAGCGCATGGCTCCTGAGGCCGCTGTGTATTGCTATCGTGTGGCCGTTACTGAAGTTGGTATAACTAGAGAAGCAAACGGTCAGCAACATTAATCTCTCGATGGGCTGTCTAACTCTGTGTTATGGTGTGTTTGACCCTAAATTTATGCCGCAATATCCCTTTAAGTGTTTTGTGCATGGTCCAGAGTTTACATAACGAGCTTTGACCAAGAAGGTTGAACAGCATGAATGCGTCTTTAGGAAATACACAAAACCTCAGCGGTAGAAGAGGGGACGTAAAAAGGATATAGCTGTGTTAAAAACAACGCAAACTTTTCTCGGGGACGGGTCATAAAAAGGGTCATACCTCCACCTACCACAGCAAAGGTAGACACACTTTTGCCAATAAATGGACTCTTGCCTGGTGCTTGTAAACTGGGACTAGGATCGGATCATAGTCCACCCAAATCCCTTGACAAGTTACAGCCATACCTCAACTCAGCTGCACATGTGAATGTACAGACTGACACTGATTATTTAGAAGGTGGTGCCAAACACATATGGTTGGGCTCACTGCTAAGCATAGAACCACTTCTGAAACAAAACTCCTGAACAGGGGCAGGACTTTACCAAAGGACTAGTTACCAGAGGTAAGATTGGCAGGGGTAGGAATACTCAATAGTATATGGCTGAGGGAAGCTGTGTTCAGAGGTGTCTGTGCTCAGAGAAGTCTCTAAGAAGATGAAACGCTTTGACTTTGTGAATCTATACATGAGACAATCAGTATCATCTTCTTTGATTTCCCTGAAAAAGATTACATGAAGGGATTTCACTGTTCCTCTCGGAGACTTCAACATTCACGTGGGCAGAGGGAGAATCCTGTAAGTGAGTAATTACAAGGAACAGACAGCCCAATCTGAATCAGAGGAATACTTAGTCATATGAATCATGTGCTAGTCATGGACTGGCATAATCGATGCTCTGTTTGAATGTAGGCTGGCCACAGGGGTGCTGCCAGATATTTTAAAATCTGTGAAAAAGTGTCCTAGTAGGCCCCAAAACTTTGTTAATAGATATACTGTATATCCTAGGATATACACTTTTCTCATCATGAATGCTTTTCTGCTCTTATGATCAGATATGCAGCTTTATGTCAAAAGGCAGAGCACTTACCATGCAGCTGGTGATGGGTTAGATAAGTGGAGGCTACTCTGTGGACAACTACAGGTAGTAGGGGAGCTCTGGAGGTGTTCCCTGTTGGTCAGACCTTTAATTTGAACTTCTGGAAGAATTTCCACTGTACCTCTTTTCAGGAGCTTAAGCTCAAACTTGGTGTTTCCACTGAAGAGGCAGATTCCTGCTGTTGAAGAAAATTTAGCACCGACAGGATACACAACCCAGAGGAAGAAGGAGACCTTCAGGCTTGAATGACAGAGGGATCCCCTGCAGAATCAAGCAGATAATGATATGAAGAAAGAGGAGCCCTCTGCGGTCATTGAAGCAAAACCAGGGTGTTGGAAGGGTCTGGAGAGCCTCCAGAGAGGTATAGATCTCAATGGAGTTGTGCCTTCACATTCAGAAAGATGGGAAAGGGCGCAACCAAAGCTGTGATTGTTTGGGGGAAGAATTTGTGAGGTGAACCGAGAATATTGTCTTGCGCTTGAGAGGTCACAAAACTGAGTCTCAAGAGATGGAGGGAGCACCACTTGTACTTTAACAGGGGTCACTGATGTAATCAAGAAATGGCAAGCTCTGAATAGGTATGATGTTAGCACCGAGAGATGAAGGTTGTGGACATTATTCGGTTATTTTGGCTGTTTTTTCTGTTGTTCAGAGCATGAAGACAATATCTGTGGGCCAGTAATGTGGTTCTAATTTTGACAAAGCAGAAATAAAAGAGGTGTTGTATGTTTAGCTCAACTGGGAACATTAAGATATACTTTTTCTACTCCAGTTGACATCCATTTTGTAGATTTGGCAAGAGCTACACAGTTATATTTGAGGTGTCATCTTTACCACTTGAGTATGGGGTGCCAGAACCTTTGCTTGGCACACCACCAGTATGAGATGTACAGGCAGGCAAGTGCAGTGTCAGCATTAATTCACATGTTGTACTGGATGATCGAGAGAAGGAAGCGCTCTTACTTCTCTCTCACCTCACTTTTTCTCTCATCATTCTCCCCCTGCCAGTTTTTTTACTTTTCATTTTCAATCACATACCCTCATCATTCGAACACCGCTCTCTTTTTTTTTTTCTCTTTTTTATTTGAAGTGGCCAGTGGCCACAAACTCACAGGATTATACCTCCTGTAATGCAGAATCATGACCACCTGCCCGCTCCAGATCCGGTCACATAATCGTGGGGCTCAGCTGCACCAGTTGGTGGTGAAGTGTCTTGCTCAAAGATTTATTGTGTTTGAAAGACTGAGCAATATTCACTCAGTTCCTCGCACATTTCTCAGAGGAGCCTCATGATTATTTTCAATATATGTTAGGGTCACTTGTGCTTCAAGTAAAAGAGAAAAAATCCACTTAATAACAGGTTTTCAATCATAAAGACTGTTATATAATGAGGAAGCAGACACGAGAATTGCCCATCTGCCGTCTAAAGATCAGCTGCTGTGTTTGCTGTGAAGTAACACTTCCAGAGGTGGAAAACCAACAATAGAGCTTCTGCATTTATGCAAATCTGAGCTTTTCTAACTAAATAAAGATGAATGCTTCCTAAGCTTGCCAACAACAGACAAACTTGAAGGCTTGTTTGAAGTAATTCAGACTCTTCAGACTTTTGAAGTCTTTTCTCTCTTTTGGAGAAACCACCTTAAACACATCTGAATTTCTGTGCCTCTGAGACTGTGCCTTCCTTTATTGACCTCACTTAATGAGCTCAACAGCCAAATATGTTCATATGTTTTTGTTGCATAATGTTGGTAGGTTTGAATGTAAACTATTTACAGTTTTTTAGGTTTCCACAATCTCCACAATTTTGCTTTTAAGCTTGTTTAAGCTAGTCTCAGCAGGAGGTATAGATTACCTCTGCTTCATACTGACTGTAGAAAGAAACTAAAGCAGCACAGAAAACCCCAGCAGACAGAAGCAGCTGTGCAGGATCCTCTTTATTGATAGGATTGACTTGACACAGTTTGTCCTCTTTTAGGATTTCATACAAGTTTATTCTACATCATGTGATTCAAAGTGTCTCTATACATTTTCAGTTTACAGTGAGGCTGTGAATTCATGTGTGATGCATAAACATACTTTGAGTGATTTCAGGAGGAAAACACACGTTTGTACTGCCATAGCCAGTGTCCTCATTAGCCATGCATGAATTGCTCGTATTTTACAAGCGTAAACACAAGTTGACAGCAAAAATGAAAGTGGTAGAAATTCAACTTTTTTTCCAGGTCACATCATATACTGTATGCCATTACCAGCTTTCAGACAATGTTAAAGAATCTGCCGTTTGTTAAAAAAAAATATACACTGGCATACAGTATGATATTTCTCCAAACTGTTTAGTCTTTATTGTAACATTTCACAAAGTGGTGCTGCAAAACACAAATAAATATTGAGGGTCTTTCTCAATAATTGCAATTTTCAAATATCCTTTTCCCTCAGTAATTATCATTTTAATACGACATTGTTAAACACAATATTAGACAGTGCAATGATGATATCTGTGTGGACAGATTGAGGTAAACACACAGAATGTCAATGCTGACAATAATGAACACAATGAGAGAGAAAGCTGCAGGCAGTGGCAGGTCAAACATGGCACTAGAAAGAAAAAAAAGAAAAGAAAAGGAGAGGAAAACAGATGTTGGGAAAAAAAACTGTGATGAAGAGGAGGAGACTGGATAACAGCAATGTGTGCAAATTGACAGGGCAAGGCAAAGGAGAAATAAGGAAATGAGGGTAAGTCATGTGAGGGAACAGACAGCCAAAGGCTAAAAGTGTTGGCTGGTTGGAGAAAACCAGAGAAGAATTAGACTCAGAAGGAGGAAGAAAAAAGGAAAAATATAAAGGAAAGTAGAAAGAAGACATCTTGGTTGTGTGATGTGAAAGAGCAGCAGGAGGGATAATTCCCAAAGTAATTCAAAGAGGGGTGCAGAGTCAGGCTGAAGTAGACAAAAAACAGAGAGAGAGAGAAAGAGAGGAGGAAGAGAAAAGTGTCTTATTTTAAAAAGCTGATGAGTGGCTGGAGGAAGAGTCCCAGTGTTCCCAGCACACACACCGTCACAAAAACCCAAAGGAAGATCCTGTCGATGACCATGGCCACGTATTTCCAGTCATCCTCCACCTGAAGAAAGAAAAGGAAAATCAGTGTGTACAGAACAAAGATCTAAGGCAGAAAAATTCACCTCCCACCTCACAGTTTTCTCTCTCTTTGTCACTCTCTTGCTATTCTTTTCTCTTTTCCCTCTCAAACACACAATCCTCTATCGCTCTTAACCTTCCTCCATATTTCTTCTTTCACTTCTCTGTGATTCTCTCTCCCCTCATTATTTTTCTCTCTCCCTTTCGCTTAGTTTCTCTCAAGCTCCATGTCTGTTTAGTTCTCTTTACCTCTCTTTGTCTCCATCTTTTTTTGCTCTACCTTTCTCTCCCTCTCTGCTGCACAATTCTTTGAGAGATTCTTGCTTAATAACAGTGAAAATGAAACCTGACAGATCACAATAACTGTAAGACCTTGAGTGTTGGTACAGTATGTAAGTTGATCTTCTGCCATGCATCTGGCTACTGTGGTAAATACGATGTGTGTCTGTATATATAATGAGTGTTCCTCAGTCAGGTGTGGACAATAGGATCATAGCTGCACTGACCATAATGCCATTGTGCCCCTTTACAGGAGGCACTGTGGCTATTCTGTATGCATCAAAGACAGATCCCTGCTCTGCTAAGAAAAGATGGAGCTGTAGCAACAAACATATCAGGGCCATCCAGTGTGTGCAGGAGGCGTAAGCAAAGCTCTCCATCTGCAACAAGCAAGCAGCTTTACGCTCCCATTATAGCCCTATGGAAGGCTTTTTTACAGCATTCACAAATCTAGGTAGAAAAATTCTCACTCTAAAGAGATAACACGTGCAATGAGTGTTTTTTTTTTCTGGTTCTGTGTACATCTTGAGGACACAAAATTGCTCACATAGAGCACTGCTTATTTCAGTTGCAAGGTTAAAATAAACGCCATTGTGTCAACTTTGATGACTATGGCCTTGAGGCTGTCTGTCACACATCTTGTGTTTGTGCCACTTTGATTGCTTTCTCAGTGTCATATTTTCTATATAATCCCTCAGTTAGCTGTTTAATGGTAGAGGAAAGACACATTATGAATTCAGCTTTTTAAAACATAAGTTATGTTCTTACAAATGAAAAAGGTTGCCATGAGTTCACCTTTTCGTGGAATAGGTGAATGGTCTTGTACTCCACTAAAACCTATAACCAAACAATACTACTCACTGTGATATAAATACCCATCTCAGCATACAGCCAGCTCCAAAGACTCACTCAGTTGCTTCATTAGGCAGACTACTATGAGCTCAAGAAGGTATAACACTGTTATTGGACCCCTGCTGAGCCAGACCTTGACTCAAAAATGAGATGCTACTTCCCAAAATAAAGTGAAAATCCACAGTGTATTTCTAAGTCCCTTCAGATACTCTAATTCAGAAACAAAGAAAAGAAACTGTATTTCCCAACAATGCACAGATCAAAAAAAGAAATAATGCTGCTAGAGACTGTTTTTGTTCGTAAATTTGGGGGTTTTCTTTTAAGCTGTTTTCTGGTGTAAAATGTCAGAAAAGAGCAATAATATAAGGAAAAAAAAAAAATGTATGTTACGACAATTACATTACAAACCTGTCCCTGAACATCTCTTTAAAAAAAGGTTTCTGTGCGACAATACTGACAAGCTTAGTTTTGTACCTCTTTGGCTTTGTTGCGAGTCCTCATGTTCTCTGCGATGTACTTCACACTCTCTATCGCCTGCTTGATTTCCGGTGACACCACAGAGAAGGCGACCACAGCGTTGACAGGAGACGGTGTGTTTAGTTGCCTTGGCAGCTTGGGCAGCTCTGACTCCTGGGACCCCTGGCCTTGGGGTGCCGGAGGCGGGGGAGGCGGCACCATCGGAGGAGGAACAGGAGTGGGTACTTCCTTGCCTCTGTAGGGGAACCTCCTGTTCATATCCCGCTTCTTGTCACGGTTCAAATCACCGTATTCCACACAGTTCATGGGACCACCTGCTGAGGTGGACCCTCCTCCTGCACCACCATCAAGAGGTGGACACGCTACACCCCCAGTTATACCCCCGACGCTCACACTTGTCGAGCTACTTCCTCCTCCTATGCTGTTCTTTCTCTTCTTGTTTCCTGCGATGCTTCCTCCTCCTGCTGTGATGGCAGGCGAGGAGCAGCCCTGGTCGATGGGCCGCCTCATCAGCATCACCCTGGGCAGAACCCCGAGGAATACAGTCCTCACCCACTCTGGCATAGTGTGAGTCATTGGGGTGCGGTAGTGGACGTTCAGCACAAACACAGTGATGACGATACTGAGGGTGACAAAAATCATTGTGAAAAGGAGGTACTCTCCAATCAGAGGGATGACGAGAGACGTTGAAGGGATGGTCTCAGTGATGACCAGCAGGAACACAGTGAGGGACAGGAGGACAGAGATACATAGGGTGACCTTCTCGCCGCAGTCAGACGGGAGGTAGAAAACCAGCACCGTGAGGAAGGAGATGAGGAGGCAGGGGATGATGAGGTTGATGGTGTAGAAGAGAGGCAGGCGGCGGATGTAGAAGGAGTAGGTGATGTCTGGGTAGATCTCCTCACAGCAGTTGTACTTGATGTCATGCTTGTACCCTGGTGCATCAATGATCTCCCACTCCCCACTTTCCCAGAAGTCTTTCAGGTTCACCTAAAGAGAACAGAAACAGGAGCAAAAAAATGTGGATATTTATTAATGAACACACCTCTTTTCAAGATTTCTACAATTAGCACAAAGGCATTTCTGAGCAGCTATGACCTATTTCTGACCTTTGAGCCAATCAGCACCAGGTCGATCTTGGCCTTGTCATAGGTCCAGGAGCCAAACTTCATGGAGCAGTTCTGGTAGTCAAAGGGAAAGTAGGTGATGTCCATGGGGCAGGAGGATTTGAAAATGGCTGGAGGGACCCAGGTGATGGTGCCATCAAACTTCAGTAGCGCCTTGGTCTTGTCTTCCACAAGAAAGTCACCGACAGCACTGCAAGGGAGCATTTTTGGCGGGGATGAAAATGTCTTTTCACTTTAAGGCCATTGCAACATTTAATTCAAAAGGTCAGAAAATAGAGAGCGCAAATAAATAATGTAAGAGCGGAGTGGCTCGAGGGCTAACTCTACATTTAGACCACATCATGTGACTACAAATAAGGACTGAATACAACCTTTTATTGATGGCTAAAACATAAATGGTGATGAGATGTGTGACATGACTATCTACACTGCAGTTTGTCGTTGCGTTAGCCTAAAAAACAGATGAATTAACAGTGATCCCATGTTTTATTTACTCCGTTAGATGATTCCCTTCTACTCAGACAGATTTCCAACTTGGTCAGGCCAGTCAAAATCTATTCCTGCTCACTTTCACTCAGTGACCAGGGATGAAGTACTCTCTGTTAATAATCAAGATAACTGCAGCTGATGCGAAACATTCAGAGTAAGGTAGTGCGCTTGTCACAGACAAACCACTACATCCCATTTTGTTGTTTCAGCTGAAGAGGACCGTCAAATTGCATGCAGAGGTTTTTAATTAAAATGGCCTAGAAATCAGCAATGGGTGTTTCCAGACTAATTTACATCTTCAAATTAGTGATGAATGGATAATGGGTAATGTATATGTAAATATATGCATTAGCCTCCCCTCAGTGTGTAGAAAATGACACACATCAACCAGAAAATTCGCTTGAGAACATGAAAAAATATGGAAAAGAAACCCAGGCGTGAAGCGTCTCTGTCTTTGCAGCACAAAAACTTACTTGTTGTACAAGACGATGTCTGGCCTCCATATTTTATTTGACGGGACTCGGATGAACTCAATACCATCAAACTCAACAGGGGCCCATCTCAGTTTGTAGTCATTCCAGACCTAAGAGAGAGAGAAACTTCAGCACAGTTCACAGGGAATAATGACAAACAGAGGAAGTCTGTACACCACTCACATGTCTCAGCCATAGATTGGTTTCCATGATCTGATTGACCTCGTCCTGTTAGAAGACATAAGACAAATTAAACAGTATAAGAAAAGAGGATGATGATCCCTTTTCCTTTAATTATTTATTGCCTCTCTAAGACAATTACTCGACTGAGTACTCTTACCACTTTGACCAGCTGAGATATGGAGACCTCAAACTCCACAGTGACTGGGTCTGATACATTCTCCACCGGTCGGATGAATTGGTTGTACCTCCTGAACAACCTTCGGAATAGTCTGTCCTCCCCCTTCGATGTGAAACATCCTGTTAAAACAAATAAACCACAACAGTGTCAAAGACCTTATAATCCTTTAAAGGAGTTCTAGTCAACAGCCTTACAGCAGTGGTCGAATTTGATTCTGGATATCGCAGCACCATGAGGAATAAATGGAAATCATTGCTCTGTAACATGAAACCCAGAGCTCGAACTATTAAAAGGACTGCATGTTAACTCTGTTAATAGGGGGTTTTACTACGTTTTGGGTTCTTATTATTAGTTACAGGTAGGGCTGGGTGATATGGGAAAAAATTTATCATGGTATATTTTTTCATATCAGTCGAAATCGAAATATATCACAATATAAAAAATGAAATTTAACAGTTCTTATTGGTAGTATGTCTTCTGCAGTACAATAAGCTGCTGCATCTGTGAGGTCTTCGTGTCCCGTCGACGTTTTGCCATAAGGCGTTGCGCTAGAGAAGGTGGAATGGTCGGCTGTTTCGGCTGCACAGGCGCCATGGGCTCCTTGCTCCGCTTGGAGTTTGTAACCTTTTGTATTGCACATGCTCTGTCATGTGGCACTGCTTCAGGTGGTGAAAAAGATTTGAGGTATTCCCCGACTTTGCGAGAACATGTACTAGACATAATTTGCAGTGCACATGACTCTGCTTCATGCCCGACCTAAAAAAAAAAAAAAAAAATCCACACCACTGACATTTTCGTGCCAGTGTTGTCGCCAGTGTCATCATCTGTTGAGCCTTCATCTGCGTTTCTGCTGAGGGAGCACTCATTTTCTTTTTTTGTCACCGACAGTGTTGTCGGCGTCATGTGTTAAAGCGCTATGGTTGCGTGTAGCTGCAGCCTGCTACTGAACAGTTACTTGCTACTTGGTTTTAATTCAGCTCATGCATGATTGGTTCAGCATGAAGCAGACCTAGAGCAACTCCCCTTTTCATTGGGTATTTGTATGGTCTACCAAAACATGGCAGAATGCCGACTACTGAAAAGCATATCGACTATGTTTTATGTTGATACTGAGGGAAATTAATTTTCAATATATCAATATCGTTTTATCCCCCAGCCCTAGTTAAAGGTAATTGTCGTTTCACATTTTCTTTGATTACAACATTAATATTGATGTGGAAGCAAAGTCACTGGAAGGCAAGCCTCCCAAAACTGATTGTTCCAGCTTTACTTTGCTACAGACGAACTAAAAAAAACCTGTTTTCATTACGGTAAAATAAAACATCGTCTTAGTTTAATATGAATGATGCTCTTCAAAAACTAAACCAATGTGTGTTTGTGTAGAAAGGGTAGAAAGTGACAGAAGTCTGTTTCGAGAGATATTTTGGTGTCTTATGTAAGAAAATGAAAAGCCCACGAGATTTAAAAAAAAAAAAAAAATGTACAAACACAATAAGCTTCAAGGGGGAAAAAAGGATTGGTTTGCCTTTAGCTAGAGTGTGTCTGTGGAAGTGTAGCTGCACCCAAGGTCATACTGTGGAAAACTGCCAGTAGTAACACTGGTGCCTTGGATGGCACAGAGATCCACGCCTGTCCAAGCAGAAAATGTGGCCCCACTTGGGACGGCACACACTCACACCACCAGCAGAACCTCTGAAACACTCTGCCAGTGGCTTCAAAGGGCTGAAAATCCTCTATACATTAGAACAGCGTTGCACAGAGAAGCACGCAATCTCTCCTCTATCAACATCCTCCACACTTTCATCCAATTCTCTTGCCTTTTAACCTTTACCCTTTGAGAAGTGACGCAGTAGATACAAGTGTCCTGTGTTTCAACTGACTAATTAAAGCTGATTAGTCAAAATTGTTACAGCAGCTATATAAAGTAAAATTAGAAAAAATATTCCCTGGGATGTTCTCTTCCATCAAAACCTTAATCTAGGAAATAATGCCGTTGATATCTGTCGCAGCCAGGACCATCAATATTCCTCTTACAAAGATCAGAAAACCGAAGAACATGCATCGCTGGAAGGACATATAGGGCACACACAAATAACCTGTAAAGGTTACCTTTCAGCTGAATAAAACATGGACTCTTTCACTCTATATGAGTCAGTGTACCCTGAAAAAAACAGTAGCAAAAGAAAACTGATTGTTTTTATACACCCTTTATTATTTTTTAATATGTCCTGTTGTAATAAGTAGTTTTTTTCATGTCCTTGTACTGAAATTTAAAAACGCCTGAGTTATATAAAGAGTTAAATAGAACTGAGAGGACAAAGTTTGCAATCTTGTACACTCTTACAACAGTTTAAATCATATGAAATATAAATTAGAAATATAACCTGCGATGATTCATTGCAGCCTACAAAACTTATGAAACTAGAAGAACAAAGCTTGAATGACTGGGCTGTAAAAATCAGCCCAGTAGGTGGTTGGTTTTTTATGCTCAGAAATGAGAGGATGGTGTACTTTGACGATATGTTTTTTTAGCCGAACCTTCATCCATACCCACGGGTATTGACTTTATTTTTCTACCTAATGTGTACTGTACTTCAGTATCAGTTATGTACCTGTCTTTGGCTGGCACATTCACATATCTAGAGGGAAAAGGACCATCAGACGGGATGGTACTTTAGTGAAGTATCTTTTCTTTCTTGAAAATCCTATACCCTCAAACAAATATTTCATATTCACTGTCAGTACAGTAAACTCATAAAGCACTGTGTCCTTTTATTCCCACTAGGGGGTTAAAATGAGTATCTCACAGACATCTCAGATTAAACTCTGTCTGGTTTCACTCAGATCAGGGAAATAACAGTGTCGTGGAAGTTTAACCCTTTTCCTCATGCGAAGGATTATTTGTTTATAATGTATTTCAAGCACTGAGGAATGATAATGCATAAAAATACATACTCCTAAAGCTTTGTACATTTAACAGGTTTCAGCCAAAATCTGGGATTGATTTAAGAGAGGTTTGTCTGAATATGTGCACTGAGAAAAAGTAAATAAAAACACTTAAACCACTTAAATAGTCATTGAATCTGGAGCACATAAAACACTGATCAAACAAAAACATGCATGCAAATCCACACAAGAGTTTGAGTGGACAAACGCAAAGGTCATATCTGAAATGTTAACAAAAGACGGCAGCAAAGCATTAATAATGTGATTTCACAATTATTCCTACATTATCAGTACATTTGAGTTTATTTTTTGTCAGATCTAACTCAACACTGTAAGTCTCACTCATTTTCAGGTTCAGAATGAGCACACACAGCACGCACAAGGTGCAGATTGCGGGGGCATAAGCTGTTCAGGTCCACTGAGGTGAATAAAAAATCAGGTCACAGCCTTTCCCACATTCATGTTTATTCCATCAAATATTTTCCGCTGCTTTAACTTTGCTTAATGAAGTTGTTGGTCTCATTTTTTTACAGGCAGAATTGTCCTTAAAAGTTAACTAACTAACAATATATTAAAGCTTGTCTGATCCAGCTGTAATACACAATGGATAAGAAGTTGAACCACAGTGGCTTCAGAACACTCCAGAAGTTTTCTGAGGTCATTGGCAGAGTCAAGTTGAGTCTTGAAGCTTAATGAAAAGGCCTCCCTCCTGAGACGCTTGTATAATTTCAGCTCTTGGTACCTGACTTGAAAACTGCCCGCCGCTGCCTGATTCGCCGTACTCCCAGAACCTTGTTTAAGCCTCTAATTGGCCAAGAGGAAACCAGGGCAATTATAATCAGTCAATTAATTGGACCTTTTGTTCGCTGTGACTTAAAAAAATTAAGCCTGTATCTTTATTTCCTCTCTTGCCACAGTCAGCCCCCAATTCCCTTCTTTGTCCTGCCACTAAAGATTTACGTAATCTTAATTTGAAGGCAGTTAATTATGAACTTTGACCTTTTACTTAAGTGGATTCTGGGCACTATTGTACCCTTAATGTCAGCACAGTTAAGAGGCACTCAGTTATGCAACTTTTTTCAGAATGGTTAAGGATGATTCATAAACCTCAGATTTACACATGCGTTATTTCTGTCCTGCAGAAATCAATCAGGAGTTTAAACGAGGGCAATTCAGGCTAAATATGATTTAAAACAGGTTTGAAATGCTCTGGTTAATTATACAAAGCTGGTGTTTACTGTACAAAAAGGCCAAGAGGTCAACCAAAATGCCCAGTTAAATACATAATGCTGGCATCTGTGCGTGGTTGAACTTAACACTGCAGGGCTTTTGAACTCACTGCTAATATCTTTATTCATATTGTTTTTCATTTGCAATACTTACACACTGAAAATCTGCAGGAATGATATTCTACATATTTAACACTTGATTCAGTTTGATAGCATACCCATATTTCCCATTTAAATGAGTGATAAGTGATAAATTATTGATTTGAGGCAAAAACCCAACATAATACAGGCTGTCATTCAAAAATTGTGTTTTACTATGTTGTTTGTGAAAGTTTGGTTATTTTTCTGAAACACTAGCACTGACCAAAACCTCCGTCTACTGTAGGGCCATAGACTGTATAAAGAATGGACGCTGTCTGCCTCCTCGCTGGGTGAAGCTACCCTGAGAACCGCACACCCTGGTGACGGGCTGCAGTACAGGTGCCGTCTCTGCCAGCTAACTTTAGAAATGTATTACACAGAATATGAATTTTTCTCCCCCCTGCTTGCAATGTTGACATGTAGTTACTGTAAAACTGGTTTGTGCTCAAGTCCTCTTTTTTCTGTGAAGCTCCGTTTTTAAAAGTTATTAGGGGGTTCATGTTTTCTATTATTGACACTGCATACTGTTTGAGCCGAGCATCATCGCAGCGACTCTCCCTCTGAATGCGTACAACGCTACTGCGCAATGTTGGTTTCAGGAAATGGAGAAAAAACATGGAAATACCGAGAGCTTTTTGGCTTCAAATCTGTATGCTGGCGGAAGGCGGAACCAAGCTGTCCATAGTATACACAGTCTATGTATGGCTGACAGTTGCTGCGTTTGTAGCTTGCACTCCAGCTCTGGGTTCTTTAATAGACTGTATTGAAATCTAGTGGAAGCCTGTAATGGTCAGAAATTGAGCAGGAGAGTGTGGAGGAGTAAAAAGAAAACAGTCATATGGGCCTTTGATTGTGTGAATCCACTGGTCAAACTGCAAGTGAGTAACCAGTGAGTGGTGCTGATAACATTGGCTGAAGTTGGTTTTGGAAACATAAACTCAAGAATTGGACAAGATAATTCTGACCTGATGGTAGTGGTAAGAAAAATTACAACTCATCAAGAAGAGAAGATAAATGTTATCTTGGTGATCCCTCTATTTGTCCTTTTAAAAAATCTCAGTGTTTCATTGTCCTGCAATGAAAAAAAAAAGGTCAGCGGGTTACGGAAACCGTAAAGATGCATCATCTGGGGACCATGATTGTCTGTCAAGATTGTTGCTCCTCGAAAAAGTTACCATTGAGGTTGTCAAAAATTGCTCCCAAAGTCATTCTGAACTGAGTGCGTCTTGTTTGGTATCAGTTCACTCACACAAAGCTCGAGAGGGAAGCTCAAAACTGACACATCTTTCCTTCTGCTGTCTGTCTTGTGTTGAAACAAAGCAAAGAGGCTTTGCTCTGACACAAACGACGCTAAGTCAAGCACTCATGCGTTTCACCTTTAAACAGCTGCATTGATTTAGAATTAGCAAACCAAACATTGAGTCTGTCTCTTTTAAAGTGGCTTCAGGAGCCTAAAAGCTGCAGATAGACCCATGGCCTGTGGGAAGCTCTTTGATCAGGCATGTGCTTAACAGGATGAGCCTGGGAGCCAGTGGTGGACACTGAAGGAACTAATTACCCTCCAATAATACACTGCTGACAGTGTGTGTTAGAGCACGGGAAAGGGGTACAAAGAGAGGGTGGGAGAGAGGCGATATGAAGAGAAAAGTGGCAGCAAGAACAAGCAGAGAAAAGCTCGATAGCGTGTCTTCACTCTCCAGGGTTTTTGATGCCCCGACTGTGACATATTGAATGACGCACAAAAGGATCCACAGATTACTGCATGAGCTGTGGCCGTTCCATTAAACATATGGTGCATGCTGTAACCCATGTCTTCTTGTATCACGGCTTGCCTATATACTCGACATACATGTTATTATGTGTGTGCCTGTGTGAATGCACATGTTCCAATTTCTGTACTGTGTCCACTCACCTTTGACTCGACTTACTCTAAACAGCATATGATATGTGGTCCACTGATGCATGAAATTCTGGCTTACATGATTTCATCTGAAAAGATGTGGACATTTTGAGGTCAGATTATCTGCATATGTTATAAAAACAAATACATTTACATTTTTATCCAAAAAGAAGGAATATTGAAGATCACTGATGTTGTTATAATGAGTTAGATAGAGAAAACACTGTTAGATTCTTGTTTATAGTTCTTCGCAGATTAGCTCTGATGTTGTTGTTGTTGTTGTTGTTGTTGTTGTTGTTGTTGTTGTTGTTGTTGTTGCCCCAAGGTAAGCATGCTATATTGTGGAAACGATCATGAACTCAAATTAAAATTCAAATGTTTTTTTTTTTATATATAGAAAAACAATGGTTAGAAGAAATGAAGCTGCCCTTTATAGCTTTGGTAAATAAATGGCAGCCCACCAGGTAAAGAGCGGAGAAAGATAAGTTATGAAAGTAAACATCGATTGTTGCAACTGCATCACTTATAGAAACCAAGTTTTGAAGTTCTGTCTTGCCTGAAGTAAGAAGTTGTGTCTGTTTCCAAAGCACTGTAGTCACAGCTGCTGCTTATGTAGTAGTAAGAGAAAAGGTCTACTTATCTCTCCTGCAGCGAGGCTGGAGGAGGCCTGACGATCTTGCATGCCAGCAGCATTTGCTGTGATGACACGCACGCTTTATTTTTATTCCGACTGAAGTCATTCCAATTGAAGATTTCAGGTGTTTATATGGTCTGTGCGCTAATAGTACCCGGTGGTAACATCCACCAAGGCTGTAATAGGAGCAACTGGGAAAGAGCAAATGTGATATCAATATTGGCATGCAATAGTCTTACTCAAGAGGGATTTTTCAGCACCAAAACATTTAACAGATTTTATGTGCCACATGGTGGATCATAGCCCATAACACTGATACCTATTTTCTGTTTAGTAATTTAGTAATTTCTATCATTCTGTCTTAATACATGACACTGAAAATTTAGCATACTGGGTCGGCTTTTTAAAAACATCTAAAAAATCACACTACTAAACAAAACAAAGCTAGCCTGTTACATTGTGTGTATGATAGGTGATAATGTTGACATAGGTGACATTTTCACTAACCAACATATAACCAGTTAGCTTCTTACTGACTTGTTTGCTGATTGTTTTGGTACGTGGCTTAGAGGTCAGAGCTGTAGCTCAACTAAACTAAACATGAAGTTGTACTGATTGTATCACTGTTAATGTAATACAGCTAGTCTAACAGCAAATATTCCAATAACATGTAGTTTACTTGTGTAAAGGTCTCAGATACCCTTTCTCGAACAAGCTAAGAGTGTTAAGCATTAAGACTGCACGGACTGTGGTATTTTTGATATGTTTGGGTAGTAAACAGAATGTAATCTGAATGTCAGGCGCATCAGCAGCTAGTTTTACCTTGAGCAAAATGCCAGCACAAATCCTTCAATATTTTAATATCAAATTAAATACAAGTTGGTGATCTCATAACTGCAAGAAAATGTATGAAAGGATATTACCGAAGATCAAATCCTAGCAGCTTTTGAAGCTGGTTACCAGTCCAGAAACCCAAAGAAGCTTTTAAATTTATATCCAGAAAAACTGAATCTGAGCTGCTGCAGCCGGTAGACTACCTCCATATATAGATCATCTGGTGCAACAGAAATACTCTGCATCAAGACATGATGGCAATTTGGAGAGCAAGATACATGTCACAACAACGGTGAGCCGTGTCATCTTCACAGTTTCTGTCGCCCACATAGTTACCACAGCAACCCATGGGACCTATGTTGGTGTCATCTGTACAAACACACACATCTGAGCTAGTCCTTGCAAACAATAGTGCAGAGAATGATTATTGATCTCTGTCTTGTCAAAGAGAAAAAGGTTAGTTGCAACCAGTAACGAAAAATAGTGGTTATTTTAAGTCAAGGAACTGATATGGTCTTGACAGCATCTTTCCAAACCCTCCAGGTAATATGAGCATTGCTCAAAGGTAGTGAGTAGACATAAATTATCCACTTAATCCTTGGCTCTACCCTCACCAATAGCCTCAAGCTCTGAGTGGTGGTAAAGCAATGAGATAATGGAAACACTAGATCACATTATTTGACAGGTGGAGTTATTCTAAAAGGTGGAGTTAAAAACTGAGGCAGGATGAGCTCCTACTCTTCAAACCGATGGTAGTCAGTCAATATGAAAATAAATAAAGAAGCAAATAAAGAAACATCCTCACTCTGACTCACCGCCAACAAATTGGAAAGATAATTGCTGAAGAAAAGCCCAGGAAAACTGAAAGGAGTTTAATTTTCCTCTCTGACTGGAAAAATTGGAGGATCCATAAAGAGGAAGGAAATTCATAAAGAAAGAATGTGGGGCGACTGACCCAGACAAGGTTAAGTGAGTGGAAAATGGGTGAAAGGATGGATGGATCAATGGAGTGCTTACTTTTGTGCCGCTCTGGGCCACTGATGGATTCTGAGCAGGAAGTGCTCACGTTCAACTGAAACATTAAGGACGATTTTGCGTATTTCTAGCAATTGTAATTGGTGTTAAATATTATTATTGAGCAGTTTGTCATTTTTAGAATTATCAAAGGAAGAACTTTGATCCTGACATGAGAAGAAACCAGTACTGAGCAAAATATTATCCCATCTAAACCTACTTCATAAAATGTTCATTATGCTTTCATTTGTGAGTATTTTTAAATTGTTATATCATATTCATACCATCGTCCAACCTGTTCTCTCATTATTATCGGCATTGGCCATTGAAATACTGTAACTGGTCAACCTCAAACATGACAATATCTGAGCCAAATATTAGGGGTGTCTTGTTACAACTTTTTTACCTCCGATACGATACCGATATTGTAGCCTTCAGGGTTGTCCGACATCGATTTTAATCCGATTTTAGCACAAACTTGTGCATGATAAGTTTTGGACTTTTGGACTCTTCTTTTTCGGACTTAAATGTAAAATGCTGCCACAGGGCCAACATCACTCCTACTCCTTGGTACTTTGTTAGTACCTTAGTACACTCTGTTGTTACGATCACATGGACTCTACCTGCTGGATTCGGGTGCTGCTAGATAGAGGTGCTGGAGCAGAGCCTGGAATGGACTGCTTGTATTGGAGTGCTGATATCGAAGATTTTAAATGCAGGTCGATATAATCCGATATTTGATTTTTTTTTTTTTGTTGATATTGGACTGATATCTGATGTCATCGTATCAGGACAACCCTACCAAACATTATCCCATCTAAATCTACTAAATCTAGACCAGTAGGCCTCTGAATCCAAAGAACTATTAAATCTAAAATTTGAGAAGGGAAAGACTTAAGAATGCTAACTTAAGTGGATATCTGTCATATAATACAAAACAGTGGGGAGGGGGTGCATTTCCCATTAATAAACCTTCAAAGTTTACAAGAGTCGAACCCTGACTTCTGTTCTTCGACCAGAACACTGAACACTCTGAGCTACGACTAAACATGTCCGTAGGTACACCCTGTTGTACTGTATTTGAAAGGCCTAATTTATGTGATAACAACCTTGGGTAAACAGATACATCAATAATAAATAACATTTCATGATAGGATGAAACCTGTAATAGCCTGCATCAGCTTGACATACACAAAGTACTTAGCACACATGGGAAAACACTCCGTATAAAAGAAAATTAAAGGAATAGGACAGGTTCAGCCAATTAAAAAACTCTCAAAGTGGAACGTGATGGTATTGAAAGTGGTGGTACAATACTGAATGTCTTGTCCTTTATCTGAGGCATCTGTTGTTTGTTCATCCCGATCCCTATCTTCCTGCTTCTCACCATTTCTCTATCTATCCTAATGCATGACTCAGTTCATCACCAGCACTCAACACCAGGATGTCCCAGAGGAATCAGGCAACAGGGCTGTCTGGAGGAGGATATCAGAAAGTGCATGTGAAACCGAGAAAGAGAATATGTGTGTGTATGTGTGTGCGAGAGAGAGAGAGAGAGAGAGAGAGAGAGATGGTTTGAGGGGGCTATGATGGTTTATCCCAATCCATAGGGGGGGCTGCCTCTGCCTGTGGTGATGTCGCATGTGTGTGAGGAAAGGAGCGGGGGGTTAGGTTGCAATAATCACACGACAATCGCGTTAAGAGGATCCTCGAGCCACCACACAGCTCTTAAACCACAGCAACACACACACACACACACACATACACACTGACTGCTTGTCAGACTCTAATGCAATTCTCTTGCTTCTGGGAGGTAAACCAGGGAGTTGTTCTGTAGTTCCAAACTCTGAGGATGATATAAGTCTGGCTGCAACGCCAGCAGACTTATATGATAACAGCTTCATTGGTTTCATGAAGAGAAAGAGTGTTTGATGTGTGTCTTTTAGTGGCCGTATAGCTCTCCTCATTGTTTTGAGTCATTCAGTGGACCTTTTCTGTGTTTAAGTTCTTTTTTGGAATAATCCGCAGCCTGCACTTGCTCCTCTCTCAGGCAGAACTTGTTTGAAAAGGAAGATCCTCTTTACTCTGTCAACACACAGAGGCAGCCTATTAAAATGCACAGTCAAGTGAGATAAAGCCTGAAACATGATGCGGATCAGATCAGTATAATGCAGGCATGGCTGGACATCTCTCTCAGCTATTTCTGCTGGGGATGATGTAGTCAAGATGCTGCAGGGAAATGCATCATGCAATTTCACAAATTTTAATCCGTTACTGTCTGCTGATGTGCGCTTCAGTCTACTACATGGCTTTGACTTTCTCTTGAATGTCATTTTTTAAGTAGCAGTCTAGTGCTGCTCAGGTCTCTCACACCTTAAATTCAAGTCACTACAGCCAGATTCTATTTTGAACGTCACAATCCCATGAATGGTGGGATCAGCAGTTCCTCTGTTACGGGGACAAATCTACCGATCCTGGCTGGCAGGAGACGTTACCTTCTATATCCTGCTAATCAGACGCCCAATGGGAGTGCTAGTGTGTCAATGTGTGTTTTTCAAGCACTTATCTACATGTGCAGCCCCTGTACAGAATCCTCAAAAAAGCCCACACAGCCAATGACAGCTTGAGGGATGAAGGAGAGGAGATGCAGAGGACATAGAGGAGTATAAAAGAGAGTGAGGGCAAAACCCTTTCATCTTTCTGGGGTTGTCCCCCCAGAAATACTCGAGTTAACAACCTCTAACGATCAAGGACACTAAGCATATTCCTTTACCCTCTTTCAAAGTCTATTCTCCTCTTCGAGTATTGACTCTGTCATCCTTTCTCATCGCTGTTTTCTTGTTCCTTTTGAAATTTGTTCAGTTCAAGGGCAGAACGACAAAGCAGTCAGCTGTAGCAAATCTCTCCAGCTGGAGAGAATGACAGCGAGTAAGAACGAGCGAGTCCATCCCACGTGTCGCAGAGAGACACATCCCTTTCCCCTCCACTCTGACTCTGCATCAGGTTACGGGGATGTGTGAGACTTGTGTCTTTTACATGACGACTGAAGCGTGACAGTAGGACAGCACTTATGTGTTGCTCCCACAGGGGATCACACATCTGGGAAAACTCACTGCTGCACTCGGGGCTCTTACGTGAAAAATAAATAACTCAAAGAATTTTCACAAAACATCACAGCGATTCAACCCAAAGCCAGTTACCTAAAAATGTCAGTGGTGTTCACACTGTGATCTGTTGACTTTTAGTATTAGCAGTTATTTTATCCACTGAACAAACCATCCATATTACCAACAACATACTGACAGAAGTGAGCTCTTACTTTTTGGCTCCTATTTTACAGTTTAAACACAGAAACAGATGGGCTAAGACACCTAGAACAAAGAAAAAAGCTGTATCAAGGGAAATTCAGCTTATGAGATAGCCAAGGCTCGCCCCAAAATGAATATAAAGATGAATTATTATGAGATGAAGATGGAGAAAAAGAAGAACTCCTGATTCTGATGTTGAATCTGAGTTAAAACATATAACAATAAGGAAACTTAGTGTGTTATCCATATTAAAGCTACATAAATTAAGCAGTGAGAGCTTAGTTTTGCACCAGATGTTCCTGGAACATGAACTAGCATAGCATCCTTTAACATTATCAAGCATTCAATCTTAGCTCTTGACTCCTGTGAAGCTACCATTAAGTGATACATTACACTTGAATATTAAATTATTCAGTTGGTTTTAAAATACGTATCTAGACTAGATCAGGAGGACACTGACCAAAAACCACCTTTATTTCAGAACTATGATGATGGTCAAACAAATACGTTTCAATGGCCAAAAATGCTGGTCTTGTTGTAGAGGATGTTTCCTCTTTGCATTGATGCTCAGATTAACTGAATGTCGAGTATAAATACAGTAAATATCTGCTGATATTTCAGTGGCAAAAACCAGTGTTTTGATAATGCAGTCTTTAAAAGTTGAAACATTTGTTTCTTTACTTTCACAGCAACGACACTCACTACACTGTCTTTACCAAACCTGTTTGACTGACAATCAAAGGGGAAAACAGACAGTAACAACCAAAAACTGTATCGCAACTTTAAAGCAAGTAGTCTTATCTTTCAGATAGATAGATAGATAGATAGATAGATGTGCGTCATAGTCGGTAAAGAAGTGCTCTAAAGAAACCAGTGACTGTGTACCCTTCATAACTGTGTAAGTGTTGAATTCTTGGAATAAAATAAGCATTCAGCAGCATGTGAATGCAACACTTGGTGTTGCTTTCATGCATTTATCTGTTCTTTGTTTTGGTTCGGGTCCTTTGGGAGCCACTCAAGGATCCCACTTCAAAATCTGCGGTTTTAAAGCACTCAGGAGACTGTCTGCCATACATGAACAAGAGGCGGAGAAAGAGATAACTAATGCATAGAGGTTATTTTGGAAACAAAGGAAAAGAGAGAAATGGATCAAACAGGCAGCAAAACAGAAACAGAAACAACCTGACAGAGTGCTCCTTCTCTGATCCGACTTCACAAACTGCAGACATCAAATCATCAAACCACAAGGGAGTGTAGAGTTTTTGTTTTCATAGTTTATCCTCCAATTTTTTCTGCATTTACATACTTAAGACTTTCAGTTACCACTGGCAACCTCTAAAACGTCAAACTGAAGCTGAGGATGGTGCTTAACCCTGACCTCTGACCCCTGAGGGTGGAGTCAATGCAGCACACATCCCTCCACATCTGGAGGATGCGGGCAGGAAATAAACACTGCTGCAGTAGGAACATATGTCATCCATGCACTGGTTTGTTATGAGCATGGATGAGTGCTTCACAGTAGCTGGAGGGGCTGGGGTATAAGGCATGATACAATATGTCGTGGCTTTTCATCCTTAAAACTGAACCCTGTGTGAATGTTTAAATGCACCCATTAAACACCAAAGTTACATCAGCCCTCCTCCCCCTCCAGCAGTGGCTATAGAAGTTTTAAAAGGATATCTGAGACGCCGTTCGCACTGTTATTCCCCTCGATCAAAAATCTGGAGTTGGATGGAGCAGCAGAAACGAGGCGTAATATCTCCAAATGAGTGAGCGTTTCTTTTCGCCACTAACGCTCAAGTTTTGTCTCTCACAAGTCATCCTCTTCGGTTCAACAAGAAAGTAAAGTTAATATTTGCTCCGAAACAATTTCGTTGAGCTTTCCGCTGCTTTAATTCGGCGCATTTGTTTGCTGGTATTTCACCCAGGAGCGCACAGAGACGGTAATTTGAGGTGAAGCTCGCTGCAGAAAAAACTTCAAGAAAAGCAAGCAACAAACACACGCTACCATCGCCCTTTTCTCACAGGAGTCCTAAAGGAAGAGATGGAATCAGGAAAGTCTTGTGTACAATGCCACTTTCTGCAAGACGAGCAACGATCTCCGGCAGGAGCGCGCTGTTTCGGACTTACCTTGCGCTGTAAGGAGCACCAGCAGGAGGACGTTTATGACTTTCCCGTAGAGATTCATCGATACATCAGCACTTGACGCTTTCAGCAGATAAAAGATCATACGGATGATTGAAGTATTATTAGTCGTCTGCTAAAACGTCTTCGGAGCCTGGAGATTAAATCAACATTTTTCCTTTGCGCTCCCGGAGTGTGGAGAGGATGGACTCGCGGTGCGCTCTCCCCGACATGAACAACTTCTGCACGTCCCGCCTTTCCCCCTCCCTGCGTCCCTACGTCCCGCACTCCCACTCAGCCACCCACTCACTCACACGAGGGCCAAACCCAGCGACCTGACTCAGAGTGACTCACAGGTGATAAGTTTGGAATAATGAAATGGTTTTCAAACATGGCTGGCTCAAACTGAATCGCCAGGGGTTTTGCAAGTCCAACTGCGTAGGGATATGTCTCTTTGAACATTTTTTTTCTCATGTTCCCGCTTGGAATCCTATTTCCATACATTATCACAAGTTTGACCACATTTTGAAAGTTGGGAATCATATTAAGAACATAAAAACTAATTCAGAAGAACCATATCCTGCTGATTTCTGAATATCTGAATGTCTGAAATAATTAATCATGCAGAATTTCGATTTTTGTCAAATTTGCAATAACTGAAAGATCACAACCTGAAAATTTATCCCAGAATCTTTAAAATAACTCCAAAGAGTGATGAAGCCCACACATACACACACGCAAACACACACACTGATCACATATTTTCACTGCTGAGCTATAGATGACCTATATAGTCTCTTAATTGATTTTGAAGGAATAACAATACTCTGGCAGCTTAAAGCGGCTCTGTAATAGAAAACTGAAGGCTGCAGTCTGCCCAGTTCAAATGATAGGAAGCTATGAATGCACAGCAGCATTATATGGGACTGTATAGTGAGCATTGAAACATTCAGACTGACCCATTTTCAAGGGGAAAGGAATAGTAGTAGTACTAAATTGTAAAAAAAATACTATAACTCTGCTTTTGATTTCAGCTTTTGGGTCATTTTTAATCATTTTATTGATACTGAAGTGTATCTTTGGTGTCCTCGAGGCAGTCTCTCCAATTCCTGTAATGTATCCTTTGAAAAACTCTGTCACACAAGTTTGCGCCTTTGTATCGTCTCTGACACACAGTCCCTCTTCTCAAGACTCTTTTCATGCACAAAAATGGCTTATATACACAGTGAAGAGCAGACATTATGAAAAGAATCAAAAGTCCTGTAATTTTAAGACAAGTATTTCTGCCTTTTCCTAAAGCACGATGCCACCATATCAAACAGAAATCCCGTTATACTTGTGGTTGAATGTCAGAACAGAAGCAGCATGCCTAACTGTTCCTGAAAACAAAACTACTGCAGGTGGTAAATACAGCTAACTGACTGCTGCAGATGAAAGACTGAGGACAAGTGGAACTCAGTCCTCAATTTTAAGCCCCATTAGTTTGTCTGTAGGAGAGAGAAATCAACCAAGATTGTTGCTGTGGCTCAGAGAGGGAAATGGAGGGTAAAAAATGACCATCCAGGATCTGTACGTGCATCTAAAATGAAAAATAAAATACCAGAAGTAAGTAAGGTAAGAGGATGAAAATGGTTTGACAGGGAAAATGATGTAGAGAAGTTGTGATGAGTGAAACTGAAAGGATGTATGCAGCTAACAGGGAGGATAGAGAGAGAGAGAGAGATACACTCCAGTCAGCTTAGGATGAAATGTTAAAAAGCTCCTGAACTGACGTTGTATGATGAGGGAGTGTCACTTGGAGAGAAGGGAGGGGAAAAGAACTGAATCAGGGACTGTGTTTTGGCTGCTTGATGTGCCTCACTGTGACAGAGACAGTGACTGTATTTGCTCAGATGCATTTTCTTATTTAACAAGATGGAGAGAAAAATCTGAGAAATGGGCTAAATCTGAGGGCCCAGATTTGAAACACATGGGAGATTTTTCTATTCTTTATTATTTCTTTCCTTTCCTGCCACCCTTTTACCTCTGGGCCCTCTTCTCCTTTTTTCACCATAAGCCTAAATCACTCTGAATCGGGGAGGAGACTCTGCCCCCAAGATAGCGATGGACATTTAAACAAACCTTCCTAACGTTCAGTGCTTAGAAAGCAAACAGTTTTCTTGAGTGTTGAGATCTAAACCAAATGGTCAATCTGTGACCCTCTGTAATTAGTTTAATGTTTGTTTGTTTATAAGGAAGAAAAAAGGACAATGAGTATATTTCTCAGAGATAAGCTGTTGTGTAACCTTTATTAAAAGGCACACATCATAAATTCAAAATGCACAGACACAGCTTGAAGTCCTTCTGTTCACCCCATCTGCTTTTTACGAGTCCTTAAAAAGAGGTTAACTACACTTAAATTCACACACTTATTACTACAGCATCTCCTATATTTTACAAACCTAGTCTTGAGCTAGGTGGTTTTAGACATTCCTTGATCCTTTTTAAAATCTAGAGGAGATAGAGCATTTTCTGTCGTGACTCCCGCTTTGTGGAACGCTTGACCCCTTACAGTGCGCACTGCTAACAGCCTCTCCACTTTTAAAACACTTCTGAAGACGCACCTGTTCACTTGAGCTTTTGGGGAAGTATAGCTACTTTTATTTTGGGGGTATTTTATTTATGTGCTATTTTTATCTATATTGTTGTTTTATGTTTTTATATGTTTTTATAATTTTATTGTTTTTACTGTCTCTGGCCATTTTACTGTAAAGCACTTTGGTAGGCCACTGGATGTTTTTAAATGTGCCATATAAATAAAGCTAACATTGACATTGACATTGACATTGAGGCTTTTCAGACATATGTCAAATATAAAGTTGTAGAGACAAAGAAAAAAGAGTTACAAACAACAAACACTGTATGGAGCATCAAGAGTCTGCCACCTTTATCATTTCTACAGTCATTTTATTGTATTAGCATTTAAAAGTCTTACATATAACAGTCCTTGTTACATAAATTGAAAAGTTTGAGCAAAATTATGACAAAAATTGAGGTTTGAGATAAAAAAAAAATAAGGATTGGCTCAGTAAGTAAAGTAAAAAAAAAGCTTACAAACTTTTTCAAATCCAAAGCATAACTCGTAAAAATAAGTGTTGTGTCTCCAAGTGTTGGTTTTTGTGAGAAATTTGTATTTCGACGTAGACTCAGAAGATAGAAATAGTCAGAAAAATCAAGTGTGAGAACAAATCATACTGCATGTGGTGAGAAAGCATCTGTGGTGTGCAGGATTTAGTCTTTATAAGAGGAGAATTCATCCCTACATTGTCACTATCTGAGTGCTGGTGTTTCAGAGCCCTCTCCAGCTGAGCTGACACTTTCCTTCTCTGCTTCTACCCTTCCTTTTTTCTTTCTCCTATTCTTCATCCCTCTCTTTCTTTTGTCCCATCTCTCTGTTTTTCTCTCTGTGCACAATCAGCCAGACAAACTGTTAAACAACAGCAGGCATCTAGTCAGACAGCTCGGACAAAGCAGAAGGACCTCAAGGGCCTGATGGAGACAGGAAAGGAAAAAAGGGAAAGGGCAAGTGTGGCTGCTACAGTGTGTGTCAGACAGGACTGTCCCAGCTCATCCACATCAACCTCGTACACGGTTTCTCCCTCCTACGCTGAATCTTTCTGGGTATTAGTTCTCCAATTTCTTGCATCTTCCCTTTTACACATCATACTTACACCCTTTTTGGACTGAAAACCTTCAATTTAGCTTGCCAATTACAGGTCTTTTGTATTTTCTACGATGCTTTAAGGGTGATGCATTATTCAGACATTTTTCTTGATCACATGGGACGTCAGGGAAAGCACAAAGACCAGAGAGCGAAGTGCTCGATTAGTGGAGTTTAAAGCAGGAGACAGGAGAGTGCCAAGAGGTTTTATCTTTCCTTACCTGATGAGTCTAGTCACAGTCTCACCTCATTACTTGTCCCTTACACGGATAAGATGACTGCCTTTAAACAACCTGTAGTCTGACGTTGCGGCGTGATAGACAGTCGCTTGTATTATTAAAGAAGTTGTGTCTGGTGTGAATCTAGCACCAGCTTAACCCCGATAAACACCCTTGATCCTTTGAATGTGAAGCTGTTTTAAACTCTGAGACTAAACACAGACTTCAACTTATTTCATCTTGGTCTGTTTCACTCCCTACTTTTAGTATGAGACACAGCACAAAGGTAGACAAAAGCTGCTGCCATTTCTCTTATTCCTAAAAATGATCTTTATATATGATTAACAGCAAATAGGGGCAATATTGTGAAGAACCAGCATCATGTGACATTGTGTAAAACACGATATTGCTGTGGGACACTAGTTCATGTTTCTATAACTTGTAGATTCAACTACTGCAACACTCTTCTTTCTGGTCTCCCTAGAAAGAACATTTCACGACTTCAGTTGTTGGAAAAGACCAGAAAGAGAGCCCACATCACATTAAACCCATTTGAAAGTCTCTGCATTGGCTTCCAGTACCTTTAGGATTGATTTTCAGATTTTTTTTATTGGTTCATAAAGCTGTTAACGGTCTCACACCGCCTTATTTATCACATTTATTGTTAGGATTTGAGCCTGTGAGAGCTGCCTAGTTTTCAGGTAGGTGTCTCTGTCTGTAGAACGGCGTACCTGAAGACCTGAGAGCAGCACTAAAATTACTGAAGCTTTAGTCTGTTTTACTGATTTATATCATATTCTTGTATATTTCTGACTGACTTTTTAGTGTTTTTATCTTTAAATATCATATTATCTAGTTTTTTTTTTTCAATGATGTGGTTTATTCATTAATTATTTTAGATCTTAGTGTGGTATTGTTCTGTCAATTACATTCACTTTTATTGTATACTAAACTTTCCTGTCTTGAGTTTTAACATTTTATTAAAACCTCTGGTATTATGAACTCCTGACAGCACTTTAACCGTTCTGTAGTTCCCTTTCAAGTTGAATCCTTGATTTAATTTAATTTTTTTATATTTTTTGAATTCATTTCTCTTTTATATCATATCTGTTCTCTGTTTTATTTGCCTGTCATAAACCTTACACATAAATCAGGGTTTGGACTGGTTCTGATGACTTTCTGTTTCTGTAAAGAACTTTGTTCTGCGTTTTGTTGTAAAAAAAAAGTGCTACACAAATAAAGTCTGATTCACTGATTGATGATTAATTTCACTGTGACTCATTCTAGTTTAGCTTGTACATTTCACTTGTTCATCAAAATCAGAGTAAACTAGCATTTGATTTTTCCCCTTTTGGTCAGACTGTGATCTGATATGGTTCATATCTAACAGGAGGAGTGCCCTTCATCGCTCAGTCTCTTCGACCTCTTGACCTCATCCAAACTGTTTAGTATTTCTTCTATGATCCCCTTGTGCTGTCTAATCCCAGCACTCCTCCGTCTCCACCCTCCATCAGTCCTTTTTAAAAGCTCTCAGCATCCCCTTTCCTCCCATAGCTCGTCCTGTTCTTCCTGTCACGCTGCACTCGCTGACCCTGCTCAACCCTCCAGCACTCACATCCTCAAACTCTCTTTGTCCCTTCTAGTGTTGCTCTCACTGCCCTCTTCATCCCTCTCTTACTCAGTTACCAGGACTTTGCATCTGATTTTTTCTCCCCGTCCAGTGTCCACTAGATCCTGTTTGGTCTTGCTGTGGCCTGTTGCTGCCACCAGCAACTAATTAAAGTCCCTTTACAGCCCGAATCGCAGTTATCTGATTAAAGCTGCTAATTAAACTGCCATTTCTGTGTGGTGTGTTTCTCCCACAATCCCTTGCATCCTGTCTCTCCATCTTTCACTCACACACAAACACAAACATATCTGGGGTAACAGCTTGAATGTATTGTGACAGCTTATTTACAGTCATGTTTGTCTTTTTGTTTTGATCTTTTCTGTCCGCCTTGATCTCAGAATAATCAGCAGTGTCATTTTCATGAGACGGCCACTGCCTGAGGGATCAAACAGCCATGAAAAGCTCACTTATTTTCCCATCAGCTCGTATCTGTCTCCATACGAAACCTGAACGGTTATCTGTGCTTCTTCTTTCTGACATAGTTGATCTGCTTATCATGGCTTCAGGTTATTTTTAATCAGTTTTAGAAAAATGTGAACGAAGCATTTCAGTAATAGCCTAATGCGGTTATCATTTGTGGCCTTGGGGGCGAATGATTCATCATTTTCTTCTCATAACTCTTATCAGATCATTCAGTCACATCTTTTGTCACAAACTATCCTGGCTAAGAACAAAATAAGTTGCATTTATGAGGGAAATTTGTCTGTTTGTTTTACTAGCCTGGTAGTATTTGACGAGTTTTTCTGTGATCATTCATACTTACACATTTGTATAAACTTTATCGTAGCCATTACACAGTATGCAGTAAAAAAGCTCAATAAAAACAATTTAATTTCTTTACTTGACTTGGCTTTATATTCAAACGCATGGATATCATCAGCTGGACTCTAAAATAACACTATTTAAGTTAAAGTTTAGATTAAACTTAGTTTGTTAGTTGTACCATGCGCAGGAAAATCATGCAGCAAAAGATTGTTTTTGTAAGTTTTCAATGAGCCATGTTCTTTTAAGACTTAATTTCACAGCAGCAGATTCATTTTGTTCAGTTGCCAATAAGCCTATTATTTTGGCCACATTTTGAGGCCATATAATTTGTAAATTAAAGCAACAATTTATGCTCAGGACTTTGGAAATGACATAAAAATATTTATACTTCTAATATCTTGATACATTGAAAAAAATCACCTCTAACTAATGCTTGCACATGTGTTATCTATTTCAACTAAGAAAAAAATAAAGAATACGGTTAAATGAGGTTTAGTTTAGAAAAATTACAAATATTAACAGATTTTAAAAATATATATATATGACCTCTATATTCACCCTTTAATGCCTGAAACCACAAATTATGGCCAGAAAATTCAAATTTTTTGGAGCTGAAATTTTTATTTCACTTACTACTGAAAACCAAAAGAATCAAAATGTCCTTAAAATTTGACAAATATATTTATTTATCTTGTTTGATACATTTGATGTTTTTGGAAACTGATAAACCACAAGAGGACATTTTTATTATTTATCAGACTATATTGATCATCAAGTATCATAAAAGTATGTATTAAATATGATACAAAAGGCATTAAAGGGATAAAGACGAAGTGTAATAGTTCATATTGATAGTGTATCTACTGAGGAAAGAAACAGCCATGTGCAGTGCCTCTTTTGGCCACTAGTGAGCAGCAGTAGACACTCTGATCTGTCATCAGGTAGCAGGCTTGGGAACATATTTATTGTTTCTGCGGGGACATTACGGACACTCCTGAGCCCAATTCGAAGCCCAGTAAAGTGTCGAGAACAAAGCTCTGTGTCTGCTCTCTAAGCTCAGTGCCTCAAAGCTCAGGATTGATGGGCCTCTCACTCAAGTGCATGGCAGCTACACATTCTGTAATGCAGTAATGTACTTCATAAATATTGACCACTGAGCTGAAATGGCAGGTATAAATCCTAAAGGAATGTCCTGTTGGAGATAATGGGGAAGATGGAGGGAAGCAGCCAGCTACAGGAAACAGATCAAACTGCTGACAGTCACCATGCTGCAGTGGAGAGACTCAGCAGTCTAATAATCAGAGCAGGTAAACGTAGAGAAGAAAGGAAACATCCAGGAGCAGGATTGAGGCTTTTGTATGTTTATGCATGTGTGTGTGTGTCAATAGCATTTGACCTTATACCTGAATACTCTCGTTTTTACCACTATTTTTATGTTTGAAATCTGCTGACAGCGGATAAAATCATGAACACAAATGATCTACTTCTGCTTTTACAATCAAATATGAAAAGTCAACATTTAACTCTCAGTAGAAACACAGTTTGGAAATATTATGTGTAAAATCTTCTACATTTTAAAACAGATTTATGGCCTCACTGCGCCTGCTTGCTTGCAGTCAGTGTCTTTGTAGATGTGCATATATGCACATGACGTGTGTGAGTGGGTTTATCTTGCAGAAAAGAATTAATGCTTATTGATCTCTGACTACAGCATGAGGTGATCCTCGGCTCCTCTTTGGCTCAACAGACTGCAGAAGTCTTGTGTCTCCTGTTTATGACCGACCTTCATCATCGCTGTCTCCCTTCATCATGCCTCTCTTTCTTTCTCCCCTTGCCTGATTGTTACCCTCCCTCCCTTTTCCAACCAGTTTAATCTTCTCTGTCACGCTTCATGATCAGACCTGGAGACCATAACACCAACTCTCTCTGGCGGACTTTTCTCTTCTTTCACCTCAATATTTTACACTTGAAGTAAAATGGACCTGGTGGTGCATTCTTGTCTGAGGAAGCAGAGTGAACACACAAATGCATATCTATCACATTTAAGTGTCATTTGTTCTGTAGGTTTTGTCTAAAATTAAATGTTGATGTCTTTGAACGGACAGTAAAAAAGTGGCAAACCTAGCGCCAGTTGGCCCAGCAGTCGAGCATGCACTGAGACAACAGCCCTAAAACACGGTTCGACTCCCCGCCTCAGCTCTCATCCTTTACTCTCCTCTCACCACATTTCTCATCTCTGTTTAACTGTCTCATAAAACAAAGATAAAAATCCCCCAAAATGTGAAATTATCTGGAAAAACAATGTCAGAGGAGAAGTAAGTCATCACTGAATATCTGCAAGGGGAAACAGCCAAGTAGAAGTTCACTTTGCAGGAGTCAAAAATACCTGCAACAAGAGTGATCGATACTCACTTTCAAAGACTTTTGATTACTTGACTTATTTTGTTTTATTGTTTTAAGCTTATTTGTAAAATTTTAGGGTGCATGTGTGCTGCAGGGATAATAAAAAAAAGAGGTAGTTGTTGGTTCAGCGGTTTGACCTTTTTATCTTTTTTTAAACTTACTGCTCCACTTCGCTTTTGTCCAAATGCAAATCCTTCTTGCAAATATGCCATCCACATAAGAATCCCTCATTGCCAGACTTGGAAGTGTACACTCTCCAGACCAATAGAGGGAGTTGAAAACAACATTAAAACATCTGAAACTGCACATGCAAATTAGTGAGCATAGTTTGATAATCTGTAACAGAAGCAGAGGATCGAAGCTCTGCATGATAAATTTTAAAAAGTGACAGAAGAGAAACTATCGATTAAAACAAAAAAGAAAGAGATTACATTTATATGAGGGCTAGAAACCAGAAAAAAAATGAGAGATTAATCTCTAATCTCCTACAGAACATCAACAACACTAAGTCTTCACCCGCTGGCCCCTCGTACTGTTGCTGCTCTCTTAATGGGAATTGATGCAGATGTCAAGTATCTAATTTATGAGTCAGAGGAGGAGAGGACGGGGGGACAAACATGAGCTGTAATTGCTGAACCAAAGTACAGTTTAATGTCTGTCACCATGTCTGTAGGATTATGTCACTGACTCTAGAGCATGATTGTATTTGTGTGTATATGTGCATTTGTGTGTGTGTGTGACTGGTGTGATGCTAACTGGAAAATAATGACTCTGTAGTATCTTTGCTGGAAGCAGCAGAGGTTGCTGAAAGACAGCAGATCATATGCTTTTGTGGTCTGGAAAAACAAATAATCTAGGACCTTCTTATATCTGCGCAGACGCTGATGAGAAGTGAAAGTGCATAATTTTTTGAAAATTGCGATTATACAATTTAATCTCACGCTGTTGTTGCAGATTACACTTATGAATTTCTAAGTGTCTCACATTATTCAAGTCTAATCCAATTATGCGACAATGACAAAGCAGCAAACTTTCACTTCAAAGTTAGTTAATGTGTGAAATGTAATTATCAGTGTAGCAAGCTTTATCTGATGCCTCTGGCTCTTTGTCGAGGTCCACACCACATTTCAGGAAGCAGCTGCTATCTGATAATGAAAAGGGAAAAGCTTCATGACACAAAGGATTTTTCAAATTTGTGAATATGTGCATGTGTGGGTTTATGCACACGCTGTGTCCCTTTAGCGGTCAAACCGCCTCGCTGCTGTCTTCAGCTAACAGAAGGCAAAGTTACAAACCCCAGGGTTACAAGACTGTCTAATGAAGCCTTAGTCAGCTGACTAACACTGAGCCCTTACCCTGGACAGTTCACACACATACACAGAGAGCACACGTACACACGTACTCCAGAAACTTCAGTTCAAAATGTGAAATGCCTGGAGACTGTGCTTCCCCTTGAATCATCTCAGTGTGGCTAAAAATATGTGAGGTGGGAGGGAATAGCCTGTAGTGTTTTTAAGCTTTTACTGTGTCATATACTTAAGAAAGTGATGCTGAAATAACCTGTTTTAACAACGAGAGAGAGCTGGAGCCATGAACATGTTACACCTCCAAGAAACGGAGACACCATATAAAGTGAAAGACCACATAACGGCACAATGACCAACAGCTGTTGTGAATTCATGGGGTCGGGTCTTTGTGTTGCTTTCATTGCCCTTTATTGATCCACTTCTCAAGACATCATGTCCAACCACAGTCTCTTTATTGTCCAAACAGACAAAAACTCAACATGACGGACAAAAACACAAAATAAAAAACATGTATAAGCACACCATCCACTGACAAAGTAAAACCACACAAATCAAAAACAATTCAACTGGATTAGTACAGTTCACCTTTTCCTTGGCCAACGCTGGAAGCAGTGACATGTAGAGTGGTCTGATGGTGGTAAGTTATTCTACTTTCTTCAAATAATGACTGCCTTCAAGTAGTGCCCCAAACCGACTGCAGTAATCAAGCGTACAACATGATGGCATGATGGACCGTATAGCAAGTGTTTGACTAATATGTCCCTGGTCAGTGAGTATAAAAGACTGTACAATATTATGGCTGCTGGTTTTCTTGGTGGATGCTGTAAAGCACTGCTTTGATGAAACCAGCATACGGTACCTTTTAAAGGAGGAGCACTGTGAGGAGACACACACGAGTGGTCGTCTGTTTTAAGTTCCTTTGTGTCGTTTCCTTGTTTTTTTTTTTTTTCTTTTGGCACTATTGCAACCTTTATTTAAAGCATTGCTGCTTTGAAACGTCACCCGAGCAGCAGTGAGGTGTTTTTGCAGGTTAAAACAGGCTTGGAACCCTCCTCACACTTCTATTATTACTCTAACAGTCCATCACTCATCTCTTCTGAGTCTCCTTTTGCTCATTTTCAAGGCGAACAGTAGAAACTCCTACAGTTTGCGTGTCTCTAGCGAAAGGACGATGGGAGGTGACCTTCTTCTATGCAAAAGTTTAATCTTCTCTTCAGGGTGTGTGATGTTGATGTAGTGCTTATGTCTGTATTATGAGTCTGCTTGTGAGTTTATGTGGCTTTACTCATCTTTGGGCTGTTTCTCAGATAGAGTCAAGCGAAAAAGAAAAGGACAGAGCCTTGTAAGCATGCTTGTCCCACCATGGCGTGTAAGTCGGTTTGGATACAGACAGAAACAGAGAAAACCGCTACAAAAAGTCTGTTTGACACTAACAAAAAAAGTCCTGAGTTGTGGTTGGCCAGGTAAACCTTTGCAAACAGTGATAGAGGTCAACACACTTTTATTTGATCATGTCTGGTACAGGTTTTCTTTTCAAACTAAAGCAATGAATGACCATGATAACTCTGTATGATTTTTAGCCTGAGATTTTTTTTTATATAGACTCAGCCATTGTCTCTTTTACATCATAACATCAGGGGTATCAGTTATGATCAACCTATGAGTCAGATAGCTCAATGCTGAATTAGGGAGTCAATCTGTAACCTGTGGCTGATGCTACAGTAACATTTGGGGGCCATGTGCTCCAGCTGGACATGGAATACACTCGTTATACCTCTTAAGTCCGATTAAGCTACGACCATATTTGTGAGGGCATCAAGAACAGACCTAGCTGCATCCAGTCTGGACTTATCGGCTGAAAGAATTGCTAAATTGCAAAATAGAATATAAAAACATAAATTTTATGGGTTATAAACAACAACACAAATAAATGACAGCTACTGATGAACAAAAAAATGGAGGTCCCTCACCAAAGCCATTATCATAAAGCAGCATAATCAGGGATGTGTTTGGAGAGAACTCCTCCACTTTCATGGGACTGGTGGTATTGGCAGCTCAGAATTGACAGCCTTATTTGCAGTAAACTCAAGCAGATCAGCTCCTGCAGGGCAGGTACAGCATTGTGTTTTAGTCCCAGACATCCCACAGCTGAGATTAGAGAGTATTTTATTCAAACAGGGCTTTCTTTCTGAAACAACACCTTTAAATTAACTCATTGTCTGTAAGTCTCCAATCATAAATTACTCTCTCTCTCTTGTGTGAATGTCTATTCAATTATTATGTGAAAAGGACCCGCCACCGTCATATTTTTCCATTCAAGTTTTATGACTGGGTTAAACCAGCTGTGTTTAAAATCAAACCCTGTCCAGTTTGAACATTTTAGGATGGAGTTCATGTGCTACAAATATTTTTGGGCTGAAATATTTTCAGCTTAAGTTACAACATAAATCTTACATCTATGGTTTTGAGTAGGTGTAAAGTCCTCACTAAACGCCGGCTGTCATAGTTCATCATTTTATCAAGATGGGATAGCTTCTAAGAAGACGAGGTTTTGGGGCAGGCGATGTACTCTGATTAAATCAATTTAAAATATATTAACATGAATTTACATGAAACATGAATTTGTAGCCTGCTCCAGTCAGTGCCCATGAGCAGAGAGCTGCATGGAGTACCTCTACTTTACACAAATATTTTTTAATTAGTGCCAATTAGTGTGATAGTTTTACACTAAAGATTAATTGTCATCAGACCATAATGCTTAGTCATAATTTACTGACTCTTCTCATTGAGTGATGGTTGCGTTTTTTTTTTCTGCCTTTAGTTTATTCAGTTGAGAGTTAGCACTTCAACAATTACTTTACAGGTAGAAAAGTTTTTCTCTGATTGGCTACTGCAAGTGTTAATGCCACATCTGCAATAATATTTGATCAGTGTGGACATTAAACCCAAATGAAAGACACAATCTATACAATGTAAGGTTCAAAAGGCCCCAGGGCTTAAGGGAAGTGGTGCACAGAGCAGAATTTTAAGCTGGTCTTAACTTTTGGCTTTTAACCGGACATAGAGTTACACCAAAGCGTACAGTCACCAGGTGCACTTGGCCCAAGGGATTATAAATTTAGGCCAGAGACCTTTAATGCAAGTCATTGCCTTCCCTCTTTCTGCTCTTTCTCTGTAACAAGAATCTATGAAAGGACAAAACTTCTGTACATCAAGGATTTAGATCTAAATACTGAATCTGTTGGGTTTTTTTCTATCAGGTTGTATTCATATTATATCTTACTGTGGCATTTTAAAATGGGGATCTATTGGGATTCACTAACTATTGCGGCCTGCCTTGAGTGGCCACTTAAGGACTGTAAATTTTGGCACTTCAGTGTTGGCTTCATCTTTCAGCCCAAGAGGCTGCTGCTTGGTTTGGAATCAGCAATTCTACTATGTTCTAAGACCAAAGTTGTTGCATACCAGAGTTATGGATAAAGTTAACTCAAATAAATATACCAAAGGTTGTCTGTGACTGACACATGAATGGCAGAAAGGATGGCAGGGCACATGGAGGTGGAAGGGGGAAGAGTTGGTACCAAAAAAGGGAAGCGGTGGTGGGAGAAGGCTAAAGTGCATTATCATTATTTATGAGTGAGCGTGTGTTAGGAGGCAGACATGTGAGTTTATGTGTGAAAATGTTGACAGAGCTCTTTTTAGGAGGGACTCAAAGTTCATGTCTGGATCATGTTGTCATCAAAGTTCAGGTTTCAGTGTTAGACTCCATGTCATCAACAATGGGGGTGTTGTAACTCTGGAACAGAGGCTGCATGAAGAGGCCCAGTGTGCCAACCACACACACCATCACAAAGATCCACAGGAAGAGACGATCAATCACCATTGCCACATATTTCCAGTCTTCAATTATCTGCAGAGAGAGGTTAGATATTAAATTCGGTAATAGAAGAATTTTTGTCCTGAACTGAACTGAATCAAACTGATATATTGTTGTTTTTTAAATATATCTAATGCAATTTATTTTTGCTAAAACAGCACTGATGATACTGTGATGCACTCTGGCATAATATCAAGTGGTACATAGTCACAACTTAAGCTGTTGAATTTGCTCTGAGGCAGACCAGGCACAGTGTATCGTTGTCTCTTTTGGCTTAGTCAATGTTGTGACTCATCTCCTTAGTGTTAAATAATGTAATAAATCTGCAAAATACAAAACGCAAGTCCTCTGTCCAAATTAATTAACAAAGCTTGCAATATTTTAATATGGTTCCAAAAGACATGCACAGTGAGTAAAAACCTGCATATAATCCAAATACACAGTTTTATAATCGTATGACCATGTGTTTATTGTACATAAGGCTAATAAGACCACATGGTTTTATATGAAGTATAATTTAGTCAGGGAAAAACAACATGGGTGTCACAGGAATATGGTTTGGATTCATTAAGATAGTGATCTTTATTTACAAATTGGTACTACAACTCCAACTCAGTGACCGGACTGCTAAATGCTGAGAAGTAGCGGATTGGTGGCCTGTGTTGGATTTTGTGGGTGTTGAAATTGGGGTCTCAGGATTGTTTTACTTCTTATCTGACTCGTTTTATCACATTATTTCTTAATGCATTTTAGTAACTCACCTGTTGAATGTATTGCACATGTATTTATTATCTAGTTATTTATTTATTACTGATTTGTGGTGCTGACAGAGGAATGTTTGGGCCATATGCTGCTGTGAATGTCTGGTATTTGTCTGTTCTTTGATCATTTAATAACAAGGCAGGTTACTGTGAAGTGAATTGCCCGTCAAGGATTCATACAGTTATCTGAATCTAAATCTGAATTTATTTTGATGATGGCTCTAAAGGAAAAATAAAATGATTACCAACATTTTCAGAAGATTCGTAACAGAGTCAGGGTCAATCCTTTTGAAAGTGTTGAGCAATTAAAAATGTGAATAATGTACCGTAGGATCTCTCAGGTTGTTGGATACATTAAGTCATTCCTCTTTATTTTTTCGTCTATTCCTCCAATATTTTCCAAGGTCAAAACTGTAATACATAAGGCTATGTTGCTTTTGAGGCTGAAATTTTTTTTCCTCTCCTTCACTGCCACAAATATTGAAATCTCTCAAAAAGTCAAAACAAAGTCACAGCCAGAATCTAAAACACGCGTTTCTTTCGCACGTGCACACACAGGCACAAACAATTAGCAGGTTAGCACATACACCTACCCCTTCATCATCATCCTCACTCTTCATCTTGTCAGCGATGTAGCGCACTCCATCGACAGCATCCTCTACATCGATGTTGCTCTTAAGCGTCATTCTCTTCCTGAACTCTGAATTTTCTGGCAAGTCGCTAATCTTCCAGCCGTAGCGTTTAGTCGACTCCTCATTCACAAAGAAAGATGAGGATGAATCTGCCATCCCCAGAGTAGGAACAGTCCCTCCATCTACTCCGTGCAGCTTTTGATCAGAGAACGACTTCTGCTGGTGCTTTTTCCTGAACTTTTCTCGGATGTTGGAGCTACCGGGTCTGCGCATAAAGAGGAAGGAGGGGAGTTGGTACAGAAAGACGCGCTTGACCCAAGGAGGCATGGTGTGTGTACTGGGGGACCGATGGTGGACGTTGAGCACGCAAACGCTGGTGACAATGGAGAAGGTTACCAGGACCATTGTAAACATCAGGTATTTTCCAATAAGAGGCACTGCTAAAGATGTGGGTGGCACAATCTTTGAGATTAGAAGTAAAAACACAGTCAGAGCCAAGAGAACAGAGATACAGAGAGTCATCTTCTCACCACAGTCTGACGGGAGGTAGAAAACCAGAATGGCCAGTGATGTGATCAGGATGCAAGGAATGATCAGGTTGATGGTATAAAACAGTGGTTTCCTCTTTATGATAAAGTCATAGGTGATATCCAGGTACCTGATGTCATTGGGATCTTCATTCTTGCGTCCAGGCAGTGAAACAATATCCCACTCACCACTGGGTTTGAAGTCATCACGTGAAGCGTAATCACTGAGAAGGATTAGATCAATCTCTGTGTGGTCATAAGTCCAGGAACGAAACTTGAGCGTGCAGTTCTGCTGGTCAAAAGGGAAATCTCGAACTTCAATTTTGCAGGCTGACTTGTAGATAGCTGGTGGGAGCCAGTTCACCTCGCCATTGTTGGAGACCACAGCATTAGAGTAGAAGGAGACTTCATAGGTCCCATCAGCACTTGGTGGCAGAGAGACAAAAAGAAAAGAAACAAAAAGTCAAAACAGTCAGAAAAAAAACTGGCTCATGAAAGAATAACTGTGAATCACATTCAACAACTGATTTAAGATCAATTTCTACCATTTCCTCGAGTTATTTCACACACATATTGAATTTATATCAAACATCTACTTGGGGTGTTCACCTTTTTGAAAACACAACGGTGCATGGGATTTGCTTGAGACCATAAAAATAGTTTGAACATAGTTTATTGTTACACTCCAAATGTACATTTGTTACAGCTTCATCACTATCTTAAGGATGCTCATCCATGACCGTGAATTTTTCAGTGGATTCACTGTCAAAGCCATCACTAAAACACTGATCCCATTTAGAGATTCTGTCCACTCATGGCTACAGAACATATAGACAGAGGGCAATGAAGTCATGTCTGCTTGGACAAATGGAACAGGCTTGGCACAGTTTTCCATTGTATGTCTTCAGCAAACAATCCAGTCATGGAGATCGTCTGTCAAAATGAACTTGAGTTTCACATCACAAGTCCACTAGATGGACTGTAATCAATATTGAGTAATTTTCCAGGTCCCAAATTCCCAAATCACCTTATCAAAGTCTCAGGAACAAGATAAACTAGTCATTGTTCCTGGAGGCTTCATACCTCCATCACTGGCAGTCAGTGGGTCCTGAGATAACTGAAACAGTGTCATTTCAGAGGTGGTACATGCAATATTTCTGGACCTTGTTGCCTCAAGGGGGTATCTCACCCTGGGGTACATCCCAGCAACATGGAAAAAACTGCCCCCCACCACCACCACCTCAGATCTGCTGAGACAGATTTTCTTTTCTTCCTCTCAACAAGGCTGGCTGCAGGTGTTGCATTATAAATAAGTAGCTTATCAATTATAAAGGGGGTCAAGGGTCCAACCATCACACTTGGTCTCTAATGCTTTTGGGTTGTAGTGAATATGTAGACTAATTAAAAATGTAAAGGCCCCACCTGCTCACTGCAACCCTTAGTCCCCCTGACTTCAGGAGACCCTGATCCCTCTTACAGTGAAGCTGACCATCTCTGATCATTCTGCATCTTCTTAGCAATCACGCTCTTTCTATGGTCTTTAGCTGACCAGCTGCCTGTAAGGGAGAATCTTGACTATAAACGAATGACTAACTCTGCTGACTCTTTATTCCTGCACAGCTGTGAGTTTTTCGCACTATCTCCAGCTCAATTTCATTGTTTCTTCTTCATTTTAGACACAGTTCTGGTAAAATTATTCACATTTCCACGTCTGTTAAGCTTTAGTTTCAAGGCTCTCATCATGTCCCAAACTTCTTGTGTGCAGATGAAGGTTGGTCATGAAAATTGCCAGCTTCAACAAGAATGTAACAAAAATCAAGATATCCTAAATCATCTTAGGTCAGGTTTATAATGTGACTCTGTCAGGTGGTGGGGTTTGAGTACAAGGCAAGCTGTTTGCAGCAGAGTTCACTTAACTCCACAGATGGCACGAGCTTTCCAGACATCCTGTGGCTTCTCTGACTGAACCGCACACAAGGGTCCTTAAAAATGGATGCTGAAAAATACCTAACATCCCCCTCACTCCTCCACAAGCTCTTCTCCTCCTTAGTGTCATAGTCCAGTGTCATAGTCTGTTGCTGGTAATGTCTTGTCTTAACTTGTCATCAAACTACTGCTATTTTCTCAACCAAGCCTCCTCTTCTGTTTTGGTCTGAAACTCCTGTGTAGGTCTGGTGATCAGAGCCCAACATGGCAGAGTCAGCTAAAGGACTGAGTTAACTTCAGTGACACTGCATCAACTACTGCAGTAGTTATCTGTCTATCAAAAACCACGTCTCAGTTAGAGCTGTGTGGGTTTTCACATGTTATAACTTTAAATTTTTCACAGTAGAAAGTAGGACACAGTCCTCAGAGACACTCAGCTCTGGCAGAGTTTATCATTGTGTGCTCTGATAATAGGCTCACTGCGTCATCTCCCTCAACCTGATGCTCTGCTGTTGGGATATCTGGATATGCAGCAATTCTTGGTGTTAGTATGCCTTTGACTTTGCATCTTTTATGCACTTGCAGTATGTTTGTTGTTGATCGAGTTGTTTGGCTTTTGCATCATTTGCAGTGCAGTTCTGTTGTATTTCTTTAGCATGAGTCTGTTGCATGAAGTAAATCTGTCTTAATGGCAGCTAAAAGCTCAAACCCTTTATTTCAAGTATCTGTATTTGGATTAAATATTAAGATATTGCAGACTGTTAGGTGTTGGATATTTTCTTTATGCCTCCTACAGGGAAAAGCTAGAGTTGAAAACTAAGATTTATTGTGATACACACAATACCCAGTCCAGCTAGGCTATAAGTTGAGAAAAGAGTTAAATATCAACAGATAATTATATATAACCAAGAACTGCAACAGCAAGTTCTTAAAAGTAGTTAAACAATTAGTTTTTCTTCATTATCCCAAAAGAGGAAAAAAACTGGGATAGACAAAATAATACAAATGGTAAAGGGAACAGAAACATGTCTTGGAAAATGGGGCTTTTCTTAGTAGTTTGCTCCTCTTTTGATTTCCTAGTTTTACTCATGTACACACACAGGTTGTATTTTTAACAAACAGACATACTTGTTGTACAGAACTATGTCTGGCAGCCAGATGTGTTGTGATGGGAGCCGGATCTTCTTGATTCCCTCATACTCCTCTGGGTCCCACATTAATCTGTAGTCATTCCATACCTTCACAAGTTCACACACACAAAAATGTGAATTATGAATTTACACACAAACAAAGAGACATAATTCATTAGAAACAACATATACAGGAGCATGAGAATAAAACAAGTGCAAACATAAAGACACATCAACACACCAGCTTATTAGCACAGTTCCAACATATGCAGTGGTTCAGTCAGTCCCTATATGACAAAAATGCACAACTGAGGTCGGACATATTTATCTTTCACACTATGAGGTGACCTAAGCAGAGAATCAGTGAATGTCTCTGCACATTTTATTTAACTGCTGCATGTCCACACACCCAAATATGTTGTGTTTTACTTCTGATGGCCGATATGAGTCAGACTTGTTGGGCCACCAATAGGTGATGCTTGGATATAATGGGACCTCAGGCACACAAACATTCATTCACTTAATAAAGTGAGAACAAAAAACAAGGAGACGAGTGTTGACACAAACCTGACTGAGCCAACAGTTGGTGGTCATGATCTGCTCTCTCTCATTCTGAAACACAGGAAAGCAAAGGTTCAAGGATGGAGTTAAAAAAAAAAGTCACTCCAAAGTTATGAATACTGGCTTATGTGGTGGGTTTTGTTTCAATTGTGTGTGTATTTCCTTACCACGTTGATCAGCTGGGCCAGGGAGACTTGGATGTAAATGGTGACCTGCTGGCTGTTGTTAACAGCCGGTCTGATCAGCTTGTTATAGCGCTCCGGTGACAACAGGTGACTCACCAGCCGTTCCTCCACCTCCGCACACAAGGCAGCTGCAAGAAAATAAAAGAACAAAGATACAACACATGTGACTGGTTGATATAATTGTGTCTATTGTCAATTAATTTCGTGAAGAAGACCAATCCAGCTGACAGTTTCCATTGGTGAGACATAACAGGAAGCTAGCCAAGCAATATCAGAGCTAGTTCTAAGTGTTGGGTATTCTGACAGCCATTATATCTCAAGGGATTTCCAGGGTTTGTACCGCTTGATCGTGGCAAGAAAACATTATAATATACCTGTTTTTACATTGATCAGACTATCAGAGGCCTGGTACCGAAGTACCTTCAAGAACTCCTGATTTGTTGCACTCAACAGAACTCAACAAGCTCGTAGGATGGCCAGGATAAGAATCAAACCCCTGAATAAATAATTTTGTTTCCCCAGAAAAGGGTCAGAAGTGATAACAGTGCCTTTGTAGCAGGTGGCAAGGAGATCCTGTTTCTGACAAAACAACATGTCCGTGATGAGCATACACAGCAGAGTTCTCATACAGGCAGATGGGGAATGCAGTGAAGGGGCAGCTAGATGATCGTCTGTCCAGAATAAGCTGGAACCAGCTCTCTGGCAAGTATCAGGTATGGTGCACCCTGTTTGTTCTCTTACAAAGGGTAACTTTTATGGCACCTCACACTTTGCAAAATCCCCTCCTCAGCAGGAATCAAGGTAGATGAGCTGGTAAATTCATAGATCAGAAACAGTCGGGGCAACCAAGATGTTGTTGATGATGATTTTGATGATCTTGGCAGGAACACACTTAAATTACCAGTGCAATCCATCATCTTGTATGAGTAGGATACCAGCAATCATTGCTGGTTCTAGGACTGAAGGAATCTACTGATAATCTTGGGAGAGAAGCAGGTTACCAAGTATAAACTTGAAGAAAGTAGGAAGTCCAGGAAAAGTGCAGTCTGGCCATCAGTAGACTGCAGCACCATCAAGTACTTGGCGGAGTCCAGGAAGGTCTTTTCCTAGGACCTTCCTGGACCCCTAAGACCCCTAAATCCAAACTCAGCTTCACAATCAGCCAAGGGTTTAGCACTGAAGACACCTGCTCTCTTTGCAACACCACAAATGCCAGCCTCCAGTACATCCTGCTGGGTTGCAATATGGCATTGTCTCAAGGGTGCTACAGATGGCAGATTGGTCTGAAAGAGTTTGGCAAAGGTGGCAAAAACATGCAGACAGGTCAGGATGTAAAAAAAACTTCCTCCCCAGGTAGGCTTTATGACCAGTTCACGAGGTCAGGAGAAAGCATCAAAACCTTGCCTTAGAGACAAAGTGAGACTAATCTTATCAGGCAGGGACCAGCAAATGAAAGTTGATCTCGGGAGGCAGCTCTAGTTCCCCAAAGAGATGGTAAGAACAACCGTGGTCAAAGGACTGTCCAGGACGGTCTTCCCACTGGAGCTGACAGTCCCATGGGAGGGGGTCAGGAGGCTGCCCCTGAGTGGAAACAAGACAAGTATTCAGACTTGGCTGCAGGTTCAGAGGGTCTGGCTGGAGATCTGTCAGAGTGGAGTCCAGGGGATTTTTTTGGCTCCTACACCTCATGCCTGCCCCATGCCGGAGACCAAAAACCTGTCAAAGAACTGGCAGCAGAAGTGAAAAAAGGCAACCTGTAGCATCAGCAGGGGGTATCAGGAGGAGATCCTGCCATTGTTAGCCCACCAGGAGATGTAATGAGGTTAAAGGAATGAAACATCAGTGACTGGTGGTCCCCAGTCGATGACCCAACTGGGCCCTCAAAGTTTCAATTCGGTTCCCCCCAGTCAGGATCTCCTTGGGTAGTACCTGCATGTAAAGGCTTGTTGGAGGTGCATCAGACACTCATGCCCAGCAGGTCAACCACCCACCTGTTTTTTTAGATGAGCACATATTCGATTAGGATACCGACCAGTGTACCTCACTGTTTGCGTTGCGACTATTAGCTTTGTAATATTTGTTATCGCAATCAGGTATGCCTGACATTGGACAGTGGATCTACTGCTGTTTACTGTCTAATAAGAGGTTTCAACAAATGTTGAAAATGTTTTCACATCTGAGACTTGTTTGATGTCATTACTTTTCTCTATAACATACCACTTAAACTTGTAGTTAAGTATCTTTTTGACTACTCCAACTGGTGCTCTCAGGACAATGAGTCAAAAAAACATAGATAGGAATTATGATATTTTTATCAGGACTTTCATCGTTATCACCAGAACGGCAAATCTTATCGTGACAAATTTTTTTAGCCCATATTGCCCATCCCTAATTCCAGGCTTGTTTTAATCTTGTTTTAATCTGTGAATCATTTTCAAATAAGTTTTAAAAGACACAAAACCTGACTTTACTCTCTTGAGTTACCTTAGCTGATGGCGTCTAAGTGAGATCTACTATCAAACAAGTCATGGTAAGTAATGCAGAGGAACACAAACACACACACAATGGCCTGGAGCAGCAGTTGGTGAAGCGATGTATGAATATCGTGCTGTTAGGTTTCACCAATTAGGTGCTGCAGCAATTTAGCATGCTGTATGTCCTCAGATGAAGTGGGTGTGCAATGGGACTAACAAAGCATGCAATCTGTAGTGCATATGACAATAATGAGTCACAAACACAGACACAGACCAACACACATACACACAAAAACCCTGTAGGCCTAATTCGACAGAGAACAGTGTCTGACTGGGTCACAGAGCTTTAGTGACTCTGGGTGGTTTTAAACATGGATCAGGCCAGACTTTCAAACATTTTCAACTCTCAAAAAAGCCCAACCTGAGTTAATCGTTTCAAGTTTTTAACTTGCTTATAACTTAAAAAAAGCTCTGAAATTCTTCCTTATGTCTTCATATTGACTTAATATCTTCTGTTCAACCTCCTAAAATGATCGGATCGCTTGTTTTTCTTGACTCTCCTCTGCAGTTGAAAGAACCTGTGCTGCGCTCCTGGGCACAGGGGCGAAGCAGCTCTCTGTGTCAGAACTCGTTTCCTTTAAAAGCTGTTTCTCTTCTTTTTCTCTTGTACCTGCTCCTTCCTGTTAACTTTCTTGGTTTTTCGGTCCCTTGTTTTCTGGAAAGCTGCCTTGTTTGTGCTTCACAAATAAACTTTCTTGGACATGACTGTTGGCGATAGCTTTCCACAGAATGAACAGGGGAGTGACAAGAACGATAAGAAGAAAAGAGCAAGAGGTGGATTACATAAGAGGAGGATAGTGTGTTTATCTCAACCCAAAGCACCCAAAGCAGTCAAAAAGTCCATTACATAAAGTTTTTTTTTTTTTTTTTTTTTTTTAATTAAGCTCAACATGAGCATGAACGAGACACTAGAGAGCCCGAAATCTCCATAATTATGAAGCTTTTGGTTTTGCCCTTTTCTTTCTGCTCTGCTTGGCACTGTTTTCGTTTTATCTGTCATGGCATTTGAGTTTTTTCTGCATCTCCCCTGATGTTATCAGTCTGCAAGTCATTTATATTTCCCACAAATCTCTGCCTGCAGTCCTTTGTGCGTCCCACCAGTTTTCAGATTACTTATACATGCTTCAGTTTTCCTTTTTGTCGTCTTGACTATTTTTCTCCACTTTTGTCTCATGTTGAAATCGCATATTCTACACGTATCTCCTTTTGGACTTTTGGTTTTGTAAATATTTATCCTCCTCACCAAAATAGCTTTCTCCAGACATCACACCAACAGGATGATTCAGTCAGGATATCTTTAAAACATATGCACTTTTGTTTTCATGATTTTCCCCCCACCCAAAATTACTCTCTCTTAAAGCCAAACTGCATCAAGGAGCCCATTCAAGATTCAGAGGACAGATGAGTCAGCGGGTGTAGGAAGATGTGTGGTGATGTCTTAGAGGAATAGAAAAGGAAAACAACCTCAATATTCTCTTATGTAGCCCACTTGAAGTGACGTCTGTTTGTAAGTTGCGTCATCTATGTTCCTTCTGGAGCACAGAGAGTTCAGACAAAATTGTGTTAAGCCTTTGTCGGGCAAGGAGAACTGTTTTTGACCCCACAAAATAAAAAGGTGAAAATAAACTCGCGGGGAAAGTTTTAGTTTCAGAAATCTGCTAAAAATTATTACATTTCAGTATAAAAAAGAGGGAAAAATGAAATTTTTGCATTAATTTTAATCTTTTGACTTCATTCAGGACATTAAACTTTACAGTTTAATATTTCCTGACCTACAATATTAAAGTTAAATATCTGGCTGTGTTTTTAAATACAAAGAGCATAGATCTAGATGAGATATTTAAACCTGCTTGTATTGAAACAGCAGTGCAAACACTTCTGATCTGACATCAGCAATACCCTCATCTCCAGCCTCCTCAAAACTGTGCAGTTAGCAGCTTTAGACAACTATAGATGTTTTTTATTTTGGCCTTTTACTTGCACTTTTTTTTCGCAGTGCTGCCAACTGTCACATCGATATATACTTGAGACAAAAACGCTGTCCGAGAAATGCTGAAAATCAAAGGGAAAAAAGGAGCACCAAGCTTTAAAAGCAGGTGCAGGAAGGAGAGATATCCTCAGACTTGGTCAGTCTGCATTAACCTTCAGCAAAGAGAGAAGAGCAGAGAAGTGTCCAATGTCTGAGCAGTTGTGACATGACACTAAAGCTCGAGGGTAAACGTCTTCAGAGAGTTCTGAAACACAGAGCTCCGTCTGTCAGGATCAGGCACAGAGGAAGGCAAAGACGGACACACATATACACAAATACACACACACACACACACAATAAACAACAGCAAGAGTGGGAGACATGACAAGAATTCCAACATTTAAGTAGGATCTGACCAAATTATGTTGACATATCCTGGTAATGACTGAGTATTTAGATGCAAAATGCTGCTTAGTATGAGAAGTTTGGTGCGTGGTTTGGTTCTGAAGTTTTGGGAGACAGGGACCACCCTCACAATCAATCCTGTTGGACTTTCTCTTTGTTTTATTTTAGCTTTGTTTGTCACTGTGCTCGGGTTGATTGGATTAAAGCCTAGAGCAACCGAAAAAAGGAGGTGTAAATAAATGAGGGGCTCTGAATTTAGATGACTGACTGGAATCTGTTCAACATCACGCTTAAAAAATAAAACACCCACGGCTACAACGAAATAATACTAATTCATGACGTTCAACTAAAGGCGCATTCCAGTGCTTTTACATACAAAATTCATTTCACTCACTGCTCTATAAGAAGAGTAAAACTACAATTAACTGTTGGCGCTTAACTTCACCACTGGAGTCCCCTTGGTAGAGAGACAAACATTTCAGCTTTTGCTGCATCAATTATATACTGTATTTAATTATTCGAACCAGATTTTAACACAACAACAACAAAGAAAATATTGCTTTTTATTTAATAGATTTATTTCATTTTGTGAGAAACATTTCTATTCAGTTATTAAATCTCATGAGCAGAGTTTTGTACCAAGAAACCAGCATAAATGTTCAGACAAAAGTTGCATCAGATAATGAGTTAGCAGGGTTTGTCAACAGAATATATTGTATTGTAATAAATATTAAAATTGTATTGTCGTTACTGAAATCCTTGTTAAGGAGGCCTAGACCAGTTAAGGATGCTGCTTCTACATTTTTGTTTTTTTAACCAAATCACAAGATTAGTCTCATTTCCTTGTCAGTCGTAGCTCTGAAGGCACTGACAAAACTCTCCTCACTCTGATATCAAACTAACTGAGACCACTCTTTGATTGGCTTCAAAATTTCACAATTAAAAAGTTCAAAAAGAAATGATCAAAACCACTGATTGTTTCTTTACTGTACAGCACAGATCTGCATCCTCTGTCTAGTGATATAGTCTCTGTCTGATGTCTGCCTGAGAGAAACCAAAGATGTGGTAATGCCTTGAAAATGTACAGAGCATAAAAATAAACCCTACACAAAAGACAAATTACTCCGTGTGGCAGGTGGAAAGGACTGAACGTATCTGAGGAACACAGCGTAGACTCTACACTGAGATGTAAGGTATGGGGTCACAATATGGTGTGTTTGGGATGGATGGATGTAAGAAAGGAGAAGGAGCATTAGGGAACGTACCAGCAGGTTTTATCACACATGTATGCACACACACACACTCACGCACACACACACATACACACACACTCCTGTCCGGCTCGCTGCACTCTCCTCACCTCAATAATTCATCGCCACTAAAATAAAAATGCCATCATCTCACAAGCAGAGACTCAACCACAATCAGAGATTATTCTCTGGGACTTTCTCATCCACATCAAATCAACACACAGTGGCTCTCAAGACATACAGGTCAGTCAAAACACAGAGAAAACCCCTCAGACATGCTGCTGTGTTTCGAGTGATGCATACGGGTGTTCACAGGCTGTGTCCTCAGTGCAGTGTAGAGAGAGAACAAGCATCCAAATTCTGCATCGTTCTTCAAGGGTTGTGAATTATTCAGTACCTTCTCCATCTGGGGTGGCCTTTCTGAGGCCAAAACAATTTTGGTTTCAGCTGTCTTTGGCTTTGCTCTGAACTCGGCCCGGATCAGTCATGTTATAAAAGACACCCATGTGGCATCCACTTACATCCATCACCACACAGCAATGTTCGAACAAGACATGGATCACTTTGAATCTTCTGCCTGAGAAATGTTTGTGTGTTTTAGAATCTCTTGGGATTTTTTTGATGGTTTTTCGCCCCAAAACTTTTTATTGATCCCACCTGAGAGGATAGAAACAACTCTCAAACATTTTTTTTCCATCACAGCCCCTTTTTGTATCTACCTGCTCTGGATCATGTCGTTATTTTGGTATGAGACACACTTCAACTGCAGGAAAAGTGTGTTACTACTGTTCTGTGTTGGTGTAAAACTAACTTCAGCTTGAACAAGTTTCTTCCAAACACATCTGATGCTGCTCTCCATTCAAAGAGCAACTCCCAAACAAGTATGCCAACGCAATGACTAATATTTACTATGATGTGTTGACTCACTGATGCTGGGCTAAACATGCAGCCGCAGTTCTGAGAAAGCACTTTCATGAACTCATGAGAATCAACAGCCTCGGGACAGAAACTTAGAACTGCATACATCTGCCCACCCACACATTAAGTTGAACCCAGGGGCAACCGGGAAGCAGAGTCAGGGATGTGCATGCATGTGTGTAGGCAATCGCACGCCATCCCCTCTCACACTCCCGATCAATTGAAGCGCGTATATTAGCGCAATAACTACAATATGAGGCTCATATGGGATGAGAGATGGAGAAAGATAGGACAGGAGGTAGGAGTGCATGATGAAAAATGAGTATGTCAGATAAAGTCGAAGAGAAGTAGATAAGATGTGAACGGAAATGTGGCTTCAAAGACGAGGAAGAGTGAGGCCGAGAGTGAAAAAGGTGGTTGTTCATGCCAGCTGAGTGACCGCCAGGCTGAAGTCATCTCACTGTGACTGGACCTAAGATGAGCAGGAGGAATAAGGTGAAGGTCAGGCAATACCTCAGCTGCAGACTAGGTGAGAGTTGAGGGATCATATAGAAGATTAGGAAGTATCTGTTGAAGCTTAAATAGTAGAATACATCAAACAAGCAAGATCTCAGTGCAGCGTATAGGAAACATTTTGAACCTATATACAGTACTCATACTGCAAACATCCAGGCAAACAAAACAACTCTAGTTCTTGGGTGTTTGATCAACGGCAAAACCATATGTGGAACAGTCATAAGCACAAGCATACAAACAAGTGAAAACATACTGATCTGCTTGATGTCCTCTTATTGAATCCACATTAGATTTGACAACAAATAATTCTCACATCTCACTTAGCAAACTCTGATGTGCTGACGTTTGGCTGCTTAACAGCTTGTAGAAATACACAACAGAGAGAAAGCAGACACAACGTGGAACAGAAATGTGCTCTATTGAGAGCTGCAGCAGATTATTTCCTGACACATTTTAATCTTATTTTAGAATTATGGACATCTCCTGACAGGGATTTCCCCAGAGTGCTTAATTCATGAATAGGTTCCAAAGCAGATTTAGACTAATTGATAAAATAAAATGGTAAAAACCTCTATATAACCTGATCTTCTGTCTAGAAAAGGGTTTTATAGAGACAGCTATTCCATCTAGTCTCCACTTGGTGTAATAATAGGGCTTCTTCAGCACACAGTTGCTGGCCCGGCTTGGCACAATGAGGGGCACCACGCTATTTGATTTACAGTCTGATGCCTAAGTGTGTCCTCCACTAAAGCCAGATCATCTTACTGCTTAATGGGGCAAATAAAGATCATTACAGTGCCAAATGGTTTCAAATTGTCATCAAAAATTACTGTCCAACACTGCAGGGACAAATGTGCAGAGATAATGCACCCTTCTTGAATATCATACCCATGCGTAAAACCAGTCCCGGTTTTACTCCGTGGGTTTCTCATCTAACGAGACTCAAGTTAGTTAATTGAGGCGTGCTTAAAATCACGTGTCAAAGTGACTGACGTAAGGAAATGCCACTATTTTCCCCACCGGCCTGCTTTCCGGTATCACGTGTGTGTAAAGTCAAATTTCGGCTTTAACATCTCTCCAGAATTTATATAGGCTCCTTAACAAGACCTTTTCTCGTGAGGGTTACAGGAGCGCTGTGTTTTGTCTGCATGAAAGCGTATGTGACCTACAGCAAAGCACATATGGCACTGACTATAGGTGACTTCAAGACCTTTCACATGTATTTACATGCAAAGAGCAATGAGAGAATGCGTATTTAGGATAAATTAACCAAGAGTGCGTAATTAAAGTCCTTTGCGCATTAGGAAACTCTTGGTCCCGTTCCATAAGGACAAGAATGATTTACTTACTTGCCACGGTGAGAACCAGGAGAGCCAGTGCTGCTTTCACCGGGGCTGCCATGTCGTCCTCCCCTCCAGTTCGACACACTCAAAAACTTGCTTGTATCTCTTCTTCTCCGTCCCAGAGTGAAAAGTATTTGAAGAGTTAAAAGGGGGGGAAAATGGCCGGATTACAGCGGCTTCCCCGCAAAATACGGAGGGTATGGGAGATTGGGAGGCATGGAGGGAAACACTGACTGCCGTCTGAGCCCAGAGATGAGGAGGCAGGACGCTTTCTGCCAGAGCGCACCGACTCCAGCGCTGGTCCTGGAGCTGATTACGCGCAGCGGAAACCGGCTGCACAGAACAGAGTCCCTCTTGATTCTTAGTAGCGATGCAAGCAATTTTTTCCTGGGAATATTGGCCAGAAGCTAGTGGGGATACGCAAATCCTGTTATCGCCGAAGCCGCCATTCTTGAGATAAAAGATTTAAGCGTCCCGGTCCTCACATCGACCTGCCCGCCCAGTGCGCTCCCCCAACGGGCGTCAGTTTCGCTCCGCGTCGTCCTGGTAGTCATAGTTTGACATGACAACTAACAGGCAACGAAATAGAAGAGCCCCAGGGGAGATATTCAATACCCACAAGCTTCTGGGACCAACCTTATCCTGTCCAATCAGAGGACAGTCATCAGAGGAGCCACTAAAAATTCACTTGAAGTGAATTCAAACACACTTCTGTGAGACTCAGAAACTCAAGCTGTTAATAAATGAGGGGAGAAACTTAATCCGTTCACATTTTGCAATCTGTTAGGCTAATTGAGGGCAAATTTGTCAATGGATAGAAATTAAGTTCTGTGAAAAAAAAGAGTTTTGGTGTTAAATCAGTGAGGGCCTTATGTTCTGCTTGTGATAAAGCTGTTTGTTCCTTAATGAGTTCAGTGAAGAGTGGGTGTGATGGTTATTTTAGGGGTATGAGGGAGGAGTGACAATCTGGCAGAGATGCAAGCAGCCCATCATTCAAGGAAAAAAAAAAAGTTTGCATGAGTTATTCTGTGGATCCCTGAGGTGCACTTGTCTATTCCAGTTCACCACCAGCATTACTGTGGTGAGGTCAGAGGTCAGGGTCAGCTATGGGACAGCGGCAGAGCTGAATAAAGTGGAGAACAGCTCCAGAAATTTCACAGCATGCATCAAGAGGATACTTCTACAATCGAGGGATTAAGAGATACTAAAAGCTTTAATCTTTTAAGCGCATGTTAACAAAGACACCTAATTATTACAAATATGAAGAATAGCACATAGAAAATCAGTCTAAATCCATTGTTGTTATTATTATCAAGTGAAAAAATATCAGTTAACACATACAGTATGGTGAGATAGTTCAGATGTGTCTAGATTGTGATCAGGTGTTATGTAGGAAGAGAAGAGGGTGCGTGTGTGTGTTTGTCGGAGTGAGAGAAAAGACTGCAGGCTTCTTCAGTCTGCACTCATCAATGTAGTGTAACAAGCCCTGAGGTCCCTGTGGTGTTGTGAGAAGACAAGACAGCAGCAGGAAGACATGAACTCAAATTTACTTAACAAAATGACTCTGGCTAATTATTTCATTGCATAGAAAGAGAAGGTGGAGGAGGCAGAGGAGATTAGGAGAGAGAAAAAGTAAGAGTAAAAGTTCATAACACAAAATTACTGATCACAAAAAGTGTTATGTCTGACCGAGGGGAAAACAAACCCCTTTGTAAAAGTGACCCTCTTCATTCTCACTCCAAAGGAGACCCAAACTGTCTGGTTGGGGTCAACAACACTTGCAAAATTTCTACAGGCAATGACTGAACATGTCCAAAAACCTGCCAAGCAACCACCTGGTTCGTTTGTTTTCCTCTGTATTTCTAGTTGATATGAGTTGAGATTATGGTGTTTGACTTTGATAGTTTTGCCAGACATTATGAGGCACTGATGGCCAAGCAGTCTAAGATGACCTTGTTTAGAGACTAAGGTCCTTGTCATAGCAGTCTCTTTGCTGCATGTCCTCCTCCACTCTCTACTCCCCACATTTTCTGTCTCTCCTCAGCTGTCTTGTCTTGTAAAAGAAACAATTTCCAAAAAAAATAGCTTCAAAAGGACAAGAAAAAAAACACTTAAGGTCCTTACCCCCCCGGATCGTTTTTTTTCGTGCGATTATTTCGGATGTTAATTTTTTTTTTTTCAAACCCGTATCCTGTCAATACAAGTGTTCACATCAGCGACATTTTCCATTCTTTGATATTGGGGCATTTATTTTTTCGTATCACCGTCGAATTTTCTAAAGTTTCGCATACTGTGTGTCCACTTCTGACCAATCAGATTTCGTGTTGTTGTGATGTCTGATTCCAACATGGCCGACCGGCTGATTGTTTATGTGTCGGAGAACAGAGTGCTTTTTGATAAAAGACACAAACATTACAAAGATAACGACCTGAAGGACAACTTGTGGAGAGTCATAGCGTCGGATTTCTTACATGACGATGGTTTGTGTGCTTTAACAGTTTGCTAAACGTCTTTGTTTTAACTTTCATCTGTGCTAAGTAACTTTAGCTCGTAAGCTAACCTGTTCAGATACAACAAACCATATGTATTTTTACTGTCTCGAACTCAATCAATTAGGTCTCAGTTGTTACCGTTTATGGATTATAGTTTAATGTGCTTATCTGGTACTGGCCCCGACTCAGTACATGCTATCATGACAGACAGACATCTCAACACTAGTGTCTAATCAGAACTGAAAAACAGTCAGTCTGCTGTTGTGTCAGTCTTCTCGCTTCCACCCGGGACACGTTTTTTTTTCCTCCCGGAAAGTCGCAAAATCGCATCGCACTTGATGCGTATAGTCAGGCACGTCAAAATTTGCCTGCCAAAATAATTTCGTAACTTTGCGTCGTATATTTGCATCGTTCCCGGTGGGTAAGGACCTTTATTGAGTCAGTGAAGAAACACCAGTTGACTCATATCAAGCTATTTAAAGAGATTAATCTATTTGCATTTATTTATTTTACTTTTTGTGATCTTTATGGACAAGTTCTGAAGGCACAACTGAGGGGTTGAGGGTCTGCAGTTTTGGGGACCTCAGAATTCTGCGGTTGATGTGGTTTTGTTGGTGTCTTCAGACTGGGAACTTCCAATAGGCATTTGTCATGCAGCTGGGAAGAGAGTTGGCACCTGCAGATTTGAGGCAATGGTTCTCTGCCAGTGAATGGTGGGGAGTGAGTCCCTGCCCCAAGTAAGGGGGTTCAAGTTTGTTGGGGTCTTGTTCAAAAGAATGAGATCATGAATACAAGCAGCTGAAATGAGTTTCCGCTGAAGGGTGGCTGGGCTCAGCTTTAGAGACAGGGTGAGAAGTTCAGACATCCAGGGGGAGCTCGGAGGAGAGGCACTGCTCTTTCGCATTAAAAGGAGTCGATTTGGGAGGCCATAATCTTTGATGCATGCTTCAGCTTCATTTTTTTACCTTTTAGATTTCTCTATCTTCGCCCACATAGGTGTTGAAGTCCCACAGCAGAACTGAGGATTCCCGAGGCAGCACCTTTTTTAAGAGTTTAAAGCAGGCTTTGAAATACTGACAAGTGTATAACCACAAAGAACAGTTCCTCTTTGCATCTTTCAGACATTTAAAGGGGACCATCTTGTCATCCAGGTGGACTCTCGAACAAGTGTGAGATGTCGAGCCCCTGTAAGTGCTTAAGAGAGGCTCTGTTTATGTGAGTATGAGCGGATGTGTGTACCATCATTAATCTTACAGCTCAATGTATTTCCAAATCCCAGGCTGAGCTGTTCCTAGTTTTTGTGCTCAGAGTATATCTGTTTGTGTGTGCGGGCTGGCTCTTCAGAGCCCCAGCAGACCCCACAGTGAGCTCTAAGTAGCTCTGATTAAATTTGGTCTCCCTTTGCTCCTCTCCGTTGCTTTTAGGATGCAGAGATAATGTTCATTAGGAGAGACGGGCGGGGACTTTGTGAGGCAGATGCTCACATGTTGCTAAAGTGTGGCTGTAATGGAGAGCGATTGGAGGGTAATACAATTTGGTTGCATTTGGAGCTGTGTCACTAGAGGTTCATTTTATGGAGTGTGTGTGTGTACATGATGTATGAACCATAAAATGCCTTTATCATAGAGACTACGAGTAAGGCCAAATCTCAGGTGAGAGTAACAGTTGTGTTCCTGCATATTCCCTTGATTACACATTTTGGAGGAGCACATGTTACATAACACTGTTTATAATGTTGGTGACAATGCTCCTGAAAATAAAAAAAAACATTTGACATTTCAAAGTCATGTCCAGGGAAACACATCCCAGAAGTCAAGTCTGGCAGATTCATCTAAACAGCCAAATAATGGAAATCAAAACATGTCTCAAGCATCTTTACAATCTTAAAGTTGTCTAACTCTACCTTCAGACCAAATTAACAAGTTTTATCCATTTTGTTTTAACTTAGCTAAAAAAAACCTCTTAAAAGATGAGATGTTCAAGTAACGACTTACTGCAAACAAGGTTTAGTAAATATTTAGAAAAATCAACAATGAAAAGTTCAAATTTGTGTTTTTCTGTCACAGTTGTTTCCTAATAAACCGTTATGTATATATTTGCTCCAGTTTAGAGATTGAAATGTCGAAGTACTTTACATTTTCATAATCATTCATGAGAGACGTGAACCAGAACCATAGGACTTCGTCATCAGTCACCAAAGACTGTACACTGAGCAACACTAACACACTGACACACACACCTTAGGGTTACAGCAAACACAGTAAAAAAAAAAAACATCTGCATCTGTTTCCCAACAGCTGCATTATCATATTGAATATCATTTCAGTGGATTAAGTTTGTTTAGTTGACTTCTCTCTAAAGAGCCTCCTAACCCTCCTGCCTCTGATCTTACAGAGTGTTTGTTTGCCTCCAGGCTGCAAAGTCAGAGACAGCGTGCCCCGATGAAGTGGCCTATTTCCCCGCTGCATTAGTGTTATCATGAATTCATATCGCAAGAGAGCATTTGTGTCTTGAACTGACAGTGTGTGTGTAAGTCACAGACTGGTTGCCTGTCACAGCTGGTCATTGTCCGCCTCCACAAGGCAATAATCAGTGTCACGGGACACGATGTGCAATGATGAATGCATCTCATCATCTATGTTTATCTTTATCAAATCTTTCTGTTCCTCAGCATTCTCACTTGCCTTAAGTCTTTGTCTCCTTTCTTACAGGTCTTTTGTTTTATTTATGAGCCAGCTCCCTTTTTGACCTCCTCTTATCTCCTCTTAGTGCTCCTCTTCTTTTTTTCCCACTATTTTTCTTCCTGTGTTCTTCACATCCCTTCTTCAGTCCTTTCTTATCTCTTGAAGCTAACAGGCAGATATACTCCTGCTGCCATCCCTTTAGGTGGGAGGAAATGTTTGAAAACTGCAGGATTCTTGTGGCTAAACTCAGTGAAATATTTGGAGGGAGCTCTCTCACCTCTGAGCCCATCATTACAATGTCGCTGCTGTTCTTCTACAGCTTCACTGATTTGGTTTCTACTGGAAGAGAAAACTTTTCTATGTCCAGCACTTTGGTTCAGCCCTCCACTATGAAAGCCTCCCATATCTTACAATAAAAGCACCTAATTTGGCACCACACATGATCCAGAGGTCACAACAATCTGACAAACTT